CCTACCATAAATTAACCTGACTTTCATTGACCCTAACCTAACGTACCATGTTATGCTAGTAGAACGATCTCCTCCTCTCTCGTTAATCTCCCCCTCCAGAATGCATTATATTCCCCTCATATTAATTATTTGGTTTAAACGCAATTATTGACAATGTAATACTTGATTTATTATTGTGCTGGGGTATGGCGGCTTGTGTCTTCGTGTTCCTCGTGAGAGAATCGCTCCGTGATGCTGAAAATACATTATTGTCCCAAAATGTATTATTAACACAACATTAGCGAGCGAATCAATATTTAATTTAGTTTACCTCCTATTAGCATGATTGGTAACGAAATATATGTTAACTTTTTACACGGGTTCTAGCCCAGTAGGCCCCTAACCTTCCTGTACAACCGAACATAACAGTTTTATATAATGGGAAAATAGAAAGAATTCCCCCCAGCTCCTGTTTACCCAGCCAAGGTTAGTGGGGCCATTGGCTTGTGCTTATCTGAATGAATGGAGCTTTTAGAGAGTAAAAAAAGAAATAGCTAAAAGTGGCGGTGTGAGGGGTAAGAGGCGAAAGTTTAATCTTATCTAGGCTATTTATCATTCTTCCTTGGTGCGTGATAATGGCGGCCTGCGGAGGGTAGGAGGTTTGGAGATCCACACTACACAAGTCACCACACGGTTCTGGGACGCCAAGTTTTTGCTTATACAGTGAAGCAAATTCTTTTTAAATTGAATCACTTATGCTTATTGTTAGTAATCTATATATATATATAAAACAAAGCAGTATGTGTGTTTGTATGTCCGCACGAGAATCTCGGAACCTGCTTTACCGATCTGTAGTGATGATGGATGGTAGTATATATATACTGTATATATATATATATATATATATATATATATATATATATATATATATATATATATATATATATATATATATATATATATATATATATGTGTGTGTGTGTGTGTGTGTGTGTGTGTGTGTGTTGTGTAAAGAGATGTTTGATTAATTTACAGCGTACGTGACCACCAATAACCATCGAAAATTGTTTGTTTACCTGAGCTGTGATCCCTATTGAATTATTAGTGTTATTTCCTGTAAATAGTACGAGTTTCTCTCATATATTTTTAAATTAAACGTAATACGGTGTTTGTTGTCGAACCCTCGGTAGGATGTACACTACCGGGGCATTAAGCTTTGGTTCTAAAACACTTCTGAGAGCTCCATGAGCGTTAGTACTGTGAAACAAAACCTTTCCTCAGATGCTTGAAACCAATATGAATTTGTATGACGGTTTTTGCTGAAAAAAATATGATCAATTTAGGACAGTAGCCAGATTTCGAATTCGTTTTTTTTTTTTTTTTTTTTGGTCAAACAAAAATGAGACGAATTTCTTCTATGACACTTTCTGCGCAGATGAGAAACAACGGAGATATGGAGTTAAAAAACCACAACATCCTCTGTTCTCGGCAACAGGTAAACAGGAGAATGATGCATTATGGGAAACGCGGGCCCCGTTCGGTTAGGTTAGGTCACCCATCCCTCATCCCTGTCATTGGGGGAAGGGGGGCTTAACTAGAAAATGGGTGAAAACGAAGATCAGACTCGTTTGAATCACAAGAACCACAGGGAACGCGTATTTTTTATGGAAAAATCGAAACCTGGCTTCTGTCAAATTAACCAAAAGTATATCTTGTTGAAATGAATGTACGGTACGGTATTTATCTCATATTACCAGGTGCTTTTTTTTTCGCCACTATTCAGCTTACTAGCCGTTTGGGCGGTTTATCCAGTGTTAGTAATGGAGGAAGCTGGGGAGCGGGAAACCTGTGGTGTTTGGTGAGGGTCACACTGGATAACACCCTTCTCACGAGGCTCGAACCCTTGACATATTAGTGAGAGTGATGCGCGGTCATCAAGAGTGTCCCTGGACTCACTTTTTTTTTACGGGGATTAGCCCACCCAGGCACAGGTCACTGACCCACATCGGGGCCCTGGGGGGCGAAAATGTAATAATAATAATTCATAGTAAATAAAATCTATAATAAAAAGTAAAATAAAATATTAATGGTAATAATAATAATAATAAATACAAGAATGAAAAAAAAAACAGTTAGAAACGCTATGTGTATGTTGTGTTGTCATGTAAGAGAAACAATTGAGACCCTGCAATTGTGAGTAAATGAGGCAGAAAGACAGATCAGCAACTTGGGACTTGGTCACAATTTTTGTGATGCCACATAGCAGCAGGGTCCACCATTAGACAATATCTTCCCAGTCGGTAGTACCCAGGGTTGCCAGATGGCCGTTTCCACGGCCAAACTTCTCTAATTAGGCCGTAAAAAACTTCGTCTGGCCGTGAAAAAATGGATGGTCACCGCCAAACTATTTGGCCGAATTTTGTAAAACACGTATTAATTCCTCATTTAGTGGATTCTGAAGAAAAGTCTAGCAGATTTTCAAATTTCACAATGAAAATGCTGGCTCAGTGACCTCACCTTGTCATGACCTCACCTCTTCACATGTTTACGTGACCTACTGATCTTTCTAGTTACCACCTTAGTTGTTAGTTCTCATATTTCAGTTGTTCAGGCTGAACGTGTCCAGCATATGGGTTAAGCTTCAGAGCTTACAAAGCCATCTGACTTACTTTCTGAAATTCCGAGTGCTAGTTTTCAAAATGTCCACTAGTAAATGAAAAGGGTCCTAGGACAGTGGTAGAAAATATAACAAACCAGGGGACGATGAACTAGACGCTTTGCTGACGCCAACTAGTGTTATCATGCTCCACCACCATTTCAGATTAAGGTAAATCTTCACTGTAGATTATAGATATTATGTTTATGTAATTATTGGGCTCTCAATTCTAAGTGAAATTTTGGTTTTATTACGACATTTTAAGTGGATATTGTAGGGGATACTTTTATTTTGTGTGGATTGCAAAAATAGCCTTGTGCTTCCCATCCAAAAAGTTTTGGCCGTGAGATGGCGTGAATTTGGCCGTGAAGCTTGTCGTACATCTAGTAGTACCTGACTAAGTAAACTGTGACGCTATAGGCATTATTTTGTTATAATATTATCAATGTACTTCAATAAATATGATACAACTCTTTTGGTCGACGACACTGTAGGATATGAACGAATCCGGATACAAAGTTGGATTCTTGTGATATAAATCCAGATTCATCAGTAAAACCAAACATATACAAAGTGCTGGGGTGGCCATAACACCTTGACCTAACATATAACAACAAAAGGTAATTTATGAGGAAACCGCTACCACTGTCTGTCCTTAGTTTTTATTTTGTATCATATTTGCCACTTATGAGCTAACTAGCCGTTTATCCAGTGTTAGTACTGGAGGAAACCTGTGGTGCTTGGTGAGGGTCACACTGGATAACACCCTTCTCACGTGTGTCTGGGCCGACAACCATGGATTTTATTTTAGCAATGTGTTTTTCTGGTGGTTTAGACGATGTTAAGACAATTTTCTTCTATGACGTTTCCCTCGCAAATTACTTAAATTACCAGGGGATCCCTGGTTAGGAGGTTAGGTTAGGTAAGATTGTCATTTGAGAGGGATGTAGTGATATTATTATTTCGGTCATCCAGCGAATTTTAGGATTTTAAATTTAGGTGGTATTATTGCATTAGTGGACCCAACTCAATTTCTTTATAAAACACGTTTTTCACATGTTCAGACTATACTAAGACACTTTTCTCGTATGGTATTTCCATCGGAAACAAACAATTACCAAAATATTACGTGATTTAGGCTGAAATTGTGCCCTTTTATACAAATTTACAGGTTAAGTTAAGCTAGATTGATATCATGTTTCGCTGGTAATTTTTGTCTTTTGAACAACTATCTTATAGGTGGAAGACCAAAACGATAATTTTACATCATCGTTATTATTATAGTAAGTATTTTAAAGGTATTTATTTAGTTTCGGTCATCTGGAGAATCTTAGGAATTTAACCCCCACCAGAAAGGGGGTTAGGTTAGATATAGTATCTGGGTTCTATGGCTAGATATGGTTAGGTTAGCTTGGATGTTTAAATACAGGGATGACCGAAATTAAAATTTTACCATTTTAAAAGAGGTGACACCTTTTTTTATTTAATTGTAAGTATGTTTTATATTTTTTTTAGTTTTCTCTACCTTAAATCACCTGTGGTGAAAAAGGGCATAAAGGATGAGGGAAATTGCGGGGGTAAAACACAGTGAAAACTGATCATATGACACTAAGGATATAGGCAAGCATTGGTTTGGTAATAGAGTTGTGGATATGTGGAATAGGCTACCGAGTGCTATAGTAGGATCGGGGACGCTAGGGAGCTTCAAGACGAAGTTGGATAGGCACATGGAAGTGCTGGGTTGGGTGTGAAAGGGATCTGCCCTGTATGGGCCAGTCGGCCTCCTGCAGTATCCCACTTTCTTATGTTCTTATGTTATGTAAAATGATGTCTGTATGTGAAGAAATTAGTTAGTGACCATAAATATTATGCCAAAAAATCAGCCGTGTTGTCACGTGTTGTCGTCTGCTCTGTCCAAGCGTGCTCTCACACCCACAAAAAACGTAAAATGACACCATATATTTTTGCTCTATCTCCTTATATAAGTATCCCTCGATATACGAATTAGTTAAGATAGAAATATTCGTTAGGTGAATTTTCATATTGCCAATAGAAAAACATATGGGGAAAGTAGGGTTCGGTTCTCCAATGACAAAATAATTTCATACCTAACTAATGACAAATAGTGCACAAGTACTGTAATTTTTACCTAACACATGAAAAACACTAATAAATTACTGTCTAACTTTGGTACATTACCTTAAGGAGGGGGAGGACAGTCTGGGCTCACCACCACAAAAGGATGAGATGAGTAAGGGCCTAACCTTCACATGATCCAAAATACTGTAACTCTTGTGCCCAATATGGATCTCTGGTATTACTATGAGAACTTTGATGCCTAATTTATCCTATCTTACTCTTGCAGATTATATTGTTATGAGTCTGTTGGCTGTCAGCATCACGTCTTGCCGGTAGAGGTGTGTTTTCCAAATTAACTTGTACATCAGAAAACTACATAGAACAAGAAGGAAGTGAGTGAGATTAATGGTGTAGCTACACACGTTTCCTCTGGTAACACTCGAGAAGGAGCCAAGTGCACTATAGTACATGCAACATGGAGAACGTTCACAATGTAAAGAACTGCCCATGGATAATGGAAAACCCAACAAATTTGAGAAAATACTTTGATGAATACCACATTCTCCTGGATGATACGCTTGGTCGTCAACATGATGAGAAGGTGAGTTTAGAATTGTGGAAGTAGCTCATGTTTAGAGTGTTATATGTATAATGAATAGGAGAAAGGTAGCTACTGATAGTACTGAGAGAAGAGTAAGATTCATACTGATGTAGAATGTGTGGTTGGACCAGAAGTTCCTACACATTTGATGTAATTTGACAACAGATTGCTGTCTATTAATAATATGTCAGACTCCTGTGTCTGTTTCTCAGTGAAATGAGTAAAAATAAGATACCATTACACTTGTTTTCAATTTCTTTCTGGATTTAAATTTATACCATAAGCTCGGTAATCAGGATAACCAAGGTACTTTTGCTAAGTATTCACTTCAGTAAATTAATATGTATAAAAAAGAATGAGTTCAAGTGTCATAAATATGCAGTATCTATAATAATCATCCACCTGGTGTTGGTGACTTTACATCACATTTAGATGATTGATGATTTAACTTAATGTAACCTAATCTAAATTAACATCTACCGTAAGTGGCATGGAAAGAACTTCATAAGTCAGACAACTGTTCAAATGGGAATGGGAGTAAGTTGACATAATGATGGTTGTACTGGGTGTGTGTCCTCCCTCCCAGCTTACCATGCCTGATCTTGAATAACCTGGACTTTCACTTATATGGTATCCGGGCTATCAAATATCCCGAGACTAAAGTACCTCAAATATATTGCTGCCACAGTTAAAATTATTACCTTACTATGTGTGGTAGAGAAAGATGCATCTGAAAGTCGAGTTAATTTTTTTTATGTATTAGAGTACACGAGTCGTAGGAACTAGGGGTTTATCCATCTGTATCATGGAAGTGTTTTAAACGAGATAAAAAGCCTCACTGCGACTATCTTCAACAGCTTTTGCTTGAGGAATCTGAAATGTCATACAGTTCACATTGCCATTAAAATGCTTGATTACCAGTTGACAGATTGTTAATACTGTACTTATTAATTAACCCTCGGTGAACACTGTGATAAGATTGAGAGGGATTATGACATTTTACTTGTCCACAGGCTGACCACTTTACTGCGATTCGCAACTGTTTTACTCCACCGTGCGCTAAGGGGGAGGAGAAACCAAGCTTTGACCTATTTAACATGGAGAAGTTAGAGGAGGACTGTAGGTGAGCCTAAAACTAGTGTTGGATCATGTGAAGATTTGACACCCCAGCATAAGATTAAACACAGTGGTGCTAACCTAACTCAACCTAACCCCCTTACGTAGCATTAGGGTGTTTTAGTCATGAGGTCAAATAAGCTGGGTTGCCCAGTTTTCATGTGATCCAAGGTGGTTGTTCATTGCTTATTTTTTTATTGAAATATGTCTTTTGTGTGTGCGTGCACAGTTTGATGTGAAAGACATTTATTGTTTCTCAGTGAGTGACTAACCAAGTACTGTAGTGTATAAATATGTGGCACAGCTAAAAAGTTAAAGGAGATAAAAATAAGGGGTTTTTAACATTCATACCAGCAGCTTGGAACCCCTGATGTGACCTCATAAGTAAGGTGAATAAAGTTTAACTTATGTGCAGGTAAGTATGCAATACAGTAAATAACCCGGGTGTTTTATACATAAAGATAATACAGTAGTTAGTGTGATTTAGTAGTGGATTGACTTGTAGCTTGAGGTTGTTGTTATATACAGTACAGTATAGGTAATATAACTCTGTAGTACTTATAACAGATTCACAAACAGCATATGTGACAGTTCTGAAGTACAGGAACTTTACTATGAATGCTGATCAAAGAGTCCGTGTTTAAAAAGGTATTTGTATGAATCTCATTTGGGTACATTTTGGAGTAAGGGTTTTTACCAGTGTGAAGAAAATATGAACTGTTTCATTCGACTAAACAGGAGAAGCTGAAGAGAACACACACACACACACACACACATCTGTGAGGGAAGTACTACATCATCAGGCCCCTCATACACCATCTGTGAGGGAATTACTACATCACCAGGCCCCTCGTGAGGGAATTACTACATCACCAGGCCCCTCGTAACACCATCTGTGAGGGAATTACTACACCACGTCAAGCCCCTCATAACACCACCTGTGAGGGAACTAGTACTCCACATGATGCCCCTCATAACGCCATCTGTGAGGGAGCTACAACACTACGTGTCTCCTGTTCAACACCAGCTCACATGATCTACGTGTGTAAACATTAATCTGTATGTTCACTGTATATGTTCCTTCACCTTTCCCTAATGAAGGCTTTTGTTAAACCACCAATGTATGTAATAAGTCATTTATGTCCAATGCATATTTTCAGCCTTCGGGCTGCAAACTTTTTCAATAAACCGTTTATTATTATTATTACACACACACACACACACATACATGCACACATACACTCACACAGTACTGCCCAAAAACAACATTTATAAACCACACACCACCCAGCACCACCCAACAGATGTTTAAATCTTTGTCAAAATATCTTGCTGCAGCCACACTCTTATGATAATCATTTTCCTACTGCTGAAATATTACTGTGTGGTAGTACAGTATGATGCCAGTAGAACCCACAATCCTGATATGAGTTTTTCCACGAGTGGTGTTAATTTTAGGATGATCAGTAGCTTCATGAAAGAGGTCATCAAGGAGATGTACACTCACTAAAAGATTATTCTGCACCTTTACGGGGTTATACAATATGACACACCGGACCAAGAAATCTGATAACACTCATCACGGCTTCTGTCGCAGGGATCTTTGTGGATGGTTTCAGAGCCAAGGGTGCAGAATATTTTTAGTTAGTGTACAGTGTATTGAAGTGTGGATGATTGACTGTACACATCATGAAGTACTGATTTATTATAGATGTGTGGAGATTGAAGTAAAGATTATGGAATGTATGGAGGAATCTACAGAACTACTACCAAAATGATGTGTTGACATGACTATCTGGGTCATTGTACCATATAACAAGGGATAATGCATTGGAAGATACATTTGAGGTACACTTACTAATAAATGCATTTAATCAAGGATTTCTGTAAGGCCATTAAAATGTACAAAGAGTTTTAATTTTTCAATGTATTCTGACTTTTATTACCGTACCTCTTCTTTCCAGTATAGATTTACTGAATGTTGATGATGAACTGGCGACAGATGTTGCAGCTAATGCTCCTGTTAAACACTGTGGCCGCTTCACCAATTGGTATGCTGGTAGGTAACTTGCATCAGGTTATTGTCACACAAATAGAATAACTAGATTTAGTTCCCCCTTCCTCTCTATTAACTTCTTATCTCTTGTTAGTATTTATTCTCTTATCTCATTTTCTGTACAGTATATAGGTTTTCAGTATTTAGCATTAATTTTTTAATATTTTCATAATAATTTCAGGCTCTTTCCAAGATGGGCTCATACCAGAAGAAGGACCAGAGATTCTTGAAACACTCAAGTCACAGATGCACGAGTTACATCTTCGTGATACTGTCAGAGATTATGCTCGTCTACGCAACCGACAATTGAAATACTTCTCAACAGTCCGAATGGTGAGTAGAACAGGTACTTTTCACCCTTTTAAGCTCTCTCCTGCTCTGTTGCAGAGTGGCAACAACCAAGAGCAAATACAAACACACACTCTTTATTCTCTTGCTATCAGCTATTTGACTGTGTATTCTCGCATTTGCATTGTGTTTTGTGGCTAGTAAGTTGAGTTACAGGTGTCTTCCACATTACAGAAACTCAGGTTGTGACAATTCACCCATGTGGAATATGTAGATTATTACTACTAAATTTGGGATACGGTTCATAAATTCGACCGTACGGAAATGGGGTAAATTTTCAAAATATCTAACACAAAAATCAAGATATAGAACATAAAAAATTTCACAGACATTATAATTTGTTTGGTGTAGATTTCTTGGCATTTGCTACCACCAAACGTGGGTATGCAGTGTACCCACACCACTTGACTCAAATTGTTTATGACCCACCATGTTCAATGGATCTCTCGACCCCAGCTCTTGGATTTAACAATTATATATGTATCTTATCCTAGGCTGTCCAATATATTGCCCTTATTCTAGATGAGTAGAAAGAGACCATCAAGTGCAAGTGAAAGCAGTGGTGCTAAAAGAGCCTGTAAAGGAATTATGTAGGATGTAAAACTTGACGTTTTATGGAGTTTGATGTGGGAGGAAACCTTAGACACATTGCAACAACATTAGGACTTGTCACATCTCCCAGTAATTCCCATTGCACTACCTTGCCTCATGCAGTACTCCACATTGCTTGTTGTGAGTTAAATTCAAGTGTTTTTTGTATTTATTATCTTATCATATATAGATTAAAAAAACAATTTCATTTATAATTGTGCTTGTGTTACTTCTTTTTGCCCCAAAAAGTTTCTTTGGAAACCCATCTCCAATTATATAGTGGAAGTCAGTGGGAAAATGGGGTTCGTGTTACAAAATTTCACGTTACAGTCAAGGACACATCCCTTCTGTAACCTGGGGAATTACTGTATCCTACACGATGAACTGATTAATTGTGCTTTAGAGTGTTGGTATCATACTCTAGGGGTTAAGGGGTCATATCAGGGGTTTAAATTCAGTATAATACTATTATTTAGAAATTATGTGTAAAGAAGACATTGTTGGTGTGTTCACAGGCTTGAAAAATGAATGTCATGCCAACTTTGTTACTCTTGAATTTTCAGTATTCATATACAGTACAAAACTATATGTATTATCAAGGACTTCTATAAACAAATACATAAACATGTTTCAGAGTCAGTATTGTGCCAAATTTGACCCATTGATATGATTCTTTAACAGTACGGTATATAAGAATAATATTACTGTATTGAAAATTCTTGGTGAAAAATTCTCGTTTGGTGTGAAGTTACATACTCTTTACTTTCAGTACTGTTTAGTAAGTAATGATGAAGATAAATGTGGTTGTATCAGTATCTGTATATCATCCAAGTACCTGTATCCCAAAAGCTGATCAATGTTTTTCATTTTATTTAGAAAAAATTTAAAATCATAGGATGTATAGAATTTTTGTGAAATTTTTTTTCTTTCCCTTTTCTTCTGTGAATTGTAGTGGTCCAGTTGACACAGTCTCAGTGAACATCTCAATATTGTACTTAAATTCACCTGCACTTAAAGTTTCTTGGAAAGCAGTACCATACCAAATGTGTAAACCGTAAACCAATATTTAAATTATTTTTGGGGGGGCTAGTTACTCTGCTTGTGATATGTAAATACAAACAGCTGCCAAAGTTCTTCAGTAAGTAAACATATTAGGCAGGTCTTTTATGTGTTCCCTGACCCAGTTTTTATTTCTTACCTTATGCTTATCCTTCATGTTTCTTTCTTTGTGATCCCAAAAGTTTTATCTAAAAAAAATTATAATTTAAATATATTCTCTATGCCCAACAGATTATGAGTGAAAACAACATCCCAGAGCCAACCCATCCTGCTAACAACGGCACTGACGAGTGCCTCAGGGACATTGTATTAAATATTCGTGTCCAAAGACCATATCACAGGAAGACACACATGAGGAAAGCATGCAAGTAAGTACAGGCAGCCCCAGAGATAGGACCGCCCGACTTACGATCACTCACTTATGAACAGGATCCCAATAAATTCATCGCAAAAATTTTTAATTAAAATTCCATTGTTTACATAATTTTTATATTCTATATTGTTTAACATCACTTTATTTACAGAATTTATATTATTTGTTACATATTGGATATTGTTGTTGTTTTGGATGGGCAGGGTTGTGCTTTAACCTAACTTAAACTATGGAATTAACACTGTTCTGACTTACGATCAGGGTACCGGAACATATCCCTGTCGTAAGTCATGGTCTGCCTGTATAAAGAAATATTAAGATTTTATGATCTGGGGTCACTTATCAATTGACCTGTGAGATTGACATTCACAGAACACCCTTATTTGAGCCTTCCTTGTCATTTTTTGAAGTAGGAATTGTTTAGTTACTCTTTTATAATGTTATTTCATACATGATGAGAGGTTATAGGGCTGTGTTCAGTCTCCCTCTTGTATTTTATAGGTTATTGCTTCTTTCTTAATATCCACATATGTACCATATACTGTACTGTACATTTAAATATGGAGGTCTCTATTCAGTCCTAAAATGAATCTTATAGTGATCATAATTCATTTTATGTCAGGAAAGGAGATATTTAGCATGCACTGAATGGTAGTGGTAAGTACAGTGGTCCCTCGGTTAACGAACGGTTCGATTAACAAAATTTTGGTTAACGAATTAGCTCCCATAAGAATTTTCAGTTCGACTAACGAACAAAACTTCGATTAACGATATCCTTACGACAAACACGTTTTGTTGTGCTCATCAGCTGATTGGCTAGTCCGCCAATACAGTAATCGGTTCTATGTTTACATTCGTTTCCAGTGGGGTAAATATCAAGAAGGTTGTGCTCTTGAATATTTTTGCATTTTCTATATTAAAATTATTAGTACGGTAATTTTAAAATTTAGTTAGCATATTGATAATACCTGTATATGCAGTGCAGGGAACTAGTTTTTTGTGCGCCCATCAGCCACTTGACTCACCCGCCAAAGCGTCTCTGTTTAACTTTGTTTACAGTGGAGGAAACATCGTGTTTGTTGGTCTCTTGAATACAGAGTATTTTTACTTGTTTACATTAAAATTATTGGTCATTCTGAAATTTAGTTAACATATTGATAATATATAGCGCAATGCAGTGTTGATTTAAATAAAATTATCTTTAATTACAGCTAGTGAACTTAAAAATTTTATTGGTAAAATTACTGTATCAAGCATGGGTGAGAAAGATGATTCCCACCCCATACACTTATAATGCCTCCCACAAATCTTTTCTGTTTACCCTATCATACTCCTTTTTTTAATCTACTATAACTAAATACAGTAATATCTCCGTTAGTCGGAATCCTTCATACCTGAAACTCACTGAGAGCCGGAATTAAAATTTTCTCGGAAAATCTTTCCCAAGGTCGGAAAATTGCGGCTTTGGGAACGATTTTCCGAGGGGCACATTTTCCGAAAATTATGAAGAAAAAAATTCCTGGTACCCAGAAAATTCTAGGGATGGGGGAGTTTTTTTCCGGGTTTGAGAGATGATGTAATGGGCAATTTCTGGAACTTCCGAGAAAATTTTTCCGTTACCCGGAAAATTCCCGGGGATGAGGGATTTTTCTTCCGGCTTTGAGAGAGTCGTCTAGTTACCCGGAAATCTCTCATTCCCGGAAGTGCTCTGCATTAATTGTTCCGGCTAACGGAGAACGGAGTTATCACTGTACAGTAGTTAAAACCATTTGTAAATAATAAAAAACAACAAAAAGTTTTTTAAAACCAAGAAAAAGGTGTAGATTCATTCCCCCCCTCCCCCCAAAAAAATGTTGTTTGGGTTAAACCAATGGTTTAAATTGGCCAACCCTGGTATACTCTAAGGAACCTGACTGATACATGTTGATACAGCATCATCACCATTCTGTCAAAAAATGGTGATCTACATACCCTGTATTCTTAAATGAATATGATGTTTTGTTATTACTTTCCAATATTCCAATTTTTATCTTTTCTTGTTTCAGCCGATTCCCCTCACACAGCCAAGAGCTGCTGTTGCTTGGCTCACAGAAATTGACTGAATTAAGGGATGCCATCATTTGCATCAATGATCTTGCTATCAACCAAGAGTTATCTAATGATCCCGAGCTTTACCGGGTGGCACACATACCCAACAACCATGTAAGTTAACAAACACCTCAGTTAATAAATCCAATAAAATATATATTTAAAAGGCACAGAACATTGTCTTCTAATATATTCCAGTGGGATGTGCAAAGCTTTGGTCTGTAAATATCTCGTCTTTATTGTCCTTTTGTGCTTACAGCATTAATGTTAACCTTTCTTAGTAATATAGTTCACTTTTACTTTTTACTTATTATAATCCCAACTCAACATTTCTTTCATTTTATCATGCCCCCAGTCCAAAGTACCACAAGTCTCATTTTTTACTCAGCTCTACAGTACACAGGCGACAGACTTAGTTTTCCATCTTAGAATACAGTATTTCAATTGTTTAATTATTTTTAACAATTATATAGTGTTGTCAATTGTACACCTTTTAATATCATATTCATTTTTTTATCAGTCAGCCAAGTCTTTGTTCAAAATATGACTGACTTAGGCAATGTCTTGACTTGCCCATGTGACACTTATGACTAATTCTTCAATAAGCCAACTTTCTTATACAGTAGACCCTTGCCATTCGCTGATTCACAATTCGCAATTTAGATGATTCGTGGTAAACAGATGGTGGCTACCTTGCAAGCCTTTTCCCGCAGCACGAGTCACCCCACGCAGCATCTCGTGTTGTACTTTAGTTTCTGTGTGAAATGGCCCCTAAAAGACTGCCGAGTGTAATGTAAAAGGCGAAAGTCAGTGATGATCCTGACAAAGAAAGTTGAATTATTAGATAAGTTAAAAGAGGGGATGCATGCTGCCGCAGGTGGTCAGTTGTTTGGTATAGAGTACAGTAGTGCACTAAGGTAGTATAAGTTGCTATTCACGGTTTTATCTATTCTTGCCATTCCTTGGAACCTAAGCCCCACAAATAACAAAGGTTTGCTGTAATGAAAATTTTTTCTTTCAGTGATTATATCTTAGAAATTGTCGGGGCACATTTTTCATTTTCCCATCAGTGATTTTAGTGGTTGTCCCATATACAGCATGTATGTATGTATGGCGACCTGTGGTGGTAATAATAATAATAATAATTAACGGTTTATTGAAAGGGCATGACAGCCAGAAGACTGAAAATATACAGTTGCATAATTGGGGAATGGGTCTCTTGATTGACAAATAATATACAGGTAACATATGTGATACAAATATGATATATAACAACTGGGTGGGGAGAAGGTTATACACCTGTACTACAGGGCATTTCGACATAGTGACAGTGTAATGGTCAGCATGCTTTCCTCGCAAGCGAGCAAACCCGGGTTCAATCCCTGGGCATGGTGAAACTATTGGCAAGTTTCTTTACGCCTTTTGCCTCTGTCTACCCAGCAGTAATTGGGAACCTGGATTTTAATCGATTTGCGAATCGTGTTCCGGGGTAATGGTTAGCCAGTGCAGTTGGCGAGTTGTCCGGCCTTCTCGAACTGTTCCTCGACACTGGGTCACACAGCTTGTTAACTTAGAGTGTGGTTGTTGTGTTGGCGACAGCTTCTACTCCTTAAACAAATTCACGCCCTTGGGCCGGCCATCCTCGATTTTGAGGGGCATTCATTATTATGTATGTATGTATGTATAAGTTTACCACAAGTTGCTTTTTTTTTCCAGACACTATTTCCATCATGCTTTTTCTACATCAATGGAGTCTTTTATGAGGACACAAGGAATCCAAATGCAAAACAATACAGTAAAGGAATTATAAAATGGGCTTCCAAACACCCTGACATTGGTAAGCCAAAGGTTATTGTCATTAATGCATTAACATCTTCTGTATTATTTTGTTTAGAGTACAGGTAGTTCTGCTATAACGCGATAATTGTGTTCTTGTAAAATATCGTGTTATAGAAAATCGCGTAATAGAAATAACAGGGCTTATGGAGAAAATAGGGTTAGGTGCAGATTACTCGAAATCGAAAAAATTTAGTAGTTAGCCTAACACAAAGGATAGCACAGTCTAAATAAATGTTACATTCATATCTAATAATGAAATCATACAGTAAATTTAACACTTTACCTTGAAAAAATATGAATGTAACTTGATGGGGGAGAAGGGTGATTTTGAGGTTGATAACATCGAGCTTCTCTTCAAGTGTTATATCCTTTCTTTTACGATAATCACCGGGAATTCTATCATCAGAACGCTTTTTGGAGATATTCTTCTTTACCATATTCACAGTTAATACCACAAAATTGGAGAAATAGTAAGCAAAAATCGCGTTATAGCAAACAAGCGTTCGCGTTATACAAATATTGTTCCGAATTCATAAATCGCGTTAGAGCAAATTCGCGTTATCAAAACACGCGTTATAGCAGAACTCACTGTAGTAACTGATACAGTACTTCTTTCCACCAGAGACACCTGCTCTCCCTTTACATTCTTTATTCCCATCGTCTATTGATCCATTTTATTAAAGTCATGACATCTTTTTCTTTTGCAGAATCCCTTCAAGGCTGACAGTGTTTTTCACTTTCCTTGATTGTGAAACTTCTCGCGTCATTAGTCACTCAGTTTCTTCATAATATGCTTGATTTTTGTTCTTATTTTTCAATTTAACTTCTGAGCTAAAACTCCACACATGTACACATGCATTTCAAGGAAGATCCATCAGAATTGTTGTATTTTGTTGATCTATTTTGTCAGTATTTAAAGAGCCATAAACCAGTCTTGTTATATGATCTAAATAGGCCAAATGAAAATGCTTTTCTCATAGTTAGGTCAGAGGTATTATGTCAAATGTACAATCAACAAAAAAAATTTCTGCACCTTTATGGTGTTACACAGTATGACAGATCGGACCAAGAATTCTGAACAACGCTCATTTACGAGGGTGATTCCTGTTAATCTCTCTGTGTTAACTAAGTGTTTTATAAAAAAATACATCAGACTTTTTAAATTAAGAATATTGTATCCAAGTCCACATGCTCTTCATTTCTCTTATTTTATAGCAACATGCCATCTCCACGGACATGTACAGCTAGACCCCGACTTACGACGGGGTTAGGGACCTAAATCCAGGTCGTAAGTCCAAATGGTCGTAAGTCCGACATAGATTAAATTTTTTTTTTTTTTTTTTTTAATAAAAAATTTACAATGAAATACAGTACAGTAAAAGTAATAAATAATGAGGAATGGATACAGTACAGTGATAGTAATAAATAATGAGGAATGGATACAGTGTGATTGAGCACTTGCCTTTAATGTAGTCAGCTGAATGCACATGGGGCCCCCATAATTTTCTTATTATACATGGAGACTACATTAACTGGAAACGTTTCGGTATAGAAAATGTGTGTGTCATTTGGGGAAAAAAATTGAAAACAAAAAATGGTCACAACTGCGGCGGTCGTAAGTCCAAACGGTCGTAAGTCAAAGCAGTCGTAAGTCGGGGTCTAGCTGTACTGTAAAATTTATATTACTATTTAATTTATAGTAAACTATTTTATATGTATTTGACTCAAATTTAATTAAATGTGCAATACAGGTGTTGCTTAGTGAAGGAACAGGCAACTTAAGTTAGGCTTTGACAAGTGTTATTTACAGCTATGGAACGTAACCCCTTATTTCCCATTAGTGTTGCCAACCGCGGATTTGCCAACCACTGGGTTTTCAAAAATCTACCCCTCCTCCCCCCCTAGTTGGCAAGGAACTACTGTAATTAGAATATTAATTTAATCAGGTCTCTTTTTTTCCCTCTAGGTGAACTACAGACAAAATGTATGCAGGAAACAACATTTTTGGATCTGGAATTACGTTTAGGTTATCCATATGTATATTTACATCTGGGGAACTGTGAGCACATTATTACCTTCACTGATGTAAGGTTAGTGCTGTATACACTTAGTTTCCATTTCATAATGTTTTTCATAGATGTGGTATACATAGTCTAACCCATGAATAATTAAGACATATTCTCCACACATTGTGTCACAAAACAAGCATTGTAATTCTTTCTTCATCCTGGAATTATATCTTTTTCTTCTGCAAATTGTTATGCTATTCTATAAATTAAATTATGGCAACCCTTAATTTCTAGCTTCTGTTTTTTCTGGTGTTTAATTGTTTTTGCAGAAAAAAAATATCTTTTCAAACTTTTTTATTTATTTTTTAATAGGTTGCATCACCAAGATGACATACAAGGCAGGACACGATATCCCCTATTCCGTGGCCAAGCATCAAAACTGTCGGTCAAGTGTTTCATATGCTCCCTGCACTTGGCAAAGTTAGTACAGTACAGTACTGTATTATACACTGGACCCCCACATTACGGAATGGATGTGTTCTAGAGAAGATGGCTGTAGTATTAATTTCCATAATGCGAACCATTTTATCCCCAAAAAACTACCATGTTTAAACTGAAGATGCATTCACACGGAAGTTTTTTAAGTAAACTCGATGAATACAAACAATTATAATGGAAATATATATTTCTCAACACATAAATTAGTTTAAACATTTTATAATTTTACTTACCACAACAAATCATTATACAAGCTCTTGACCTTAGCTTGAATAACCATCATATTTATTGGTACATTATTTTGGGTCTCATCTTCAATCCACACACTGAGGAGTGTTTCTTTATTCAGCATCACTTCATCGCTTTAATGAAAATAAAGTGTCTATTGTCATATATTGTTTCCACCGTAATATCAAGCCCCAGAGTTTTAGCAATGGCGCTAAGTTCTTCTCCAGCATCAAGCCTCTGTAAAATATAGAGTTTTACATCCAGTGTATTGCCGTTACATGCTCGTTTAAGTATAGTACCTTGAACTTGCTGGCCTTTTTGCAGACATCTTGACATCTTGAGAAGAAATACTTTTCGGAGTGTTGAAAAATCTTGAGAGAAAAACAACTAAACACGAAGGCAGATTCAATAATAGTTTTTGTAAAATTTTGTCAGGGCAAATTTCCATAACCAAAAATTTCTGTAATGCGGGTGACCAGTGTACAGTACAGTATAGGGTAAATTTTAATTTCATGTATTTTATTAACCTAATCCTTACATTCATCATACCATAGGGTACCTTTGGAAACAATAGCCAGAAGGTCTTTCATACAGCTGAAGGTGGAGCACACCCAGTTTGTGAGGCAAAATTGTTTGTTTATTGTATAAATGGGTTCATCATTTCTTCCACCCTTTTCACAACCATTTCCAGGTTATGATTGCCCCTCTTGATTCTTCATGGCTTCAGTTCTTGGAAAGTTTCTTCAGGGATTGTCAGACCAGCCATCTTTCGTAACGATGGCTCCACACAATGATTGTGTAATTAACCTTTACCATCTATTTCTTGCTTGTAAATCATAATACTGTGCATTAAAAATGAATACAAAAACTTTATCATGTCAACTTGTATCAAGTTAACAAATCTACACAAAATATAGGCAAATAACATTCAAGATCCTTTATGAGCAACCATGTTAGATGTTTTAAATATCCACTATTTTGGTGAGCAGTGAAAATGTGCCACAGGTTAGTAGCCCCTGGCTATTGTTGTGTTAGGTTATATTGTTGTGTTATGTTAGATTTGGTGATTGTTGAACATTCTATAAGAAGACCTGAAACATTTGCTGGAAAATTGTATGCTGATTTGTTCATTGCATAAAAAATATATAATGCTCTAGGTAAGAGGTGGAAGTTCAGTCCTTTAGCATGACAGAGAACTAAACTGGTTGCTGAGCTATGCTTGCTCTAGCCTGAGAGTTAACTGTCTACAGAATTATAGGAAATAGTATAAAGGATATTACCTTTGGCTTTAGTCATTTATAAATGGTAGTTTTGTATTTTTCAGCTGGATTGTGAGGGAGGAGCCCCGGCTGCCAGTACCAAATGCTCACTTGTGTGATCGATGCCTCAAGGCTTTCTGTTATGACAATAGAGGAATCAAGATCAATAACATCAAAATCTACCCATTCATTGATGAGTTTATGTCACAACAGAAAAAGTTTTTGGGACACACTCAAATTTCAGTTCACAAACCAAAATAAGCTGCTTAAGTTTCTGATGTACAGTATTGTATGTATAGTCATGAACAAAAGTCCCTTGATATAAATATGAAACACTTATGGTCTGGTGCGTTTTGATATATAAATATGGCGCTTCTTGCAGAGAGTTCAACAACATGGCGCCTAGTTTAGTTGCCAGGAGTCTCCTAACAGGTGAAGCTGATCACACCTGGCAACTTTATACACATATACAATCACAAATATGACAACAAACTTAAATTATAATTAAACATCACATTATGGGACTGTATAAAATAGTATTTGGTTACTATACTGTACCCCCTTATGAAGTTGTTCCATTAAGAGAGCTCAGGCTCTCAATTGGCTCAGCCACGTCAATATTGTTATTATTATCGACTGTATCTGTATTTTTCTGGATAAATAAACTGCTTCAATATCAATATCAAGTTATAGAGCAGTGGTGCTCAACCTTTTATGCAAGTGGGCCAAACTTAATGTTTAGCAGTGGTCTTAGAGCCACATAACTGTATGAATGATGTGATGTGAAGCAAATGAACCACAGTGTATATATTTCTTAGAATTTGTTCTTTTATATATAATTACTAAGTACATATATACTTCAGGCTTACTAAAATCTCGACAACTGAGCAAAATTTAAATAGTATTAGAGCACTTTATTTTTTTTTCTTTAACATGTTTCTATAATAATATCATATCACTTATACCGCAGCTTAGATTACTTAATTGAGATGTGAATAAACTATTGGGCTCCAAATGTCTAGTCGATTACTAGATGGTATCACTGTAGGGCATGTGTGTGTATGACCCCCAGGAGGTCAGGACTGTAGGGCATGTGTGTGTGTGTGTTCTCCAGGGGGTCAGGGTTGTAAGGCATGTGTGTGTCCCCCAGGAGGTCAGAACTGTAGGGCATGTGTGTGTGTTTGTGTGTGTCCCCAGGAGAGTCAGGACTGTAGGGCATGTGTGTGTGTGTTCCCCCAGGGGTCAGGGTTGTAAGGCATGTGTGTGTGTGTCCCCAGGAGGTCAGAACTGGGGCATGTGTGTGTGTTTGTGTGTGTCCCCAGGAGAGTCAGGACTGTAGGGCATGTGTGTGTGTGTGTGTGTCCCCAGGAGGTCAGAACTGTAGGGCATGTGTGTGTGTCCCCAGGAGGTCAGGACTGTGGGGTGTGTGTGTCCCAGTCAGGGTTGGCGTGTGTGTGTCCCCAGGAGGTCAGAACTGTAGGGCATGTGTGTGTGTCCCCAGGAGGTCAGGACTGTAGGGCATGTGTGTGTATCCCCAGGGTCAGGGTTGTGGGCATGTGTGTGTGTGTGTCCCCCAGGGGTCAGGGTTGTAGGGCATGTATATGTGTGTCCCCCAGGGGGTCAGGGTTGTAGGGCATGTATATGTGTCCCCCAGGGGTCAGGGTTGTAGGGCATGTGTGTGTCCCCCAGGGGGTCAGGGTTGTAGGGCATGTGTGTGGGTTGTAGGGCCCCCCAGGAGGGGAACCCTATGGTGTGTAAGAACATAAAACTCTCCAGCAGTAGGTATAGAAGCATATTAAAGTAGAAGTGGTTGTAGCAGGAAGAAAATAAGAGGAAATTTTTGTTAAAGAAACAGTTAGAATCAAAGAAAACAGTGTGGGGAAATAGCTAAAAAAATCAAGGCAGAGCAGAGAGGCCTTCCTGCAACAAAAACAGAAGCGTTTACTCCCTCCAAAAAAATTACCTGATGCAATAAAAAAAAAACTAATTAGTGAATATTACTTTTACTTTTATCCTCTTCACCACTGATCGGCTCGTTGGGCGATTGGTCACGTCTGTTAGGCACTGTTGGCAAGTACTAGGCATGCACTGGCTCCTGAATATATCAACCTGTTTCAGTGTTGGTCAAGTGACCAAGTCTGGTCTTGAAAGAGCTCACATTCGGTGCCATCACAACACACTGGCAGATTGTCCCAAGAGTTCACAACTCTCACTCTGAAAAAGTTTCCGCTCACAGTTTTCTGGGCTTAAGTCGTCTCCCGTAGCGGCCGGCTAATCCACACCCCTGCCCGTTGTTTTACATGTGGGATACAACCCTGCCGACAATAAGTCTCCTGCACTTCCCGTAGGGAAGGGGGAGTATTGTAGTGGAAATTTCCCCTACAACTACAACTGCCGTTTGTCGCTGACTAGCCGATCCCTTTTCTGGTTACCCAGCCAATGCCTCGTGGTCTAAGGTTGGCTTCTTGCGATGTCTGACAAAGTGGAGGTCAGCTATCAAGGCACGCCTTCCTCCGCTATATAAGACCACCTCGCCGTGACCTGCCCTCTTCTCTACCTACAGCCACGCAACACCTCCTCTGAGCACCCTGACCAACCAGCTCTAACTACTCCAAGCAGCAGCTTCCCAGCACCAAGCTACAATGAGGTTATGAGGATACACTTACCAACCTTCCGGACATATCACAGTGTATACGTATCGTTTCGGAACTTGTCGATCTCGCCCTTCACCGATACTTCTTGGTGCAAGTGTACACTCAATACAATATATGTGCAGAGAACGCATTGTGAGTTTCCTTTCTCCAACCCATCCTGAGTGTGAGACAACATCACGAAACCCCACGGTAGCTGAGGTGCCGTAGTACAGGCACCAGTCTAGCGGCCCTCCTTTGGACATTTTCAATCAACTGACAGTCCCTAGCATACCTCGAGGAACAGACGGGGAAGCACCTCGCTCTCGAAGATCGTTAATAGGGATGGTCCAGACCAGGGCCGTCCCTAGGAGGGTGCGGGGCCGGGGCAACTCAGCTACTCCGGGGCCCCAGAAAAAAAATATATACAGTATATGGAGTCAGATTATGCGGTCAGAGGAACCCACCCCCAACCAACCCCCATGGGACTGTCGCTTTAGATGGTAAGGTTGTGGGGTTTTATGGTGTGTTTGGTTCTCACTCAGGATGGGATGGAGAAAGGAAACTCACAATGTGCTCTCTGTATACATGTTGTATTGGATGTACAATGCAGCTTGGTGCTGGGAAGGCAGCATGGTTACAAGCGTGATGTAGAGAGAGCTGGTTGGTGAGGGTGCTCAGAGGAGGACCAGCTTGTGGGTCGCCATGCTAGCCGGCGGGAGCGAGGACCGCCAGGCAGGCGGAGGAGGAGCGAGGGCCGCCAGGCAGGCGGAGGAGGAGCGAGGGCCGCCAGGCAGGCGGGAGCGAGGACCACCAGGCAGGCGGGAGCGAGGACCACCAGGCAGGCGGGAGCGAGGACCACCAGGCAGGCGGAGGAGGAGCGAGGGCCGCCAGGCAGGCGGAGGAGGAGCGAGGGCCGCCAGGCAGGCGGAGGAGGAGCGAGGGCCGCCAGGCAGGCGGGAGCGAGGGCCGCCAGGCAGGCGGGAGCGAGGACCGCCAGGCAGGCGGGAGCGAGGGCCACCAGGCAGGCGGGAGCGAGGACCACCAGGCAGGCGGAGGAGGAGCGAGGGCCGCCAGGCAGGCGGAGGTGAGGACCGCCAGGCAGGCGGGAGCGAGGACCGCCAGGCAGGCGGAGGAGGTGGTGTTGCTGGCTGGTTGGTGTAGGTAGAAAGAGACAGGTCACCACGAGGTCAGGTCTTCAATAGCGGGGGTAGGCGTGGCTTAGTAGTTGACCCCCGCTCCGTGATGTATGGCGGCGCTGGTTGACCTAGACCACGAGGCATACACTGTGGAATTCGTGGGGTCGGCTACGCAGCGACAAACAGCGTTTGTAGGGGAGAAATCCACAACAAGGTCACGGTTGCGATGGTGGCGTAAGCCGTCAGGTCAGATTAACCAGTCAACAGGTAATGTGTCCAAGGTCACTGGGTCTAGAGCTGGGCCTCGGGCGGTCGCCCCTGTTACCCCCCCCCCCTAAAGGACGGACCTGGTCCAGACCGTCTAGATATCTGAACGACCTTCTTATAAGACCTAAATGGGAAAGAAAACTAAATAATTTGTTTGTATATATTATGGAACATACCTATTTTTCTTATTTTAATACTACATATGCCATTGAAACCCCAGTTGCTGGTGCGTTAGAGACAAATAAATCCCTTTGCTAAGTATTACATTTTTAATTCTCACACACTACAGTGCAAAAAAAGCTTACCTGTTAGTTTATTTTCTCAATAATGGTGCAAAATTATTATTATTAAACAAATTCAAGTTTAGTAACAACTAAAATTTGTTAAGGAATTATTAAGATTAAAAGCATGAAAAATGTTGTTGCCCAAAACGTACTACTATCTATATTGTACATGATTATTCTGGGTGCTGTGTATTTTAATTATTAGGGGCTCACGAAATGACTAACAATGTGAGAAATTAATTTAACTATCACTTTCTTGAGGGAAGGTGTAGCTGTCATGTGTTGTGTTGTGTGGTGTAGTGGATGATTTTACAACTATAAAAGTATAAATTCAAGACACAAATGTTATTCGGCATCAATCTGGAGGTAAAAATATGATTTATGTTTTATGTACCTAGTAATAGTGAGGAAAATGTTGGTGTTAGTTGGTTTTAACTTAACTCTTGTTTGTTATGTAATAGGTCAGTAGAGTGTTGTTAGTCACGCGGCAGGACCTGTTGCCTGATAGGAGCAACACCCACTTACTACTGAGTGGGCTGCTTTTCTCGACTGGGCGGTAACTAAAGAAAACATGCACTTTCCGACGGAAATCAAGGTCAGAACCATTCTAAACACAAAAAAAAAAACATTAGAAAACCATAGTTTTGACTTTCTAAGAGTTGTGTGAACTATTGTAAATTTTTTTTTTTTTTTTTTAGTCAGGTTAGGACAGGACATGGCCTGTTAGGTTAGGTCAGGTAACCTAACCAAACCTAACTAAAAAACAAGTGATTCGCACCAAAGATAAATGTCAGAATCATCTAAAACAGCAAGAAAACTAGTGAAAAAAATATATTTTTCATGTGAAAAAAGGTGATGGGTTAACAAAAAATTACCCAAAATACACTTAGAAAAAAACTAGAAAAACATATAAACCAAACCTAACCTGACCTGACCTAACCAATCCTAAGCTAATCCATCCTAACCATACCTAACCCGACCTGACCTAATCTAACTCATACGGTGATTTTACGTAACCAGACTCTCACCATATGAGGGAATCACTGTTATTTCTTGCCTTATTCCGAATTAGAATCTTTACTGAGGTCGGGAGAACACCATGAGACCTAAAAAATACTATTGCTTGTTCATTTTTCTTCCCCAAAATGCACAATTAACTCCATATAATTGAAGTAACACCCATCGCAGACTTCCATGGTCGGAAATGAATTTGAATTTCGAAGCATGAGAGAACCAAAATCACAATCGATTCTGATTTGGCAAAAAATACCACAGATTCTTAAAGTAGAAACCACAATTCATTTTAATTGGTGAGAAAAAGCGTTTTTGATTGGCCGCATGATGTGTACGGGAACGCATGCGCATGATGATTTATGAAGGGAACACGCTCAGTGGGAGGTTGGGTGCCACCATGTTTCATAATTTGAGTCCAAACATTAAGAACTATGTGTCTCAGTGTACATTACTGAGCTGCCCCATTGCTGATGTCATACCAACCAGTCATAATGACATTAATTTTACACAAAGTAGTTACCAACAGAATCTGGAGTTGACTTTTTAAGATTTTTCTTGCCCTGTTTTTGGCATCTGATTTAGTTGTACAAACCATGAAAATATTTTTTATGGCAACATGTATTTTTATTTCCAGTGAATCATAGGAAGGTTTAGAAACAGTCTACATGGTAAAACAGGACAATGAAGATTCAGTTTGGAGAGAAAGGGGATGTGTCGTGGGATGTGCTGTTAGAAGCACTGGAACGGGAAAACCAGCACCAGGAGAAGCAGCAACACCCTCAAGATTATAAGAGGAGTTGTGTGAGAAGGTAAAGAGTTAAACATTTGTCATCAGCTACAGGTAACTGGCATGTTACACTCCACTAATTTATGAAACAAAGGATTAATATGACTAGAGTCCGTCCACTCATTTTTCTTCAACTTAAATTTATTTGTATTTCATATGTTAATTTCTGGTATTCATGGTCAAAATACTTGGAGGAGAGTTGATGTTGAACAATTTTTTTTCTATATCACAGAAATGTGAAGTAAAGTGTAATTAGGCACAGGAAACGTATTTAATAATTTCCTGTGTAAAGAACTGCACTAATTAAAGTGTTTCTTAATTCTGTACTTCTTCATCAGTGTTCAACACAAATGCTGTGGAGGATCATGGCTATCCATAGTGTTTATAATCACTGTGGTGACGATATCTCAGGCATCACTTATTCTCTACCTGATAAGTACTTCAGGCGCACTTTACACACCAGTTGGTCATGTCGTTTACAATGATTCTCTCGGAAAGGCAAGTAACATTACATGGAATACAGATTTTTTAATACCACTGTAATGCCATCTGACTCATTGTTACTTATTTTAAGTTTCTCCAGTTATTTAATCCTCAGCGAATCCCACCATACCATTAGTTACTATTATATAACTTATACATGGATCAGGTAACTTATGTAGCTACAATCAGCAATCAATGGATTGGGATGTACCAAATACCCCAAAAACCCACAGTAGGCATATGTTGTATTAATGGGTTTGAGCACACACTGAAGTATATACAGGTACTGTGGTATAGTACAGTAGTACCGTATAATATGATTGATTGAATGTGGTAATTACATCCCTGGTGACGCAACAGCTTAGGTCTTATGTCACAAAAGTAAAATAAAGACTTAAAAGACTAAAATCAAATGATGCAAGGTAAAAAAAATAAATAATAAATAACAGAACTTTTATAAAAACCATTTAAACGTTAATAGATAAAAGTTTTTTAGAAGGCCGGCTTCCTCCTTAAAGGAGCGGATGTCCCCTCCCATACTACCACCCCCTCCCAGCACTGGAAGAGGTGGACTACTGTATAAAAGAGAAACAGAAGATGTAGATACAGTACTGTATACTGTACTGGCCTTCCTCTGACCTATTTAGACTACAGGTACAGCATAAAGAGAAATATCCATAATGGAGTAATTTTCATTATATTCAGTAGTATATTAATTTTTTCTTCTTGCATATAACTGCATTATAATAAAATTTGGTGGGAATTTGAGGGCTGAATGTTAGTGCCAACATAGATGTGTAAATTATAAAAGGTTGGCACAGGATGTACAGTATTTTACTACAGTATACTAAAACTTCTGCTGTGAGTTTTATGGGTTAATTGTGTATGTGTGTTGGTATCTACAATGTTTAGTATTTGTTTTGATATTTTTTAGATTTTCATTATTCTGTTTTGTTTTGTTATATGGTAAGTGTTTACATTAATTTGGCATCTGAACAGTGGAGTGTCAGCAATTGCCTCTTGTAATTCATAAAGTTTTCAAGGTGAATACATAATTAACATAATCAAAAGTCTTCTCAAGTTCCTTGTTATTTAATGTATGTAAGGTATCTCACCCATCTTACTTTTTTGAGAAATAAATTTTCATTAACAGATTTTTTTACTAGAGAATCCTTCAGCTTCAAGTATTATTGTGAGATCAATAGACTTAGTGTACATGAAATATTAGAAGTAAATTTCATTTCTTTTCAGTTGCGTCATGTGCACTTCTCCTGGTCCAACTGTGGGGATGTTTCTGACCCTGTTCAGGTAAAACCTGAATTTATGAAGGATTTCTTCATTAAAAAAATATCTTTAGATAGTTTTACTGTACACTGCATTACGACACAGTATTCTTAACTGTAAATCTACAAACCAGTAGTCACTCTATAAAGTTTTCAGAGTACCTATTACCCCCACTACTCCATAACTATTGCATTTGACATACAACTGTAGTGTGCTTGGAGGTACACATGATCACTTTTTCTTGATGATAGAAAATGGTAGAAATATTATTTGTATATTATGGGGATATTGGTATTGACCAGGTAGATTAAAATAAAAATAAATATGTGGCATTCATGAGTTTATAAAAGCAACTATACCGAATGGTTTGTAATTATTGCATTTGTGAAAATATGACATATACCCATTCTTCCATTTAATGATGAAAATATGGTTATGTTGATATTGGGTACTACAGTAAACCCTTGATTTCCTTGGGTTAAGTTTCTGGAGAACTTGATGTACTTTGAATTATTTAAAAAGTTAACTGTAACAAACCCAAAGTACAGTAGCTCTATTATAGTAAGAATTTTATACATCTGGACTGAGTGTCAGATGCTTATCCAAGGGGGCTGCCCTTCCCCCTTGAGAGGTCTGTTTAGGTAGAAAGCTTTTTTTGGAGCACTTGCTAGCTTCATTTTTTGTCACACAGGGTATCATCACTGACTTTAACATAATTAGGACAATTTTAACAGATCAAATAAGGTCCCAGATAAATGTGACCTACAGTGAGCAAGGGTGCTTCAGTTGAAAGGGGAGAATGAGTCTGATCACACCAGGGCTCTCAGTTTTGTGTTAGGACTTGTATTTACATCACTCTACCCTACCCACATCATATTTTTATTTCTGTTTTCTTGTGCTTGTATTTTTTATGTCATTTGACAGGAAAAGGAAAATCTCAAACTAAAGGTTTTCTTTTATTATTATTATTAATTAATTTGATTAAATATTTTTTCAGCTGAAACAGTTGCAAGTACAACCAGATCCTCTGCTCATAAAGAGGAACATCTCTCTGAACTTGAATTCTTTCTTAACTGTGGATGTAGATGCACCAATATCAGTAAGTTATCATAAGTAAGGCATCAATGTACTTGTAACAATGTGTGACAATGTATTTCCTTTTAATTCCACTTATAATTATAGACTTTATCTTAGTAGTTTAATCAGTTTATCATCATATGACACATTGTCGGCTATAAGGTGTAGAAACACCCAAAATTCCCATAGATGTGAATGATGGGGCGATACTGTATAAGAGGATAGTGAGTGCATGTTATCACTAGAAACCCCTTCAGTTACCTTTACTGTACAGTACATTATTTTATCTTACATGAAATGTTTGCAGTTTGTAAATTTAACCCCTTATATATGGGGTCTCATCTGAGCTGAATAAAATTATCTGTCATCAACCAAACAAAATACAGGGTGTATTAAAATTGGCGTCCCCGTAGTGAAAGGGTTACCAGGGCCGGATCCTGGGGTTCCAGAACCCCCCCCCCCCCCTTCACCAGAAAACTCCAATACTGTACTTTTTCTATAATGCAGTATTGTATTCAGGCATTTTTATATAGTAAAAAGTAATTACCAATGACCTCAGAATATCTCCTAATATCAAATGCACGTGGTCTCAAAATGTCCATGATATTGGTCAGGTGGGCTCGCTGTGCTCGCCATGTTCCCCCACCCACAACTTCTTGGACCCCCCCTATTGTTATTCTTGGATCAGCCCCTGGTTACCAAGCTGTAATTGGAGTCTACATACACAAAAGACCTGCAGATTTTATCCCCTTGATCCTTGAAGTAAATTCAATAGACTGGGAAGGTTTCTTGCTCTGCCTACATTAGTTGGACTAAATATAGAGCACATGTGGTCACTATAGGGAGGCAGATTGCTGATGTTAGTAGTTGTATATACAGTATTACTGTGGAAGTACTTATTGACTAAGGTCTTCAAACTGTGTATTTTAATTTAGTACTGTACTGTACCTTCATTTGTCATCACCAAATAAAAATAGAGAGAGATACATTATTTACTGCTGATACAATGTGGCTTATAAGTTTGTATACATTTTGCTTAATAGAGTCTAGACAATTGATTCTCATTTAATTATATTTTTTGATGGGCTGAAGTGTTTTTCACTATTTTATGCACTACCAGAGTTACCACAAGTCAGGGAAAGTTAAGGAATTTATTTCTAAAATTTCTCTGGCCACCCTGGGTAGTCTTATAATGTTACCACAACTCACTTTTATGTACAGTATAACTGAATCTGCATGTTTGATTTTTTTTTTAAGAATACAAAGCATTATATAGAAACTGCATACACAGATTTTGCACATTGAGAGATTTTGCTGTAATTGGTGTTATTCACGTTGTGTCTGAAATTTCAGGCAATTGTTAAAGTAGAACGTCGCATTGGTTGGCTTTGGGTGAAGCTCCCGTGTCTGGATGAGTTAGGATCCTGTCATTATGAAGATTTGTGTAAGTTGGTCCCACTATCACCTACTGAACCTTGCCCTGATCCCTTTCCAAGATTCAAACTTCCGTGTCGTTGCCCACTCTCAAAGGTAAGTGCTTTTTCATCTTAACAGTAGTTTGACTGTAAACAAAACTCCAATAATTGAATGGAATGAACATAATACCCCTGTAGAGTCATACCAACTGTCTGTATTGTTTCCATCTTGTGTTCACTTCATACTAACTGTTTTGCTTTGTCATAGAACATGTTGATAGTTTTAACACTTTTAGCACTCTTCTTTTTAACTTGTTCTCTTACACATGGATTCATAATTCACAACTCGGTCTTCCATTATGTAAGTGGACAAAAGTCGTATTGCGGTTTTGTCTGAAGATTAAATATAACTCGTGAAACATTATGAGAGCCCCCTACCACAAGGCAGAGCGCACCAAAAGTTTAGCCTTTCGGCATATGTTTTCCCCAAATTTCACTACACAACTTTTGTCTCATTGTACATTCATATGAAAAATATGCTCCAAACCTACCTATGTAGACTGATATCTAAAACATTTTTTAAGGATATAATTAATGGGAAACATGATTTATATTATAAACTATACAGTATTAATGATATCAACACAAAATTAATTTACTGAAAAATAAAAGGAAAACCTACAAGTTTAGGGTTTGGCAGGATATACTGTACACACACATGCAGTTAACATTTAATTGTACTGGTACAGTCTCTCCTCGACTTACGACATCCCGGACATACAACGGCCCTGTCTCCTCCTTTGCTTCATCCAGTTAATGTAGTCTCCATGCTTAATTTAAAAATTCTTGAGGCCCCTTGTGCATTTAGTTGACTACATTAAAGTTAAGTGCACAGTAACACTTTATTCATTTTTCATTATTGATTACTTTTACTTTACTGTATTTCATTTTAGAATTTCTATGTATTATTCTCGCCTTTTCGACTTACGACCACATCGATTTACGACCTGGTCGTCGGGACAGAACCCCGTCGTAAGTCGAGGAGAGACTGTACTCGTAAAAGATGGGGTTAAGAGACTGCGTGGGTTGGTTTATTGGTTAGTGGCAGATAATATAATATACAGTTGTCTGCACTTATACCTGGTACAGTGGCTTGTGTATTTTGTGAGATATGGTAACTGTGGAATGCTTATCTAGCATCCTCTGGCTACTATTGCAGGGTTCTTTAAGTCTATTCCAGGAGTTTTGATATGATGTAAACAAAACATGCCAACCACTGTACCATGTATAAGTGCAGGCAACTTTACACTCTCTAAAAAATATTCTGCCCCCTTGGCTTTGAAACGCTCCGGTGTGTCATATTGTAAACCCCGTAAAGCTGTAGAGTAATCTTTTAGTGAGTGTACATGTTTATTTATTCAAAGTAGGTTTTTGTACTACTATATCTTGATCATTTCCTTTTAGGGTCATTACAGTGTACAAGATGGCGTGTTCAGCATTCCAGGGATTGCAGATATTTTACCTGCCTGGCTGGTGTCAGGTGACTACTATATACATGGAACAGCATATAAGGATGGCAGGAGACTTGGTTGTTATACTCTTTATATCTCTGTCTCATATTGAGTTTTATATTTATAGGTCCTTTAACTTGTTCCCTCAGGATTTTATAAGTTAGTGATACAGTACTTATTTATCTTTTATGTATGAGGATCATAGCATTTTTAGGATGAGATGTTCTATCATAGTTTTACTGCTTCAATATAGAAAGTAATAAAGAATATAAATTTTATCATAGATTATACTAAAGAAAGTCGACCATTTAAAGAATCATGCAGTGATAAAAATGGAGTGTTCAGTGTGACAGATTTTATATATTTACCAGCATACTTGGTGTTGAGTGTTCAGTATGTCTGTTGAATGACACATAAAAATGGCAGGGAACGTGGTTGTTGTACTGTTCATGCTTATTGAGTTTTATATATGCAGTAGAGCCTTAGCTTCTTTGCTAAGGATTTTATCTTGTTACTTACAATATGAATATTATGCATCATGATAATATTTTACAGTTGTGATTTATTTTTATCTAGGTTTTATAAGTACACTACAAGTACATGTACAGTACAGTACTTACCAACAGTATGTAACAAAAGACGTGATTGATCACCCAAGTGGCTAACAGGGTGACATTGGCTAAGAGGAGAATGAGGAAGGTCACTGATTACAAAGATCCAATTTAAAAAAAAAATTGAGGTTTATGTACAAAAAATCCAGGGGTATGAATTTTCTCTCGTTTAAAAAGAAAAAAGAAAACAAAAAGGTACAGTATTAATAAGGACATTTCGGGTTCCTGTACCAGACCTAGTTAGTTTATAAAGATTTGATACAACTTTTGTTATACCTACGGGGTAATTCACTCCAAACTTGTTGAAAAATATTTGATGTAACATTAGAACCTTGATATGAATGCATTGTTTTAGAAAGTCCAACGAATGTGAAAAATTTTACTGTCAAAGATTTAGCAATAGCATGAGCTGTAACCTGTTAACGGAAATAGCCTCAGGAAACCTAGTTGAGGCACAAATTACAGTAATCATAAACTAATTATGTAGCTTTGTTTGTGGAAGAGGTCCTACACAATCAATAAAGATTCTACAGAAAGGCTCTTCAACACCTGGTGCATTATGAGATGCAGTGTTGATAAGCAAAGTACCTATAAAATCATAAAAATTCATATAAACTGAAAGGTTGTAAAAGAATAATAAAAATTCAAAGATTTGCTGATGTATCATAAAGTTATTATATTTTTTAACTGTTGCGCTCTAGTATTTGCTAGCAGTGATGAGCGAAATGAAATGGGATCATCCTAATCTATTTGGTCAGATTTTATAGCACAAAACAAAAGCAAACTGACAGTATTTGTAGGTGCTTGTTATAGGGGCCCCCGACTCTGCATTGGAGGGGAAAGTGGTAGATTCGAGTCATCCAGACAGCATCCAGAGCCCAAGCTTTTGTCAAAGGAGATTTTAATCATGAGAAAATAGTCTGGGTGAATCTTACCACACAAGCTGAGGGAGAAGAATTCCTTGACCTGATTCAAGACTCATTCCCCATACAACACATGATGGAACCCTCAAAGGGAGACAACATTCTGGATTTGATCTTGACTGAGAAGGCAGTGGTGGACAAGGTCTATGTGGGGGAAAGCGTATACTCAAGTAATATTTTTGTTATGTCAATAGTCGCCAACTGAAACAAATTCTGCATGCAGAAACCAGTGTAGCAGTGCATTACATGACAAGTAATTCAGTGCCTTAAACCGATTGATTTTTTTCCAGATACACCGTATACTGTATAGTACCTGAAGATTTAATTTTAAAGGAATTCTAACATTCTGACTTTTTACTATGCTGTGTGAAGAAGCAAAGTGTTAATGTAAAACCCCTCAGAATTTGCTCCCTATTTTTCATAATTGTTATAGTAATATGTTCAGATATATGGTAGATTTAAAGGGTTTCTTAAGGTCTGACTATCAAAGGAGTTATTTAGTGTTAAACAGTACAGTACTATAATGTGGAAAGAAGAAACTAGTGTCCAACAAATTTTTCAGTATACTGTAGTGTACTGTATTAGACAGAATAGACATTTATTATGTATATACAGGTATAGCTATATTTTGTATATTCATCCTCATATTTTATAATAAATAAGTAATTTAGCTGTTTATTGACTTATTATAACCAAAAATACTGGTCACAGGAATACCATTTACATGATATGATTTATAAGAAAAGATCTCACTTGGATATCATAAATTTTTCTTCAATTGGTACAAATATTGGAGAATTTTTATGCCAGATACCCTGTATAGAAAATTTTTTAAATAACTAGAAAAATATAAATCCCAATACAGGTTAATTTGACAAAAAAAATCTGAATTAACCGAGTTCGGAATATTTTGACATAGTTCGACAATTTTTTAATTTTTGTGTTTGATTATTCATTCCTTTTTTCTTAAGTTATGGCACCTTGCCATGGCTGCCCCATAAAATAATCTATTTATAATTATTGTGCAAACATAAATATTATTTTAAATGTACAGTCAGCAAAAGATGCACTGACTCCACCCTGGGTCTCGTGCTCGCAATTTTACCTGGCAATACTTGGTAAAGGAATGCTGTATGTAAAGGTGATTGTGATTGGTGGCTCTGTTTTAGGCTGTATCACTGTCAGGATAAATATTAAACAAACCAAAGGTAGAATTTTTATAATAATAAACTATTCATTGTTATTTAAGGTCACAGCTGCCACAAGATTCTCACATAAAATTTTATTCATTATTTAAACAAATATCTGAAGATTTGGAAACATCTCATGACCTTAAATAACAATGAATAGTTTATTATTATAAAAATTCTACTTTTGGTTTGTTTAATATTTATCCTGACAATGATACAGCCTTAAACAGATCCACCAATCACCTTTACATACAGCCTTCCTTTACCAAGTATTGCCAGGTAAAATTGCGAGCATGAGACCCAGGGTGGGGTCAGCGCATCTTTCGCTGACTGTACATACAGTAATAATAAAGTAATTAATACAGTAATAAATAAATGTAACACTGCGAGGTGAGCTAACGATGCGAGAGGTGAGGTGACAAGGCAGGAGGAGAGGTGACGTGGCAAGACACATGGCAGCAGAGAGATTAGAACGCCTGGAACTACCTAGCTTATACTACAGACGGGTGAGCGGCGACGTAATCGAAGTGTGTAAGCATCTCAGAAGGCACTACTTGGTCGAATATACATACCTGGTGCTGGCGGATGTCTGCCCCACAAGGGGTCACAGCTCAAGATTGAAGAAGCCGCAAGTTCAGAAAACTGTGAGGGCAAACTTTTTTGGAGTAAGAGTTGTGAACTCTTGGAACAATCTGCCAGAGAGTGTTTTGATGGCACCAAGTGTGAGCTGTTTCAAGACCAGACTTGACCAACACTGGAGCAGGTTCAGATACATTCAGGAGCCAGTATATAACTCAGAAGTAGATGACAGATATTGCTAAGTGTTCAAGTTTGACCCCGACTGTACAATGAAAGACAAAAGTCGTGTCGTGAAATTTGGTAAAAACATATGCCGAATAGCTAAACTTTTGGTGCACTCTGCCTTGTGGTAGGGGGCTCTCATAATGTTTCACGAGTTATATTTAATCTTTGGACAAAACCGTGACACAACTTTTGTCTTTGATTGTACAATCCCTCCTTCTTGGAGGGAGTGGAGAATGACGGTAACACCTGCTACAGTACTGTACAGGACAAAGGCAGGCCATCCTGTATTATCATGTCACCTTTTGGCCTGCCTGCACCACAAGCTCAAGATGACAGCATCTGCTGGTGACTACAGTATATTTTGCTTTCCGTATTTATATAGTGTACAGTATACAGTACTGTAGTGTTATATTTTGTTTATTTACAATATATATGTATACAGTGGTGTTTGTGTAAATAAATGCAGCCCTGTGTCTATTCATGCAAGATGCGTTTGTTTAGACTTTTGGAAATCTTTTCCCAGTACCCGGAAAAATTACGGGGATGTGAGAATTTTTCCGTGGATAAAAATTTTGTCTCAATACCCAGAAGAGCTCTGCACCAATTATTCCAGCTTGCAGGGATATCAGTAACAAGTATTCTATAAAAAAATACCAACATCAGAGTGGCGCTGTATAGTAACCAGACTCCAAGAACACCCCCACACATTACACGTAATCCACATAGGAGTGAAAATCTTGCCACAAAATAAAAGAAATATTATGGTGATTGTATTCTCCACAGTAATACTGGACGCTTGATTTGCAGTCTGGATTAACCAGCCCAAGAAGCTAACATGCCATCAGTTGTGAAGAGGATAAAGTATAGAAGATACAAAACTTCTTTGTTCCCTCAAGAATATTCCAAAATGGAGGATTTCCAATTTTTGTGATATTGTTTTTCTTTGAATCTTATTATTCTAGTATACACTCCATCCACATGTACGTATATGCAAATGTAAATCTAATGGAATGAAGAGTTTGTAGATGACTAGAAATCAAGAACCATGCAGACTGTGAAGAGTTGCAGAAGGATCTCTGTGAGCTCCAAGAATGGTCGAAGAAATGGCCCCGAGCGTTGCTCAGGGGATTGGTATCCCCGCATCCCCTGAGCAACGCTCTTGTGTATTATGCAGAAGACCCGACAGCCGCACCCTTATCCACTACCTCCTAAGATGTCCCCACACACAACGCTTCCGTGACGCCTGCTGGACCACCACTCCACGACCCCCTGACAGAGACACGATGATCCTCCCCATACTGACCAGATATTATGTAAATAATATTGATAATGTGTTAAAGGAATATCCTTCCTTCCTTAGGCTTTAGTAAGTCCCTTTATAATATTATACTGTATATACTTGTGACACTTGCCAGATGCTTCTGGTGTTATTGTACAGGGGTACCTAGTGACAGCACTAGGATCCCGCTTCCTCTATCAAGGAATAAACAATTGAAATTGGTATGCACCTGGAGCATACCAACGGTTAGGAGGCGTATCATATGTCCCAACGGGATGAAGAAACTGCACTATTTGAGACAATGTGAGAAGGACCTAGGTGTGTATGTTGACAATGAACTGAAGTTCTCGGGCCATTGCGAGAAGAAGGTAAATCAAGCAAATAAATTATTGGGTCTTCCAAGAGGGTCGTTCAGATATCTAGACGGTCCGTCCCTCGTAACGATCTTCAAGAGTGAAGTGCTTCCCCATCTGGAGGACTGTCACCCCGTCTGGTACCTGAGATATGCTAGGGACTGTCAGTTGGTGGAAAATATTCAAAGGAGGGCCACCAGACTGGTGCCTGCATTTCGGCACCTCAACTACCCTGAGAGATTGGAGCGCCTGAACTTGCCCAGCTTATATTACAGACTGGCAAGGGGCGACATAATTGAGGTGTATAAGCATCTCAAGGGGCACTACTCAGTCGAGTGTCCTTATTTGGAGCTGGCGGACGCTCGCCCCACAAGGGGTCACAGCTCAAGATTGAAGATGCCGCAGGTCCAGAAAACTGTGAGGACAAACTTTTTTGGAGTGAGAGTTGTGAATTCTTGGAACAATCTACCAGAAAGTGTTGCGACAGCACCGAGTGTAAGCTCTTCAAGACCAGACTTGACCAACACTGGAGCAGGTTCAGGAGCCGGTGCATGTCCAGTACTTGCCAACAGTGTGTAACAGAGAAGTGACCGATCACCGAGGCGGCTAACGAGCCGATCAATTGGTGAAGAGGTTTAAAGAAAAAGAAAAGTACCAGAGACGTGACCAATCGCTCAAGCGGTTAACGAGCCAATCAGTGGTGAATACGATAAAAGTTAAAGTACGATGTGAAGGCCTTATCTTGAACTATTATATTAAGAACGCTTAGTAGCTATTTATCTGCTCATCCACTCCTTGAACAAAAATACTAAGCTAGAATAAGAATGCTAAAGGTAATGTTTTAAGTGACTTCGATAAATATCATAGCTAACTTCACAGAATTTGTGTCCCTCACTTTCCTCTCGGCCGCTGATTGGCTGACGCGCACTATGGCTGAAGTATTGCCAGATGCTGTGCTATTGTAGTGGATACCTCCCCTACAACCGCTGTTTGTCGCTGACTAGCCAACCCTCTTCGAATTCCCCAGCTTACGCCTCGTGGTCTAGGTCGGAAACCAGCGCCGCCTAACAAGGTGTAGGTCAACTATCAACCCACGCCTACCCCCGCTATATAAGACCTCACCCCGCCGTGACCTCCCTCTTTCTTCTAGCTCAGCCGCAGCAAGCAACACCTTCTACTACCTGCAGCCACCAGCACGCAACACCTCCTCTGCTCCTGCCTGGTGGCTCCCGCTGGCGACTATGGCGCCCCACAAGCTGCGGGTCCTCCTCTGAGCACCCTCACCAACCAGCTCTCTCTTCTCCACGCATGGACCCACGCTGCCACTCCCCAGCACCAAGCTGCATTGTACATCCAATGCAATATGTATACAGAAAGCACATAGAGTTTCCTTTCTCCAACCCATCCTGAGTGTGAACCAATATCTCATAACCCCACACTATAAAACAGAACACACTCGCACCATACTAATTATAACTAATATCACTTTAATATCAGATAAAAAAGTTTCTTGTTACTCCACAAGGCTTTAAAATTAAAATGTTTTAAAGTCGTAAATCAGGCATTCAATGGACATTCCAATGACCTTCATCAATATCTCTATAGGAGGAACCTTCTGCGTTCGGCCAATGCAAACCGGTCACCAGGAAGTGTCTTGTCACCGTGACTGAATGCAAATTGAACATCTTCGACGCGTGTCGAAGCAGAACAAACAGAGCCGGGCGTCATTTGAACCCCAAAAGACGACAGCAGTTGATTTTACTCAGTTACTTTTCTAAGTGAATTGTATGCAGAGTTTCAAGCTTCTCAAGAAAGATCATCAGCAGTGGTAAGCTAAACACGGTGCTGACAATCTGAAACAATTGTCATTATTTAAAACCAAGGAAATACATTATATATTGCAAATGTAGAAGCTATATTCTATAGTTACTGTGACAAAAGCTGTATTTTCTATAATCTATCAATATATGCATTCTCTTTGGTGGTGGTTTATTCTTATTTACCTAATGTCCACCCACTAGAGGTGGCTTTGCCGACAGGAGGCCAGTGGCTTGTGTAGGGTCCCTCCATTGTTCTTGGTAATTTTATCAAAGGTTATTTTGGAGTCGAGTATTGCTCTTGATTCCACAACTTGGGCTGGTAGATCGTTCCATAGGTCTATCACCCTCTGTGGGGAAAAAGTTTTTCTTTATACAGCATTCGTTCTGCTTGATAACTTGGCGAGCTTGTAGGTATTTCCTCTGATGTTGTGTGACATCACAGAGAAATGTCCCGGGTTCACGTTTTCCATCCCTTTCAGGATTTTGAATGTTTTAATGAGACCTGTCCTATTGTGATTAATCTGAAGGGTTGTTAATCCTAAGGCCCTCAGTCTACTTGGATAATCGTGATAAAATAGTTTCTGGATCATCTTAGTCGCTCCTCTAGTGATGCTCGTGCTTCCTCGTGACGATCTTCAAGAGTGCAGTGCTTCCCCATCTGGAGGGGTCCCACTAATTACCCAAATGTAGCCAAATATAGCCGGAATGAAGTCAAATAATGGTCCTAGATGAATAAATCTGACTGCGAATCACTTCTCGACTGGTATTTGGTGTCGGAAAGTCACAAAAAAATGGCTATAATTGGCTATATTTGGCTACATTTGAGTAATTAGTGGGACCGGTGGAAGCAGGTTCGGGAACCAGGTACATTCAGGAGCCGGTGCATGTTCAGCACCCCAGTACCTGCCTACAGTGTGTAACAGAGACGTGACTGATCGCCCAAGCGGTTAACGAGCTGATCAGTGATGAAGAGGATAAGTAAAGTAAAAAGTGACTTGCCTCCGTCCCGTGTAGACAAGTACTGTACTGTGTGGCCAGCCAGACCAGGAGCTGCCTTTATCACTAGATCACGGGGGGCGGTCTGGTGATAACTCCCACCAGATATTCCACCAGTTGTTTGTTTGTTACGTGTTAAGGTATGAGTATCTATTTTTGATAATAACTTATTAGTGAATTTATAATTTCAGAGGTGTCAGTGTATTGTTGTGTTGAAGGAGGGTCTCAAACTGGCACTAATATACCCAAAATAAAGTATACCCAGATTTTGAAGGATTTTATGCTAACCAAACGGAAATCTGTTCCATCAAGTGATCAGAATCACATACACAAGATACTATACTATGTGTATGAATGTTAAAGTGTAACGTATTGTTTGTGTTGTGTATTTCTTTGGACCTGCACATTTTGGGGGTCCGACTAATCACCCAATTGTAGCCGCAATTAAGTCAAATAATGGTCCTACATGAATAAATCGGGCTGTGAATCACTTCTCGATTATTATTTGGTGTCATAAAGTCACAAAAAATTGGTTAATTTAATTTAATCTGAGTTGTGTTAGGTTAAGTTAGGTTAGGTTAGGTTAGGTTAGGTTAGGTTAGGTTAGGTTAGGTTAGGTTAGGTTAGGTTAGGTTAGGTACAAGCACTCGATCTATTAACTCAGATTAAATTAAGTTTACCAATTTTTTGTGGCTTCGTGACACCAAATACTAGTCGAGGTTAGGTACATGCACTCGATTTATTAACTCAGATTAAATTAAGTTTACCAATTTTTTTTTAACTTCGTGACACCAAATACCAGTCGAGAAGTGATTGGCAGTCCGATTTATTCATGTAGGACCATTATTTGACTTCATTGCGGCTACATTTGGGTAATTAGTTGGACCCCATTTTGGTCATGGTTCAGAACTTGGTTAACACAGTTGTGGATGTGTACCTGGACAGTGATACTCAGTTTGGTATAAATGTTGGGTAAATTGGCCTTGCTTTCGAGTTGACAATGTATTTTTCCAAAATGGGGTTAATATTTATGACTAACCTGAGGATGAGTTATTTTTATTACTGTTTAGTTTCTTACATCATTTTCATTAGTGAGTTCTGATATGATAATCACTTATTGTGCAAATTTTTCGCTTCATAGATAATTAGGTGCCTAGGCGCGGACTAGTTTGTCTTCCGGGCGGTAATGAAACCCGGAACTGTGCCCGGGATAGTTTGTTTTTCAGCATGTCGTGTGAAGGTTGTTGCAGATTTAGGGATAAAGGCAGTGAGACCCTTTAATTGTTTAAAGATCACGGCATTATTCCTCTGGAATTTCAGTGGTTCTTAAACTTTTTTGCCTCTCGCCCCCCTTGGAATCTTCTGGCACCCCCCAGTTTAAGAACCACTGCTAGATAGAGACTGTCCACACTTCAGGAATTCCTATGCTTTCAGACATGAAAGAAATTTTTGTCAATGTAATAAGAAAATTATAAACAAGAAAAACAAGCGGCTGGAGCATTGTGGCTACAGTTTCATTCCATATAAAGGAACTTGGCTTGAAAATGCCAAGATTCAGCCCAGTGTTTTGATTTTATTTTTTATTTTTTTTACAAAAGTATTTTACACAGAATTATTGTTAAATAACACTTCCTCAACGCCGTGGCTCGACGTTTCCTGCCATCACAATAAATTACTCTGCCGTCTGGGCTGCATGATCTCAGGTCCAGAAAATGCCTCAAATTTCACCATATCATAGGAAGTTCTTTTTGTTTAATATACCAGGGGGTGAGAATGTTAGGTTAGGTAGGTTTGTTTGGTTAGGTTGGTTAAGTCTGTTCTTCATACCCACAATTGTTAAGTAACGTTTCATTTAGAAATATCCATTTTTTTATCATATTTCCAAACACTACAACAGTGTCCACTATAAAATAACAGTGAAAATCCAACGTTTTTATAATCATCTTCAATCAATTTCGGCCGCGGGTTAGTCCTATATAATTATTGCCTTTATTCCACAAACACCATTTTACGAGTCCATAACTAGTACGGTGGTTTTCTAGTTCAGTTTATGATGCTGATTACAGGTATGTGGATAATATTTATTTCAGTATTATTATTTCAGCCATCCAGCGAATTTTAGGTGATTTTAAGTTACCATCGTCCGAGAGAGCTCCTATTTGTTCATTTGTTGGAGGTTAGGTTAGGTTAAGTTGCATTTGAGGAGCAGTGCTGTGACAATTTTTTCCAATTAAGTTAGGTTGGGTTTAAATTATATTTTTCCGATGGTCTTTAAATGATTCTGACCTTCATTTCTGTTGTAAATTACAGTACCTGTACTACTATTTGTGATTTTCCCCCACCCAAAACCCCTGGTTCCCACTGGAGGGTAGCTCAAAAGTAGTGATTTGCAGTAGAAATGAGGTCAGAATTGTCCTATACACATCAAAAACCTTCGGAAAAACATAATTTCAACTTCCATATAAGTGGATGACCGAATTGATAATTTTAGCTTTATTTCTTGTGAAAATCGGATTTTCATGTTTGTTTGTTTTTTTACACATTGAAAAAAAAATATATATATATATATATATATATATATATATATATATATATATATATATATATATATATATATATATATATATATATATATATAGTAGCCATGTACAGAACTCTATATCGATTCTTAGAGTATAGGGAGATAGAGCCAAAAATGCAGAGCAAAAAATGCAGAATACAGTATACAGGTGTAATACTGTATCTCCATTAGCCGGAATCCCTCTTAACCGGAAATCTCTGATAAACCAAATTGAAATTTTCTCGGAAAATCGTTCCCACAGCAGGAATTTTCTGGAAAACTCTTGGTTTGGGAACAGTTTTTCGAGGGGCACATTTTCTGGAAAATTCTGAGAAAATTTCCCAGTACCTAGAAAATTCCAGAAAATTACAGGGATAGGAGATTTTTTTTTCCAGGTTTGAGAGATGAAAATCAGGCGCATTTTCTGGAAGTAATGGGAAAAATTTTCCGGTACCCGGAAAAATCCGGAAAATTCCTGGGACGAGGTATTTTTTCAGGCTTTGAGAGAATCATCTCGTTACCCAGAAATCTCTCATTCTCGAAAGTGCTCTGCACCAATTGTTCCGGCTAATGGGGATTTCACTTAACCATGTTCCCTCTCCATGTAGTGTTGTTTGTATCACTTATCCATCCGTTGTTTACAATTACTGATTGAAATGAAGAAACGAGCTGTACAGGTGTAGGTGGATATGATTACTGGTAATACATGTATGTACAGTATATAAGCTGTATAATTTTCATAATGAATGTAACAGTTGGTAATAAGCTATACAGTACAGTACACATTAGATAGATAAAATTAGAAGAGACTTGTTTGTGTTTTGCTGTACTGCACATAACACCTTGTCAATCTTTAACCAGAAATAACGTGATGTCCGAGATCATCAAAGTGGGCGTGTTGACCGTGAGTGACCGCTGCGCAGCTGGTGAGGCTGTTGATGAGAGTGGTGCCAACCTTCAAGCTCTTGTTGCCAGTGGGACTGTGTATGGTGGAAAGGTAATAAAGTGTTGAAGAGTTATGAAAAAATTGTACAGTATAATGCCAGGTCCAAATTGAATGGAAAACCAGATTGTTATATCGATATTCTTTACTTCAGTCACACTGTTATTTTTATTTGAAAAATTATTAGATTGACATTGAAATTGATTAGTAGAATTCAATACAGTACAGTATATACTGTACAGTATTAGTATTAAATGACTTAGATTTTCAGAAACCAATTAAATCTGTTACAGGTACTGAATTTAACTTTTTTGCTTTGTGCTGTATGTAGTATTAATACAGTATGTTTGAATATTGCAACTATTGGATGAGAACCATTCACATCCTTTCATCCCTAAGAACTGTTCTGTGGCTAAGAGCAGTGTGGTGCTTTATAGAGGTAGGACAAAAACTCACTACAGTACTGTGCTGTACACAAAAATTCACCACCCACAGTAAATGCAAAAAGGGAACAAACAATCACCCATCAGTTTTGTTGTTAACTCATCATCTTCTTCAATGTTTTACGGCCATTGTCCACACTTTTTAGATTGACTGTTTGTAGAAAAGTAATTATAGTCTAGGATCTAAGTATTATGTATCTTTTTTAACTTCTGTTTGAATTTGCTGGTTGATTTTAAAAGTATTTACTGGCAATAATAGAATGATACAGTTTAAGTATACAGGTACTGTAAATTGACTCATTGAAGTTATGATTCAGTGTGATTTATCAAATGCCTAACTTGACATATTGAAATATGTTAACCTAACAAAAGACTTTACCTAAGCTTCCGATGTTCTTGAGATGTTATTCGCTTTTTTACTAGTTTTCGGTTAAAATACTGTTATATTACAATGATATTCTATTCATACTGTGCTTGATATAATACATTCACGGAAATGTAATATTTTTGCTGAAATTACGTACGTATTACAGTGGAAAGTGGGATAAAATCGTGACGAAAACAATGACTTTGAAATATAATGCAATATTTACCCCTAAATCGGTTAATTCGGACAATTGGCTAAAACGGACACCCTCCCCCCCCCCCTATTAGTCCGAATTAACAAGGGTTGACTGTATATACAGTACAGTGAACCCATGGCGGCCCGCGTAAAGTGAACAACATAACATATGGGATTAATTGAAATAGAGACCGGGCCGACCCCCAAACTCCACTTTTTCAGACACAATACCTACGTTGTAGTAAAAATAACTTCTTAATTTTATGATGGTATGCACACACAATTAATAATTAAGAGAAATATCAATAATATTAGGTTTTTTAGCACTTACATTAGTAGAAAAGATGGCTGGGCACACGGGGATGGGGGATTGGTTCCGAGGCAGAGGGCAGATTATTGGCCCTCACCTGTATCACTTGTATCACTATCCACCACAGAGGCTTGCAGGGCCTCTTTGTCAAACCCCTCAAAGTCCATATAAGTCCATATCCTCACTATCATTATCACTATCACTGACTTGGGCCGGCTGTAGTGGGTGGCGGGTGAAGAACTCGGTAATGTTTTGATGACTGGGCGACCTTGTGCTCACCCTGCTCTCCGCGTAAAAGGGTACACACACCGCGGAAAGTGAGCATTCTGGTTTCGGCAGGGTACCGCTTAAACGTGGAAACGCGTAAAGTGGGACCGCGTAAAGCGAGGGTTGACTGGATATATATATACAGTATGTATATAAAACATAAAAAATAAATAATTAAAATTTTCTTCTGCAGGTGAGCAAATATATGTGTATTGCTGATGAATTGTCACTGATCAAGGAAACACTTATCAACTGGTGTGATGAGGAGAAGTTGCAGCTGATCATCACCACTGGTGGAACAGGTTTTGGTCCCCGGGATGTCACACCAGAAGCTGTAAAGAAGGTTGGTACGGTACAGTACTGGACTAATTTGTGTGTGTTAAGAATATAGCAGTTGACTATGGATTGTTAAGCATTAGAAATGTTTTGAAATTTCTGAAAATTTAATTGTTGAATTACTGTATTGCTCTTTAAATATAAGGGAAATATACAGTACATATATTTTTTTATTAAAGTGTTTGTGCTGGTGACTTGCATGTGTCACTGAAGCTAATTAACCAATGTATGTTGGAAAACAAAATTACTGGACAATGTGTTTATTATAGACAGTTTAAATTTTAATAAGGTTATTATTTACGACTAACCCGCGGCCGAAATTGATCGAAAACGATTATAAAAACGCCGGATTTTCACTTGTTATTTTATAGTGGACACTTGTAGTTTGTGGAATATATTAAAAAATTTATATTTTTAAAAGAAACGTTACTTAACATTTGTGGATATAAAGAACAGGCCTAACCAACCTAACCAAACAAGCCTACTAACCTACCCTAACATTCTCACCCCCCGGTATATTAAACAGAAAGAACTTACTTTGATATGGTGAAATTTGAGGCATTTTCTGGACGTGAGGCGATACAGGTGCATCAGCGTTATGCAGCCTGGGCGGCGGAGTGATTTATTGTGATGGCGGGAAACGTCGAGCCACGGCATTGAGGAAGTGATGAACAAATTTCTTTCCAGTCTGAAAGCACAGGGATTCCCGCCGTGTGGACAGTCTCTATTTAAAGGAACAATGCCGTGGTCTTTGAACAATTGAAGGGTCTCGTTGTCTTCATCCCTAAATTCACAAATTACGTCCATATATGACCGATGACAACCTTTACAAGTTATGCTGAAAATGAACCTGCCTCGAGCCCGGGGAAAAGCACAGCACCAGAGTGCCGCCTCATTACCGCCGGCAAGACAAATTAGTGTGAGCCTAGGCGCCGAATAATCTATGAAACAAAAAATTTGCACAAGAAATGATTATTATATCAGAACTTACTGATAAAAATAAAGTAAGAAAATAAACAGTATTAAAAATAACTCGTCCGCAGGTTAGTCATAAATATTAACCTTTCATAAATCACTGTTATTTTACTTTAAGGGGTCATATTATTATTTATGTTGACAATGAGCTGAAGTTCTCGGGCCATTGCGAGAAGAAGGTAAATCAGGCAAATAAATTATTGGGTCTTATAAGACGGTCGTTCAGATATCTAGACGGTCCGTCCCTCGCAACGATCTTCAAGAGTGAAGTGCTTCCCCATCTGGAGTACTGTCACCCCGCCTGGTCCCCGAGATTTGCTAGGGACTGTCAGTTGGTTGAAATTGTTCAAAGGAGGGCCACCAGACTGGTGCTTGCCCTTTGGCACCTCAGCTACCCTGAGAGATTGGAGCGCCTGAACTTGCCTAGCTTATACTACAGATGGGCAAGGTGACCTAATAGAGGTGTATAAGCATCTCAATGGGCACTACTCAGTCGAGTGTCCTTACTTGAAGCTGGCGGATGCTCGCCCCACAAAGGGTCACAGCTCAAGATTGAAGAAGCCGCAAGTGCAGAAAACTGTGAGGACAAACTTTTTCGGGGTGAGAGTTGTGAACTCTTGGAACAATCTACCAGAAAGTGTTGTGATGGCACCGAGTGTGAGCTTTTTCATGACAAGACCTGACCAACACTGGAGAGGGTTCAGGTACATTCAGGAGCCGGTGCTTGCCCAGTACTTGCCAACAGTGCGTAACAGAGACGTGACCGATCACCCAAGCGGTAACGGGCCGATCTTTTGGTGAAGAGGATAAAAGAAAAGGAAAAGTAATCAGAAACGTGACCAATCGCCCAAGCGGCTAACAAGCCGATCAGTGGATAAGAGGATAAAAGTAAAAGTAAATAATACTGTATGTATACTTTTATCATAAAACATTACCATGATCCTCATTACAGTGTTTACATTGTCAGAGCATCTGGTGAAGAAGTTAGTATGTTGTGGTAGTTGTATAAGTGAAGCAAATGTTTCTTGCTTACATCAGAAAATATTCCAAATATGTAGAGGTGAAAGGAATGTTTTAAGAAAAATAATGTACTTAAGTGGGATAGAAACTCTGATATAACTGTAGACTTTGAAGAACAATGCACAATTTGGATATACTGTATGTAGTGAAGTACCAAATGGTTGTGGAGTGTCAGGGTGTATATTACCTCATGAACAGAACTACCCGTCTGGAGTACTGTCACCCCGCCTGGTCCCCTAGAAATGCTAGGGACTGTCAATTGATTGAAAATGTCCAAAGGAGGGCCACCAGACTAGTGCCTGCTCTATGAAACCTCAGTTACCCTGAGAGATTAGAACGCCTGCAACTGCCAAGCTTATACTACAGACGGGCAATGGGGGACCTAATTGAGGTGTATAAACATCTCAGGGGGCACTTCTCAGTTGAAGAAGCCACAAGTCCAGTGTGTTGTGATGGCACCGAGTGTGAGCGGTTTCAAGACCAGACTTGACCAATACTGGAGCAGGTTCAGATACATTCAGGAGCCAGTTCATGCCCAGTACTTGCCAACAGTGTGGAACAGAGACGTGACCAACCGCCCAAGCGGCTAACGAGCTGATCAGTGGCGAAGAGGATAAAAGTGAGAAAGAAGTATCACTTCATGAAAACAGAGTTGACCTTCCCAATAATTTCTTATGTTTGTTTCCATGAATGATGAAATGTATTCTCTGAGATGTGTATACCCCTGTATTGTACTATATCTAATTATGTAATGCTCTTTTGTAGGTTATTGAACGTGAGGCACCAGGATTATCAACATGCATGATAACGGAGTCCCTTAAGGTCACTCCATTAGCCATGTTGTCACGACCTGTGTGTGGCTCTCGGGGGAAGACGTTGATTGTAACATTGCCAGGCAGCAAGAAGGGGTCAGAGGAGTGTTTGAGGTAAGAAAGACAATATAGTTTGTAAAGGCCTGGGACTTAGGGATAGAAATCCCTTGCCAGCTTAATCAGGATCTTATAAGAGGAAAGTCAAGAACCATGGTTTTCCGAGGGATAACAAACAGCCGTTAGAGATTGACATCTCTTTACTATGAAAATAACACAAAACTCTGACACCACTCACACAAATATCAAATAACAATTACGGGAGTCAAACAATTAAGAGAATCAAACAGTTAAGGGAGTCAAACAATTAAGGCAATCAAACAAGTAATGGAAGTCAAACAATTAAGAGAATCAAACAATTGTGGGAGTCAAACAATTAATGGAGTCAAACAATTAATGGAGTCAATCAATTAAGGGAGTCAAACAATTACGGGAGTCAAACAAGAGAATCAAACAATGAACAGATATTTCCTACGGCGGCGTTCCTGTGGAAGGTTCTGGAGAGCAGTGATCCACTCTCAGGGGGAAGGTCAAGTCAGCTTCCTCACTTGGCGCCGGCGGGCGATGTCTTGCTACACAGGAGAAACACCGTGGCACAGATGGTGGAGGAAGTGGCAATGACTTGGCAGCCACGGTAGTAGCTGGGGTAGGTGTCCAGAGATTGACAGTTGATTTGTGAAGGTCTGGGGAAACAGCCCACGAGTCCAGGACCTATGATGAGAACACAACCAGAATTTGAACGAATAGCGGGGTGCAAGTACAGCTGTGCTGACGGCTGGGTAGTGTCTGATCTGTGTGTCGAGGCAGCAGTGACTTTCTCACCTCCGTCTATCCCCCCAAGTGGGGGACGCGAACAAGCAAGCGGGCGGCGAACAACCATCCTGCTCGTTACCTCCCTTACATAGTCTGGTAGTAAGATAACTTTTATGAATTCAGGAAAATTACTGGACTGTAATAGAAGTTTAATCTTTTTAAATTCCAAAATTGTATCTACAGAAATGTTTTACTATATTACCATGTTATATAAAATAAATAGAGTAGCTCCTTAGAGCATATATATAAATGAAACTGAAACTCTTAAGCAAACTCAGGAATTTTAGTTCCACAGTACAGGCAGTCTCTAGTTTATGAGCTAAAACTTTTCTTTGTAAATTGGATCAAGAAAGTCCTTTGAAACAATTACATAAATAATTAAGTCGTGTCACGGTTTTGTCCGAAGATTAAATATAGCTCGTGAAACATTATGAGAGCCCCCTACCTCAAAGCAGAGCATACCAAAAGTTTAGCCTTTTGGCATATGTTTTCACCAAATTTCACGACACAACTTTTGTCTTTCATTGTACACCGACTTGTATCATTTTCTATTTATTTATTTATTTACTGTATATATTTTCCTTTTATCATTGCTATCTACAGTATATGCTTTCGTTATTAAATTTTATATGCCCACAATTTTAAGTTTTAATGTTACAGTTTACAGTTAAATCTACTTTTAGGGATAAAGATAGTGAAGTTTATAAATAGGAGTTGTTAAGTGGCAAGAATTCAGGCCTTTTTAGCAAAAAATCAGGGGTCAACTATATATAAGCTTGGTTTATACATGAGTGAGTACAATATATGCAGTATTGTGTAATGTTTGCATGAACAGAATTTCTCAAGCAGAGGATTGCCTTTACTACAGTACTGGAAAATTTAAATACCTGTACAGTACTCTTAAGTGTTCCTTTTTAAATTAAGTTTATAATTGGTGATATCAAGACATTTCTGATTTTACCTTTATTTATCAAATGCCATTATGGTTTATCGAATTATAAAAATATTACTGGCCCTGTCTTCTTTACTCTTCTTAACATTTGTTATCATGGCATTACACCTCGTGATAGACTTAAACCCTTGAATTGTTTATTGTGTTCTGCACCCAGCTCACTTACGTCTAATGGAATATTAATGTTTCCTTCTTCTTGAACAGGTTCATTGCCCCGGCTGTCCCACATGCTGTTGACCTGCTCATGGGCTGGAAAACACGTGTAGAGAAGACTCATAGTGCACTACAGGCTGTGGGAGGTCACTGTGAACACATTCATCACCCCCGTGCTCATCCACATGGCCATGGCCTTCATCACTACCATCATCATCATCATTGCCATGCTTTGGGAGGAGAAGCTGAAAATCAGGAGTCAAAGGCAGATGTTTCTCGTATTTCTGGTCGACCAAGAAAGTCTCCATATCCAATGATATCGGTCTCTGAAGCACTCTCAACTGTTCTCTCTCATGCCGAACAGTGTGCAAACAAGACACTCCCCATGCAAGAATCACTAGGATTTGTCTTGGCTCAAAACATCATTGCAAAGGATCCACTTCCCCCTTTCCCAGCTTCTATAAAAGATGGATATGCAGTGTTGGCATCTGATGGTGCTGGTTTACGCACTGTAGGAGGTGACTCAACAGCAGGATGCAGTCCAGAAAAGACGAGGGTGAGCAGTGGAATGTGTATCCGAGTGAACACTGGAGCGCCAGTCCCTGCAGGGGCTGATGCTGTAGTTCAGGTAATTCAGTATATTTCTTATTGTAATGTACAGTGTAGTCTAATACAGTGGTCCCTCGGTTAACGAACAGTTCGATTAACGAAATTTCGGTTAATGAATTTCCTCCCATAAGGATCTTTAATTCGGTTAACGAACAAAACTTCGATTAACGAAATCCTTACGACAAACAAGTTTTATTGTGAGCATCAGCTGATGGGCTAGTCTGCCAATTCAGTAATATGTTCTATGTTTACATTCGTTTCCAAGGGAGTAAATATCAAGAAAGTTGTGCTCTTTAATATTTTTGCATTTTTTTTATTAAAATTATGTCATTTTAAAATTTAGTTAACATATTGATAATATATGCACTACAGGGAACTAATTTTTTATGCACCCATCAGCTGCTTGACTCACCCACCAGGCGTCAGTTTGGCTTTGTTTATAGTGGAGTGAACATCGATTTTGTCGGCGGCTTGAATATTTTTGCATTTTTACATTAAAATTATTGGTCATTCTGAATTTTTTTAACATATTGATAATATATAGTGCAGTGCAGTGTAGTGTTGATTTAAATAAAATAATCTGAATTACACCTAGTGAACTTAAAATTTTATTGGTGAAATTACTGCATCAAGCATGGGTCCCCTGAAAGGTGATTTCTCCTCCACCCCCACTTCTAATTCCTATCATCATCATCAACCAGGAACCTTCTACATACACACCTCAAACTAAGTGAACTTTACTGCATTTTTTTTTACTTTGTATGTACTTTTCTGTGATCTGGAACCAATTACCCAATATCCCATTGAAAATACAAAATTTTCGATTAACGAACGACTCTGTGGAACGAATTGTTTTCGTTAACTGAGGGACCACTGTATTTCTTTTGCGATAGGCACTCCACGAACAACTATAGACCGGTGAGCCTGACCAGCATAATATGTAAAGTACTTGAGAGTATTATCAGAGATGCAGCGATGGAACATCTACTACGAAACAACCTTGTAAAAGATTGCCAACACGGTTTTATGCCGGGGCGCTCTTGCTTGACACAATTGCTCAAGGTATTGGATATTTGGACCCATATTCTAGAACGGGGTGGTAATATCGACAATATTTACCTAGATTTTGCCAAGGCTTTCGACAGTGTACCCCACGAAAGGCTGAAAATCAAACTGGAAGGGTACGGAATTCGGGGAAATGTCCTAGCGTGGATAGAAGACTTTCTACATGACCGCAAGCAATGTGTGGTGATTAATGGCACGAAATCGTCATCTGTACCTGTAACAAGTGGGGTACCGCAGGGTAGTGTATTGGGCCCGCTGTTGTTTGTTTGTTTCATAAATGATATGCCTGACGTTGTACACTCCTCCATACAAATGTTTGCCGATGACGCCAAGTTATTTCGGGAAATTAAGAACCAAGCGGACTGTGAAGAGCTGCAGAAGGACCTCTGTGGGCTCCAGGAATGGTCGAAGGAATGGCTGCTGAGATTCAATGTCACGAAGTGTAAGAGGATGCACCTGGGGCGTACCAACGGTAAGGAGGCGTACCATATGTCCCAACGGGATGAAGAAAATGTACTAGTTGAGACTGTGTGTGAGAAGGACCTAGGTGTGTATGTTGACAATGAGCTGAAGTTCTCGGGCCATTGTGAGAAGAAGGTAAATCAGGCAAATAAATTATTGGGTCTTATAAGAAGGTCGTTCAGATATCTAGACGGTCCGTCCCTCGTGACGATCTTCAGGAGTGAAGTGCTTCCCCATCTGGAGTACTGTCACCCCATCTGGTCCCCGAGATATGCTAGGGACTGTCAGTTGGTTGAAAATGTTCAAAGGAGGGCCACCAAACTGGTGCCTGCACTTCGGCATCTCAGCTACCCTGAGAGATTGGAGCGCCTGAACTTGCCTAGCTTATACTACAGACGGGCAAGGGGGGACCTAGTTGAGGTTTATAAGCATCTCAGGGGGCACTACTCAGTTGAGTGTCCTTACTTGGAGCTGGCGGACGCTCGCCCCACAAGGGGTCACAGCTCAAGATTGAAGAAGCCGCAAGTCCGGAAAACCGTGAGGGCAAACTTTTTCGGAGTGAGGGTTGTAAACTCTTGGAACAATCTACCAGAGAGTGTTGTGACGGCACCGAGTGTGAGCTCTTTCAAGAGAAGACTTGACCATCACTGGAGCGGGTTCAGGTACATTCAGGAGCCGGTGCATGCCCAGTATTTGCCAACAGTGCGTGACAGAGACGTGACCGATCGCCCGGGCGGCTAGCGAGCCGACCTTTTGGTGAAGAATATAAAGGAAAAGAGACGTGACCGATCGCCCAAGCGGCTAACAAGCCGATCAGTGGCGAAGAGGATAAAAGTAAAAGTAAAAATATTACTTAGATCTTGTGGTGTAGCAAATATGAAGAGTTTCAGTCTATGTTGAGCTGCATAAGAATGGAGGGGGAAGCATTGCTATATTACAAGGAAATGTTGTGGATGTGTGGATTGACTTTTATGAAAGAGTTTAGTAATCACTGGAATGCTTGCATAAAATTGTCGTCCAATGATAATCTTTAATTATTTTATTTCTTTGTAAATACTGTATTTACGGTACCCCACAATTTAATTCAATAAAACGGGGTCACATGCGCAATTAATTTGAAGCAAGAATTTTGGAGTGAGAAATTACGATAAGTTTCTGCCATGTGGTCACATGGGTAGTTTTAGCTCCAGTTTCTACAGCAAGGAAAAAACAAGTGAATGTCACCTTGCGAGTAGATGGAACATGACAACAACAAGGCAAGATGAATGCAGGCAATGCAGCAGCTTTCTTTGGTATTCTTTTTATTATTAAAAAGAAACAATGAAATCAAAGAAAAACTATTGTGGACTCGAATGTGGCTGTTGAGAAGAAGGACTGTTTTTTACAGACTGGTTGGACTACCATAGCTACAGTAGGGAGGACGGCATGTGTTCAGGCTGTAAACAGCTGTGTGCGCGCAAACAAACATGTCGAAACCACATAAATTATAAACTCAACATGTCATAAAAAATCTGTTAGTGCATTTTATACATAATGTTGTTAACCTATGTTATATACAGGCACTCCGCGACTTACGACCTACTTGACCTACTTGACCTAAAACCACCCGGACATACGACCGCCACAGTTGTATAAAATATTTTTAAAATTACGTACGTATTTTCTAGTACCGAAACGTTTCCTTCCCGTACGACAGTGTGGTCTGGGCCGCCTCGTGGTGTACAGCATCCACGCCGTAACCTGCTCAGTTGGTGTTTGGCTGTCGTTGGTGTTAGTGATCGCTCTGTGTAATGTACTGACAAAATTTTCGTTTCTAATTCCCTTTAAAATGACTGGCAAGTGTAAAAGTGAGAGTTCTGGTGGTGCTGAGAAGAAAAAGAGACAGTCAATTACTTTTGAAATGAAAATGAAAATAATAATGCAATATGAAAATGGAGAAACGGTAGCAACCATTTCACGCGATCTAGGCTTCTCTCACTCGATGATGTCAACAATTTTGAAGGACAGGGAACAAATTCGTGAGGTAGTGAAAGGATCAGCACCTATAAAGGGAACAATAATAGGTCCTATTCATGAGATGAAAAAATTACTTGTAATGTGGATGGAAGATCGGCTGCAAAAGCATGTACCCTTAAGCCTTCTAACCCCAAAAAAGTAGTAGTAAAAATTAGAGAAGAAAGAGTATGTTAATCTGCACCACGAAGATGCCGGAAAACCAGCTTTTTAAAGTGAGACAGATTGTTGGAAACACAGAAGAAGGCAGAGCATTCCACAATTTGGCTGTGTTAGAAAAGAAGGATGTACAGGCACACCCCAATAACTGACGCATATAGGGACTGTGAAAAGTCGTTGGTTAGTGAATTGGTGGTTTTTGAAGCAATTCATCCCATAAGAATATAACAAAATTCAGGGGGTTAGAGACAGGCTACCAAACGCTCCCATTTACCCTTGATATATCTGTCGTACACACTGTTAAACAAGAAAATAAAGCAGACATATAAAGCAAGCATAATAAGTATTAAATAAAGAATGTAAAGCATAAATTGAGACTGTTATTTACCTGTGTTGAGGATGGTAGAGATGGTCTGGGGTGGCAAGTTCAAGTCTCTACCAATCTTTGCTGGTCCATCACCACTCTTATTTGGCCTTATCACATCACATCAAGCTGCCCTCTTAGGGGCACCATTAGAGGAACTATCACTGGGGTGTTTAGGCATGATTGCAAATCACACGAAGTTGGAAATAACGAAAAAAACACGAAGTTAGAGACACATAGTAAATGTAAACAAGTGCAGGGAGACGGGAATGATTCAGATGCAGACCACAGAGCCCTTTCGTGGCAAGAATTCGCACCACGCCACTGCCTGCCAAATTCAAAACAGTTCTGCCGCTCCTCTCTCGATCATTGGATCTCCGAGGTATTATAAAAACTTGTGGGGAATATATTTCCCCTATATGTACTGTAACCGTCAGTTATGTGAATCGGCGGTTAATGGGACGTTGGTTTTCAGGGTATACCTGTACGAAAGCGAGTTTGGCTGTGTGAAGAAAGAAGGATGTACTATAATGGTTTATTCTAGTGTGACCGAAATCCACAGAGAAACGGTGAGCACGCTGGCAAGATGAGCGTTACGAGCCCCACCCTTGCCGCCGGCACACAGGATGCCAAATGACTTGAGTTCTACTGTGTTAGATGTACACATTTGGGGTTACCATTACCTGTATTATACAGTAGTAATGTTTCTCATAGTATGTGTTAATTAATTAATTTTTTCTTTTCTCTTTATAATGATTGTTAACTTCTACACTACTCAGGTGGAAGATACAGAACTGGTAAAAGAAGATGATGATGGTCGTAAGGAACTTGAAATTAAGATATTGAAAGTACCAAACCAGGGACAAGATATTCGGCCTCTGGGATGTGACATAGCAACAGGACAAAAAGTTCTGGCCTGTGGTACTCTTCTTGGACCTGCAGAGTTGGGACTTCTGGCTACTGTAGGAGTAACAGAGGTGCTAGTTGTTAACAAGCCAACTATTGCTATTCTTTCTACTGGTATATTGACTCCTAATTAAGTTTTACTAGAGTAGGTTGTTGAAGTGAATACTATTATGAAAAGAGATGAAAGTGTTAAAGTAGAGATAGTGATTGATGAATGAATGAATGTGATTATAAAGCACTTCTTGGAAAAACTCCTCTGGAATTGCTTGAATAATTAAGATCATGAAGTTGGGAATTTTATATCAAAGTGTCCTGTAGACCTGTACACCTTGTTATTCGGAAATACTGAAATTGAGTGAAAGTTTACAAGAAAAGACTATTAGAAGTACAGTAGCGGTGAACTTTGTTAGAAGGAAAAATTTTGAGTTTGGTATAAGAAGGACTGTACAGTATTTGTGTAAATACAGTATACTGTATTGCAAAATTTTTCTATATCGCCCATATCTTGCTCTATGAATGATAAAACTTTTTCTTTCAAGGCAATGAGCTTCAAGAACCAGGAGAGCCACTGAGGGAAGGACACATCCGTGATAGTAACAAGACAACCCTAATGTCACTCTTACGTCAATATGGCTACCCTGTTATTAATGCAGGTATTGCAAAGGATGATCCCACAGCCCTCCTCAGTTCATTGAAATATGCTTTTAGCCAAGCTGATGTCCTGGTCACCACTGGTGGGGTGTCTATGGGTGAACGCGACATACTGCGGCCTGTTCTCACTACAGATTTTGATGCCCACATTCACTTTGCCCAGGTAAGTTGACTGACGTTTGATTTCTAATTGGACACTTATGAAATTTTAAAGTTGGCAAAAACTACAATATGTAGTTGCTTAAACTGTACTTATTGAAAACTGTCATGTAAAAAAGTGTGTTCCAGTACTACAGTACGCTGCCTAAAGCATGGTAACTTTTTATTGTGATACTGTACCAATAGATGCAGGAACAGTAAAAGCTGATATACTTTGTTTTAGCTATTGAAGATGAAATAGATTTCTGTCATTCAATATAATTTTCTGAATCTGTAAAAACAATACCTGTATAAAGTTAGAATTAACACTGGGCTGATGGTGCTGGTGCTGAAATTTTGGAACTACTTACTGTACTGTATTTATAGACTGATCAGCCATAATGGCCAATGTTTCTCTGAAGTTTTCAGTTCACTGTGAGTATTTGTGTTCAAGTATTGGAAGTGTACACATTAACATCATAGAACTGTAGACATTGTGTTTTTCAACATAACTAATCCACAGATTACTGATGAAATTTTCCTGATTTTTTTGGTATTAGGATGTACAATTGGTCCTAAAGCAGAATGTCTTTGATAGTACGGTATTAATTATCTGTAAGTGACAGTCTTTTTATTAACCCTCATAATTTTTATTGGTGGGTAGTGTTTCCCACCAATGCTGATCTGAGTCTTGTTTCACCAACCAAACAAGAGGAAGCTGACACCAGGTTGTTTTAACATTCATTTGATGTATCAAGTAAATAACTGACCAAAGTGTGCATTAGGAAATCGGACACAGACACAGTGATCTTAGCACTGGCTTTATTTAAAAAACTGAATCTGAGAGAACTTTGGATTAAGTACAGCACCTCAGCCAATGTGAGATGCCTACCAATCCATTTGATGTGGCAGGCTCTTCTTGTTCAAGAACAAAGGTACCCCTTTGTGCAAGCTTCTGCCCACCACAGATACTCTCATCCCAAAAGTTTAGAGGAGCACATAACAAGCATTGATCTGGAATAAAGCGCTGGACTCTAGCTTCGAACCACCCAGCCCAGTGAACTGAGGCACATTGCCAGACATGAAAGATGGTTGCTGGATTGACTTTGTTATATGTAATTGTAAATGCCCATGCAGCACAGCTTGCTCTTGTTCCAAGAACACTTTACAATGCACAACATTGGGTGGCTGTATTTGTCTAAATAATATACATATATATATATATTTTTTTTTTAAATTGCTGTTGAATTTCATTCAATACCTCATTTATCAAAGCCTGATCAATTGACTGCTTCCAAACCTGGTGAGTGGTGCAGTGAATTTAGCTGTTAAGGGCCCCAAAGAACGACCATAGGTCAACTGATTGGCTGGCATTAGTTTCCTAGTGGTGTGCTCTCATAGACCCATTTTGCTATTAAAATGGTTGAAGTCACAGGTGATCTTGAACAAGTGTCTTGCAATTTCTTACTTTCTCTTTTGTCATACCTCAAAATTGGTGCTTGAAGTTGCTTTTTCATGCCAAAAAACCCAAAGTAGACACTTAACACAACTACATAATGGCCTCAGCCGTCGATGCACTTACCTACTGTGTTGTGAGAGGGCGTGGTCGCATTTTTTGCAATATCAAGTACAGTCATTTTTGCTTCAATACATGTTTTGTCAACACAAATTGGCTAGAACGCGATTGATGAATAGAAGAATGATATTTGTAAAACGCGAACGCGTGTTGGCTGTAACGCGATTCCACTCGAACGTTTTAAGTGTACAGTCGCTTGGTGCGGGATTATGCAGTGTTTACAGTTCATGTTCGACATCACATGTTCAATTGATTCATGTGTTTTGTTTGTGAAGTGTTATTTGATATGGACTATAAATTTCATCCTTTTTTTTGCAAATTTAGCTGTTCCTATAAATAATGTGTGAAAAAATAAATAAAAATAATGTTTCCCAGTGCGGACTAATAGCGTTTTACACCCGCGCTCTGTTTCCATCACATGATCAGTTGAAACACGTGGGTTGTTTTGAAGCGTCCTCAGTGATTTTTGCTTACTATTTCTCCAATTTTGTGGTATTAACTGTGAATATGGAAAAGAATATCTCCAAGAAGCGTTCTGGTGATCGCATTCTAGTAATCTGCACCTAACCCTATTTTCTCTATAAGCCCTGTTATTTCTATTGCGCGAATTTCTACAACGTGAGCTTTTACAAGAACACAACTATCGCGTTGTAGCAGAACTGATCGTACTAAATTTGGTCATAGCTCAAAATTTACTTGCTCTACCCCCACTAACTTGAGAATTTTCTTTCGATTGAGCTAAAAAAATGGCCAAGATAGTGATTTTGGTTAATTATGGCCAATTAGGGCCAATCAGTGGCATTCTCCAACTGGGTTCCGGGCCTAAATCGTCTTAGAATCACTTCAGCTACCACCCTGTAAAGTCTGGTTGCTTTCCTTGAAAGTGAAGTATCTTGCCATATTTTTACCATAAGAACTGCTACTAGAACCAAGTCCTCTGCTTCAGTTATTACATGTGAGGTGCGTGTGTTGTTAGAGGGATCATTGGTGTACTGTATTGTGATTATGGAAAGTAGAATACAAGGTATAGGAGATTGTTTTACTCACTTTGCTATTATAGTTAGAGGATGAATGTAAGATGTAGATGGATAGGTAAATTTTGACAATGCTGTACAGTATGTGGATGCCTCATTAATGTGTAAACTTTTTGCAGGTATTTATGAAACCTGGCAAGCCAACGACTTTTGCCACATGTCAGGTTAATGGTCGCAAGAAGCTGATTCTTGGACTCCCTGGAAACCCTGTGTCTGCTGTTGTGACAAGTACCCTCTATATCTTGCCTCTGTGTCGCAAGATGAGTGGCAGGAGTGATCATATGAATACAGAAATAAGAGCTAAGGTATGTAGCTGAAGATATAAATTTCTCTGTGTGTAAAGAAGACAGATGACTAAGGATGTGAAAATTGGGTGAATAATTAGTGGATGACACCAATAGGTATTTTAATGAGAAGATTAAAAAAACAAAAACAAAAACAAGAACATGCCTTTTCATGAAGGCATGTGTAACCTATGATTTACCCCACATATGTAGGAGAAGAAGCATAAAAATAAAAACCAGACTAATGGGAGAAGAGTTTATTGGACCTGTAAAACAAATATTAATTCAACTTAGCAAGTTTAAAATAGAAAGTTTTTGCCTTCTGTACACCAGGAAACCTCTTCTATAAGTCTTGCTTTACCATTGTCTTAATCCACCTGATTAATATTGCATGACCTAAGTAATTGATTAAAATTAAGACTGAATATTTTTAAATATAATTGGTCAAGATTATGATTGTGGGAGGAGGTTGGTCGTACAGTACAGTATTATTGTACTTCTCATTACTGTGACTTAGGTCCAATACTTGTTTGGGTTCACTGGCCCTACTAAACATTGCAGGATTGCTCTGGTTTTTTCCTGTACTATCCAGTTTAAATATTCAGGATTAATCGGGTACTTAAATATTTGTAATTGATGGCAGTTACCCTTTGTCTGGCTGTTACACCTGATAGCACTCATTATTCCTTTTCAGTTGTCAGAGTCCATACAAATTGATCCAAGACCAGAGTACCATAGAGCCACTCTGTGTTGGCATCCTGGTGTAGACATTCCCTTAGCTCACTCTACTGGTAACCAGCTGTCATCTCGCCTGTTATCTCTGGCTTCAGCTCAAGCTCTTCTTAAATTACCACCAGCAACACCAGAAGTCAAAGAGTTGGCAGAAGGCACAGTTGTTGATGCAATACTTTTAGAAATGTAAGCAAATATTCTGAATTTAAAATCCTTTAATAAAATGTTTATTATACCGTATATAGTAATCCCTTGCCTTAATGTGGGGGTAAGGTTCCATGGCTGTGGATAACACTTGTCAAAGCCTAACCAATATACCTGTTACTTTGCAAAACAAATACTTGCATTGTACATTTAATTAAATTTGAGTCAAAAACATATGAAATAGTGTACAGTAATGCAGGTATAAGTTAAATAGTAATATAAATTTAACAGTATAAGGGGTATTTACCTTCAATGAGAATGATGATCGTGATGTGGAGGGAGAGGGGGTTGTTATGGGGAAGAGGGGGATACAGCCCCACTCTCTTCAGGTTCATCAATGTTTGATGAGGTGGGTGATGCAAGGACATCTTGGCTGGTGGGTGGGTTGGTGATTGTGGCAGCTGTAGCAGCAGCGGTCTTGATAAAAAAGCTGTACCTTATAGGGCAGTGGTGTCAAACTAAAAACCTTTTGAGAGCCAATTCTTATTTTACTTACCCTTTTCAGGGCCAGCACAAGTGCTATATCACATATTTGCAGGATTGAAGTTTACAGCTTCTCACATTGCCTTACCTGGCTTAACAGGAATACCTCACTTGGGTTTGTTTGATCTTAAGTACGTAAAATTAATTTTACTAAATAAACATGATTATATCTATTTCTATCATAATTTCACGGGATGATAAATTTTACCGTCATCCCGCGGGCCACACCTGACCATCCCAAGGGCCACATTTTGCCCCCGGGCCATGAGTTTGATAGCCCTGTTGTAGGGCCGCATTGTATCTTCCAAGGTATGCTTAAATGCAAGGCTATGGTCTGTAAAAGGATTAATTTCCATAAAATGCTTAGCCAAAGTGTGTGTGTGTATGGAGTACTGTGTATGTTGGAGTACTGTGTGTGTGTTGGAGTAATGTGTGTATGTTGGAGTACTGTGTGTGTGTTGGAGTACTGTGTGTATGTTGGAGTAATGTGTATATGTTTGAGTACTGTGTATGTTGGAGTAATGTGTGTGTGTTGGTGTAATGTGTGTATGTTTGAGTACTGTGTATGTTGGAGTAATGTGTGTATGCTGGAGTACTATACTGTGTGTATAAAGAGGTGTTTCTAAACATTCAGCTAGATATACCATGATGTATACAAGAACACTGTACCAATCTGACTAAGCATCAGCTGTTGGACAATATATTTTATGTACTGTAGTGTAGACAGTGTACAATGTGTAGTGTAGATAGTGTAAAGTGTGTAATGTAGACATTGGATCATGAAGGGTAAACAATGTAAAGTTTATATTTTAGGTAATATATGTACTGTGTGTAGTGTAGATAATGAATCGTGTGGACAATGTGAAGTGTACAGTGAGAAGAAGAGGGAGAGAGAGAGAAGTGGTTAGTGGGGAACACAGCTTGTTCTCTACAGCCACTGAACTGTTCATTGAAATATGCCAGTATGAGAGAGTTGGACAAGAGGAGTACAAAGGCAAACAATACATTCATAGACTATTGAATATTCTATATTTCTATGGTACCATTTTGTATGGGATCTGAACTAGTGTAAGAAATATCTGAGAGAGGATTTAGGTTCAGAGAGTGAAGGATATAATATACAGTAAATAGAGGTAATATGAGAAATACGTTAACACTGTCTTAAACTTGCTTAAAATTACAATGGATTATAGATTTAGATGAAAAACTTTCATTTCATGGTTGCTGAAATGAAATGTCAATCGAAGAATCCATGTATTGTACGCAGTTGCTGGCTGGAAATTTGTTGCTGTGTCCTGGTGAGACGAGAGGGTGTGCTCAATAATATCCAGACTAAAACGTAATATAACTGATATGACACACGATAGCTTTTCCCATGCATAATGTGTCTGGCAACTGGAATATTTCTCCAAGCTTCAACATTTTTTCCAATGAATGTGAGAATAGAAGTGAGTCGTTTTGTATTTCATGTTTTTCCTTGGTAGATCACAAAATCATGTAGGTGAGTTAAAGGTAAATTGTGTGATTTTTAAACAACAAAAAGATGGTAAAATAGTAAATTATATCACTTATATATTTATTGATTATAAAATGTATCATATTAAACACTACCACACTGAATGTATTTGGTATAGAGACAAAATTTTTACAACTTACTAATATGACAACAATGTTAAATTTAAGTAAAATAATCTTTTCAATAATTTTACTGATTATAATATATATATTTCAAAACTCATTAATAACAATAAAATACTTATACTGTACAATAATTTCTGTAGTTTGAAGAAGTAAAATTAATCTTGACAGAACTTTTCTTAAAAGCCATGGAAAAGCCCATAAATTCATCAGACACAGTTTAAGATTTTCGCTGTTGTACAAAAACTAGTACACGAGTCAATAATTATGTGGTATGTTGACAAATTAGATTTCTGATTTAGAGACATCATAGAAGAGTAAAGTTCTAGAGCTTTATGGTTGGTAGACTGAGATCTGTCCAGATGTTAGGTTTGTGGGATGCTTGAGGAGTTTGATGCCTCTTGAGTCCTGGGAGAAGTAGATGGTGATTTTAGCCATCAGAAGTAAGCAATGTCATCTTCCTTAGCCTTAGGGTGTTGGATAGAGTGGAGAGACAAATTCTGCTTCAGGTCCTTATACACTCGCATGTGAACAACCTCCTCCTCACCTATGTCAACCTCAAAAGAAAATAAGTGTCATTAGAAACTACCCATGAATGTAAATACAGTACTGTACTAAAAATCCAAATTTATCTTCCCACGGAGAATCTAATTTTAATCACAAATCTTTAAATAAAAAAATGTTGAAGAATCTAGCTTAGTGGGTTGCCATGGCCTGACTACAGTATGGCATATATGACAATGTTGTGACTTAAATATGAATCTTGATCAGGCTAATGTTTTAATTACACAATTAAAAAAAAGTAAATTAGTAACTGTACATCTACTGTAGTTTCAAAATTTTTGCATCTGTTTCAGTGGTGTGGCCAAAGTTAAAGTGTGCACTGAAGTATATGTCACCATACCTTTGGTCTTCAGCATTCACTGGGTCACACCTTTAACAACATGACTTTATGCTTCATGAAGAGAATTTTTTATACTGTATTTGAAATGCTTTGGAAAATTTGGAGAAAAAAAAATGAGAAGTTATCTTTGTGGGTAAAGTTAAGGATGCCATAAGGTAATGTGTATGTGTAATACAAGAAAAGGACAAATTTTTTAAAGATATGTTTAAAACCACTAGTTGACTACAGTAAAAGTCCAAAAATCCGGATGCCAGAAATCCGGACCACCCGAGAATCCGGACTTTTCGAAAACTCAACTTTTTTTTTTTTAGCGGGCTTTTGTGTGTATGTGCGCATGCGTGAGCGCCACAGCTGCACAGCGACAACAAGCGACCACGTGGTCGCCACTTTAAAACGAGCAATCAAACTGTGACAACATGTAATTTTGAGTCCTACTCTTTCCATTTACAGAGTACTGTACAAGCTCATAATAATGGCTCCTATAGTAGATAAACTTCGTTGTGTGAAGAGAAAGAAGAACACGTTGAAATTGAGTGACAAACTTGAAATAATTAAGAAACTAGAACGTGGTGTGAGCAATACTGTTCTAATGGAAACATACGACATTGGAAAGTCTACAATTTATGATATAAAAAAGGCAAAGAATAAAATTCTAGAATTCACAACTTTATCTTTAAAACTGCTCGTTTTGATAAATGAACCATGCTATATTTGCGAATGAATAAACTATCAAAATGTACCTGTTCATCTCTTCTTTATTCCTCCTTAAATTTGAATTTTAAAAGTACTGCCTGGGAATCCGGAAAATCCGAAAATTCGGACCGACCCAATCCCCAAGCAGTCCGGATTTTTGGACTTCTACTGTATAATGGAGTTAGACCTTTTTGTATGATCTTTTGCAATAAGGTGAAATAATGTATTTAGCACCGGAAAGTACTATCCGAATTGACAAACATTACATCAGAACCGAGACTGGGCAAACAGCTGCTATTTTATATTCCTATGTTGCATTACCTTAGCAAAGTAGTTAGTCCCGGCGACAACCTGAGTCTTGTAGGAGAGGAGTGTGAACTGTGACACCTCGCGGCCCAGCTTGTCCTCCACCTGCCAATATATGCAGTGCGGTACAAATAACTGATGACGTCGTTAAAGCATCACTCACACACAACCAAAATAGAAATTTCAAGCCGAATTTTGAATATAATAAATTTTTAACATTAACCACATATGCTGGTATAGTATAGACTTTTTCTTGTGTAGTTGTGGGTTCTAATAATGTCAGTCATTTGTCTGTTTGGAATATTTTTTAAGTAACAACACAATGGTCCTTGAGATACATAACACACGTAAGAATGAATACCTAAATGCATCGTGTAATGAGTCTTTGGAAATTAGAGGGTGTATCATTTTGAATGTAAAAACTAGCACATAATAGGTTTCAGAAAATCCTAGTTCTGGTTGGTTATTGCCCAAACCCTAAAAAATTATGTCAATGTTAAGAACTCTTTTTAAAGAAAAACTAATGTAAATTCGAATACTAATATTCTATACAGCAAAAATACCTTCACCTAAATGCTGATGTACTGTACCTGTAGGCAGATTCCTTAACACCAATAACACTACAAGGATGACAATGTAAAGCTCCAAAATTACACCATTACTATCTATGGATTTTCATTAACACAAACTCAAATTCTAGTGAACACTTATGCAATATGTCAAAAGAAAAAACTGAAATCTGAGTACAGTAATACCTCAGTAGGCACCACCCGAGACAAACATCTACCGTGCTTCACATTTTAGCGGTTAGTATAGATTAATTATTAAGGTCATCTGCCATGAGACTTGACAGCTTTTGATAACAATTACTGTACTAAACTTTTGTGAACATTCACAAAAAAATTTTGAAACTGTTAAATTAAATCTACTTTTGTTTTCATTGTTTTTTAATGACTGTTTCACTCACAAACTAGAGTAATAACTGGATTATTATCGGAAGTACTTAGGATATAATCCACAAAAAATTAAAGATTACTTCAAACAAAAAATTCAAAATACTGAAAATTAGAGCATTCTGGAGCTGGATGTTGAGAGTGGACAAAGTTGCCTTTTAGGGGAAGTTAATAATACTGGTGATAAGTTATCAATGACTTATCTAAGATAGTCTCTGACAGCCTAACACCTGTTAAGCTTCCCAACGCCGAATGTGACCCGGTGCCGTCTTCAGGTAAAGGTCAACATGGCACTGGCCCAGGATCCCAAAGATTGTTCATAAATTATTTACGAAATTACACACCTTTACCGGAGGGTATAATTCCTGTATAACTTACATCAATGTGTTGGAGGCAGGCACTGTGGCTTGGTAACAGGTTTATCCCTGGAGCCCTATTGCTATATATGGACAGAGGTGTTGGGGAGGGGGGGGGAGCATTAAATTTACATGCACAAATTTCATGGAAGTACTTAATTTCTGTATTGGCATCTGCTTAGTAAATGCAGAATATATAGATATTGTTTTAACTTAGACACTGTAGTAGTTTTCATCCTCTTTGAGTGATAGAAAGCATATGAGTTTTGATCATGTGATTTGCCGTGTTAAGATCTAGCAGGTGACATAAACAGGAGAAAAGACTGAGAAACACTACTGTATTATGTACCACCTTGCTCTCACCAAGGTGACATCTGATTAGTGTACTCTTAATTAAAATAATTAAGAAAAAAATTTATATGCAGTAACTAGTGCAAAAACCTTTAATGGCATAATCAATGTACAGTACAATGTTAAAGAAAACTTAAAACCTTACAGTGGGGTATGCTATAACGAACGGACCCTACTACGAATATTCCTATAACGAACGGTTTTACCTATAAAATTGAGAATGCTATAACGAACGAAACTCCTACAACGAACATTATTTAATTTTTTTTTATTACAAATGTTAATGATATTCTTTATTTCAGGGGTTTAGATGCATATTTATGCACTTTTTTACAATTTTTACAATTTTATATTATATTTTTCAGTGTTAAGTGGTTGTATTTGGGGGCCTGGAACGGATTAATCCTATAACGAACGAATGCTATAACGAACAAGGTTCTAGAACCAATTAGATTCGTTATAGCATACCCCACTGTATATCAAAGATATCAACCCACCTGGCCCTTCACTTGTATCAGAAGTTGCTGGACCTCGTCACATGGTGGCTTGGTCTCTGTAGTTCCTCCGGCTAACATATCTGCTTAAGTAACAAATTATATAATATATATATATATATATATATATATATATATATATATATATATATATATATATATATATATATATATATATATATATATATATATATATATATATATATATATATATATATATATACACGTGTGTGAAAGTGATATATTGAAACAATAACTAGGTTGGAGACCCAATAATACAACTTTACTTATTATTAAACTAAATTATTAAATAGAGGTTAAAATATGTGAAATTCTAGTCATTGTGAAAAAAATGTACGGTTAAATGTCTCCTATGCAAATCATTGGAGTATTAATCCAAATAAGATGGAAGAAATCAGCAGGTCCCGATGAGATATTTGCCAGAATATTAAATGAATAAAAGGAAGAACTTAGTATACCCTTGAAGAACCTGTTTAACGCCATTAAGGCTGGGTGTTACACCAGAGTCTTGCAGGATACCGAATGTGATACCGATTTTCAACAAGGGAGATAAATTACTATAGTGAAGTATTCTCAAACTAGGGCATAATCAGTGTTACATCAATTGTGGGAAAATTACTGTAAGCAATAGTTACAAATTCATTTTGAAATCGTCTTGAAAAACCCAAGTTGGTTAACGAATTTCAGCGTGACTTTACCAGCGGGCATTCTTGTCTGACAAATTTGCTACCATTCTTTTCGAGCATTTTCAAGTGGCCACAACTACCATGTGGAATACCTTACCAAAGCCTTTGATAGGGCCCCTCGCGAAAGAATTATTCAAAAATTAAGGCACATGGCATAGGAGAGTATAATCTAAGTCCGATTAAAGCAAGGTTAGGTGAGGGGTTAACCCACAATAAACAGTCAACATAAATGGCACAGAAGTAACCTAACTACAGTATTATAGTTGGCGCACTCAAAGATTCGGCAATCGGACCGTTACTATTCATTCTATACAATAACGACATAAATATGAGCGTTGACAGCAACTTAAGTAAATTTGCTGATGACAAAAAATGGGGCGATTAATTGAATCCGATAAAGGACTCGGGGAAATTACAAGAAAACCTAAAAAAAATTTTAGTACAGGTATAGACTGAAAAGTGGCAGATGAAATTATTCGTGGAGAAACGTAAAGTTCTTTGGTGAGCGGAAACTATCAGCCTAACAACGTAGACAGAAAAATACGATCGAGAAAGATACGGGGCAATGGTAAATAGGAACACACACAAATGCGCTTACTTACGAAATAAGCCTGACAGTATTAGTGAAGCGTGTTATCTTATATATCGCCCATGAGAGACCTCACTTGGATTATACAGACAACTGAATGGATATTGATCGCAGTACAAGTATATAAATGAAAGATGGGGTTAAATAAAGGTGATATAACTCAGGTACTTATGCTATCAAATTAGAAGTCAACACAACATTGCTTTTAATTTAGACAAATCTAAATGGGAATTGGGTAAACCTTGGTTTGGAAAGAGTTCCGGAAGTGAAACAAGTTATAAAACACCATCATTAACTCAAACTGGCTGGGAAGTTTCAAATGGGTTGGACAGATAGATATACAGTATGAGCGATATGGGTTGGGTGGGACTGATTCACAGGGGTCAGCAGGCATACTACAGTTTCATTATTTTTTATGTGCGTGCACTATCATCAGTTTGGGGGGCGTGTCCTGACCATGGCTTGAGCTGCGCGAGGGGCGTGTGGTGGGAGGGGAAGTATTCTGTCCGTGAAGGCCACTGGTTGAAATAAGTAATGCTGTTAATGATGCGTGTAAAGTAAATTAAGGATTTTCTCTGCCTTCATTTTCTTTTGTTGATTAATAGTATGAGCAACAGATGGGAATATCCAAATCATGTTTGTTTAGCAACACTGGGTCACCAATTTTGCGTTGCCTAGCGTACTAATAAACAGCGGCCATCAGTATAACTGAGGCAGGACCAGTAGATTAAATTATGACAACACAAGAGCATTTAACCATGTTCTGTAACTCACCTGCGATCTGAGTAACGAATACAACCGACACCAAACACGAGCCAAAACAGACTGGTGATTATTGCCTATCACATCACAGCTTGAAGTCAACTTAAGCAGTACGACACTTTCTGTCTTGGGAACTACTTTCCACGAAATACAGATACCCCGCATAATTTTGAAATATTATTATTCTAATGTTTTGGAAGGAATGTATCAACTTAATAAGTCAATGATATTTAAAAATTTTTGTATTTGTCTGGTTTAATCAGTAATCAAGTTCTCTACCCCACTGCCAGACAAACTGAGACAATGCGCGCGTTGGCTCGTCTGTATTCTGTAACTCATACTTTTATCCTCTTCGCCACTGATCGGCTCGCTAGCCGCCCGGGCGATCGGTCACGTCTCTGTCACGCACTGTTGGCAAATACTGGGCATGCACCGGCTCCTGAATGTACCTGAACCTGCTCCAGTGTTGGTCAAGTCTGGTCTTGAAAGAGCTCACACTCGGTGCCGTCACAACACTCTCTGGTAGATTGTTCCAAGAGTTTACAACCCTCACTCCAAAAAAGTTTGCCCTCACGGTTTTCTGGACTCAACTGAGTAGTGCCCCCTGAGATGCTTATACACCTCAACTAGGTACCCCCTTGTCCGTCTGTAGTATAAGCTAGGCAAGTTCAGGCGCTCCAATCTCTCAGGGTAGCTGAGGTGCCGAAGTGCAGGCACCAGTCTGGTGGCCCTCCTTTGAACATTTTCAACCAACTGACAGTCCGTAGCATATCTCGGGGACCAGACGGGGTGACAGTACTCCAGATGGGGAAGCACTTCACTCCTGAAGATCGTCACGAGGGACGGACCGTCTAGATATCTGAACGACCTTCTTATAAGACCCAATAATTTATTTGCCTGATTTACCTTCTTCTCACAATGGCCCGAGAACTTCAGCTCATTGTCAACATACACACCTAGGTCCTTCTCACACACAGTCTCAACTTGTGCATTTTCTTCATCCCTTTGGGACATATGATACGCCTCCTTACTGTTGGTACGCCCCAGGTGCATCCTCTTACACTTCGTGACATTGAATCTCAGCAGCCATTTCTTCGACCATTCCTGGAGCCCACAGAGGTCCTTCTGCAGCTCTTCACAGTCCGCTTGGTTCTTAATTTCCCGAAATAACTTGCCATCATCGGCAAACATTTGTATGGAGGAGTGTACAACGTCAGGCATGTCATTTATGAAACAAACAAACAACAGCGGGCCCAATACACTGCCCTGCGGTACCCCACTTGTTACAGGTACAGATGACGATTTCGTGCCATTAATCACCACACACTGCTTGCGGTCATGTAGAAAGTCTTCTATCCACGCTAGGACATTTCCCCGAATTCCGTACCCTTCCAGTTTGATTTTCAGCCTTTCGTGGGGTACACTGTCGAAAGCCTTGGCAAAATCTAGGTAAATATTGTCGATATTACCACCCCGTTCTAGAATATGGGTCCAAATATCCAATACCTTGAGCAATTGTGTTAAGCAAGAGCGCCCCGGCATAAAACCGTGTTGGCAATCTTTTACAAGGTTGTTTCGTAGTAGATGTTCCATCGCGGCATCTCTGATAATACTCTCAAGTACTTTACATATTATGCTGGTCAGGCTCACCGGTCTATAGTTGTTCGTGGAGTGACTATCGCCCTTCTTGAAGATAGGACTCACATAAGCCACTTTCCATTCACTGGGGACCATTTGTTCATCCAGGCATTTACAAAACAGAATCTTCAGGGGCTCTGCAAGCTCGTTGCACAGCTCTCTTAGCACTCTAGGATGCACCATGTCAGGTCCGGGACTCTTATGGACCTTTAGCCTGGACAGTTTATTTCTAATACCCTCTGACCCAGCTTGGAGAAGGTCGTGCCCGATAGTGTTCCCGTTAGAGACCAAGGAAAATGGCCGCCGTGGATCGTTGTGTCGTGGGGGAAGAGGAGGGGAGTGTGGGGAAAGACGACCTCCTTGCCACTCTGTTAAGGCAGCTGGGGCAGTTGAGGAGTGAGGTTGACTCTCTAAAGGGGGAAAATGAAGCCCTCAGGACGGAACTCCTTCAGGTAGGTGTCCTGCCTAGCAGGACACCTGCGAAGGAGGAGCAGGCGTGGAGAGTGGTTGTCTCCAAGGGGACTAGGGTCAGGCAAGCTGACCAGGGTGTGGAGTGTAGTAACCCTTACCAGGTGCTGCAGGAAGCTGGCGAGGAAGAGAAGAGGCAGGACGGTATGGATTAAGGAGAGGAGAGGGCAGTTGTACAAACCCTGCCCGCAGGTAAGGTCGTGGTAGTTGGGGATAGCCAGGTGAGGTTTATGGATAGGGCTTTTTGTGCGAGAGATAGGAAACGTAGGACTAGGGTGTGTTTTCCTGGGGCTGGGATAGGGCATGTAGCCGAGAGGTTAGACAGGGTTTTGTCAGGGGAGGGTACCAATCCAGTAGCGTGTCTTAGTGTGGGAGGAAACGACATAGGTAAGGTTAGGAGTGAGGAACTTTTCAAGAGGTATAGGGAGGCGCTGGGGAAGATTAGAGATAGGGGAGGGATCCCGATAGTATGTGGTGTCTTGCCTAGAAGAGGGGTTGGTCGTGAATGGCTGTCCAGGGCAATTGCTATAAATTGCCGACTGGAAAAACATTGTGCAAACAATGGTTGGGCATTCATTGATAACTGGCAACGATTCTATGGCAACGACTACCTGTACCGTCGCGACGGAGTACACTTGTCTCGTGAGGGGGTAAAGACGTTGTCTGCATCCCTGGAGCGTGAAATTGTCACTCCGAAGGGGGGGTTTCGCCAGTAGAGAGTGATCGGGGAAAGTGGGAGTCAAAAAACAAGCAGGTCCTGGGAAGTAAAATTAGATGCTCAGGACAAGGGGTAAAACAGGACCAGGGAAGGGTAGGTTTAAATGTATACTATACAAACAGTAGGAGCGTTAGAAATAAAATAGACTTGCTGAGAGCGGTTGTATGTACCGAGAATATAGACGTCATAGCAATCACCGAAACTTGGATGAATCTGGCGAGCAAAATCTTTTTTATCAGAGTACCACATAGAAGGGTACAACCTTTTTCACAAGGACAGGGAAGGTAGGAAGGGGGGAGGGGTCGCACTCTTCGTCAAGGATACATTAAAATGTTGTATTAATAATTCAATAAAGGGTGAAATAGGAACCGAGTCTGTGTGGGTAGAAATCACGGAAGGAAGAGAAAAACTAATTATGGGAGTGATGGTGATGATGAATAATGATGATTGATGCTGCTGAATGATCCCCAGTTATTATAAGACAATTCATCATCACTACACACACACTTGGTTTGATTTACAGGGGTGAGGTTAGATTAGTTATCATTTCACCCCACATTATGGCTTCGTCCCCGTGCAATAATAACCTACCTCAGAGTTCCTCATTTACTATTTATGAATGTTATACTAATATCCTCAGTGGCAAACCTCTGGATGAAAGGCTAAATATAAAATGAAAATACACCCGTTGTTGCTAATGGCGTAGTTACCAAAGCTGACTCAACTGACCAATGAGAGAGCGGGTGTTTAAAACTTCAGCCAATCAGAAAGTTAAACTAAAAATGTGTTCGGAACTCTGTATTAATTCTTTTTACTGATAATATATATCCAATTTTTTATCCTTTAGTTCATAAAAAATTATATATGCAAAATTTTAGTGTATTTTGTATTTTATATTTAGTTTATTAACGATGAATTAGGTTTGTTAGGCTGCGTAAAATGAAGACTTATTTCTTGAACGTTGAAATCGAACACTCAGTGAATTGTTAGACGGTGTTTATGAAGATATATTCAGGCTGAGGTAAACTAAATATACCTTCATATAGTTAGTAAATTACCTTATTAAGAACAATTTAGTGATGTTATGATTGATGAAGTGGGAGTGTATATTTTGTTTGTGACAGTGGGAGCATCATGACACCAGGTTTGACATTTGTGCTCAGAAGTTACCAATAATAATAGGTGGTGGATATTTGGCCGTGACTGGATAACTTCCTACTAACGCTATTTTACCGTGAGTGAGCTCTGGTTAATCGTCCATTACCAGCTATCGGCAAATATTCGTCCATTGGCTGTCCTCAGGTTTTGATAAAAGAATATTTTTTTTAGTCAAATCTGACCTCCATTTCTTGTGCAAATTAGCGGTTTTTGCATAAAATGAACATTTTCATTTGTAACAGAAACCGCCAATTTGCACCTATATGGGGGTCAGGTTTTAGTAAAACGCACTATAATACACCAAAGAAACTAACCTTAACCTAACCTAACTTAATCTACAGTGTTCACAACCTAGCCCAGTTTTTGGAGCTGACCTGCTACTGTGGTGGAGGAGGAAGTGGTGGAGGATGGTAATGTCTGTCTTTTCTTAAAACTAAACAATTTCCACACTTAGGTCAAAGTCTTGATGTTGGTAGGGCACTGTGATCTTGTCAATAGGAACAACTTTTTCTAATAACCACTTGTGTCGCAAATGGATATTAACCAAGAATGTAAATTCACGAAAAATTAAGGTTAATATTGACAAATGACCAGCATATGAGTTATTTGTTTTACTGTCTATATTCTTACTATATTTTCATCAGTGGGTTCTGATATGATAATCGTTTCTTGTGCAAATGTTTTGTTTGGTAGATAATTAGGCACCTAAGTGCATACTACCTTGTCTTCTCGGTGGTAGTGTGGCGGTGAAGTCTCATCCCAAGATGTAAACAACCAATAATATTGACGTATTTCAAAACACTCCTCCGCCCGGGCTTGATCAACGGCGATGCTCAGTGTATGCTTAAGAACCGTTCGGTATGGACGGCTGCTCTCACGTCCACAAAAAAGGTTAATATATAGGACTAACCCACCGACGAGTTATTTTTATTATTGTTTATTCCTTATATTATTTTCATCAGTAAGTTCTGATATGATAATCATTTCTTGTGCAAATGCTTCGTTTTGTAGATAATTAGATACCTAGGAGGTCATTAGTTTGTTTTCTCGGCGATAATGAGGCTGCTCTCTAGAGAGGAATCTTCTCTTCCCCGTGGCAGTTTCATTTTCAGCATGACGTGTGAAGGTTGTCGCCGGTCTTATATGGACATAACTTGTGAATTTAAGGATAAAGACATCGAGACCCTAAAGTTTTTTAAAGACCACGGCATCGTTCCTTTAAATATTGTTCACAGCAATACTGTGAAATAGAACGGGGTTTATGTGCTAAGTCAGTTGTTGATTGGAAACAATCATTCATCACTTCCTCAATGCCGTGGCTCGCCATCTCAATAACAAATCACTCCGCTGGCCGGGCTCAGTAAGCGCCTGCATGATCTCACGTCCATAAAATGCCTCAAATTTCACCAAATCAGAGGAGGTTCTTTCCGTTTAATATACCAGGGGGTAAGAATGTTAGGTTAGGTAGGTTTGTTTGGTTAGGTTGGTTAGATCTGTTCTTCATTCCCACAAATGTTAAGTAACATTTCTTTTAGAAATAATCAATTTTTTATCATATTTCCACAAACTACAACAGTGTCCACTATAAAATAACAGTGAAAATCCAGCATTTTTATAATCTTTTTCAATCAATTTCGGCCACGGGTTAGTCCTATATAATTACCCCTCCAAAAACATAAAGTTACGCCATATCATATTAAGTTCTTTCTGTTTAATTTACCGTGGGGCCCGGGGAGTGGTGCCCTTGGCTAGGACGTTAGGTAAGGTCAGGTAGGTTTGTTTGGTTAGGTTCGTGAGGTCTTCTAACAATGCTTCTGTTGCTTGTTTTTCATATCAACTAAGGTTAGGTTAGATTTAATTTAGAAATAACCATTTTTTAACACATTTGCATATACTATGACAGTATACTAGTTTTGGTTAACATTCCGTAGAAACCATGCATGGAACTTTTATTGATTCTTATGTGGGGAGAAAGAGCAAAGAAAAAAAGGTACATTTTTTATTTTTTATTTTAGGTTTAGTTTGTTATTTTATTCTTTCTTTTGTTGTGTTACGTTTACAGAACTGGAGGTCCAGGAGGGACTCTGCCTCTCTGGATAGGTTAGGCCATGTCCTTCTGGCTCCTCTGGTTAAGTTAGGTTAGACATGCATATACTGGACAGTACTGATGCACTTATAGTGGATTTCTCCCCTACAAACACTGTTTGTCGCCGAGTCGCCGACCCCACCAATTCCCCAATGTATGCCTCGTGGTCTAGGTCAACCAGCGCCGCCATACATCACGGAGCGGGGGTCAACTATTAAGCCACGCCTACCCCCGCTATTTAAGACCTGACCTCGTGGTGACCTCTCTCTTTCTACCTACACCAACCAGCCAGCAACACACCACACCTCCTCCGCCGCTGCCTGGCGGCCCTCGCTCCTCCTCTGCCTGCCTGGCGGTCCTCGCTCCCTCCGGCTAGCATGGCGACCCACCAGCTGTCCTTCTCTGAGCGTCCTCACCAACCAGCTCTCTCTACATCACGCTTGTAACCACGCTGCCTTCCCAGCACCAAGCTGCATTGTACATCCAATACAACATGTATATAGAGAGCACATTGTGAGTTTCCTTTCTCCACCCCATCCTGAGTGTGAACCAAGAACCCCACACACTATTTGAGTCGCCAGGTTTTGTTAGGTTTGGTTTTGTCAATGTTTTTGCATGTTTTTAACTCAGTTTTTCTCTACTTCAAATCCCAGCTCACCTTACATGATGAAAAGAGTACAATATATCTTAAAGTGATATTGGAAAGTAAAAAAAAAAAATGTAAGTTTTCAATGTAAATGCTATAAGTATTCTTATTATTTTTTGTTCTATTTCCTTATACAGTACAGGTATATATATCAGTATAGAGTTCCGTGCATGGTCACTTTAGAATACATAGTAATATTTCCATTAGCCAAAATCTCTCAAACCCAAACTCTTTGATAACTGGAATTGAAATTTTCTCGGAAAATCATTCCGAAAGCTGGAATTTTCCGGAAAATTCTGGCTTTGGGAACGATTTTCCAAGGGGTACATTTTTTGGGAAAATATGAGAATATTTTCCCGGTACCCGGAAAACTCAGGGGATGGGGGATTTTTATCCTTGGTTTGAGATATGAAAATCGAGGGCATTTTCCGGAATTTCCGAGAAAATTTTTCCAGTACCCGGAAAATTCCGGGGATGGGGAATATTTTTCCAGGTTTGAGAGATAATGTAATGAGCAATTTCTGGAACTTCTAAGGATATTTTTCCATTACCCGGAAAATTCCGGGGATGAGGGATCTTTTCCGGCTTTGAGAGGGTCGTCTTGTTACCCGGAAATCTCTCATTCCCGGAAGTGCTCTGCATCAATTGTTCCGGCTAACGGAGATATCACTGTATTTATCCTAACTTTAGTGTGGTCAGGTAACTTGTTCCAGTCCGTTCTAGCTGTAAAGAAGAAACTGTTTTTTCTACATAGACGATATCAGCTTTCTTATTGCGAGAAACATAAAAAAGGAGGGAAGAATGTGTTTTGGCAGATATGTGTAGACTGGAGGAATGATAATTTTCAAAGAGGAATTTTAGTCTACGTATTTTAGAAGAATGAAATTAGAAATAACTGTAGGACTATATTTTAGGTTATGTTTGATAGTTAGCTTTATTTATTTTATGAATGATAATTTTGAGATTTTAGCAATGGCTGAAGGAGGGTGCTCCAGCTTATATCTTTTATAGAAAATTTCATCAAGTTGCTGCTAAAGTTGGACCACTTTTATCAAATATTAATAAAAAAAATATTCAAGCATTGCTTTTATCTACTATGTTATCTACAGTTAGTTCTCCAGATAAGCAAGAGTTAAGCGTTAGTTTATGTTATTTTCTAGCAGTGGTTATACAATACCCCCTTTATGTACTTCTGCTATGATTCTTGTCAGGTACTTGTTCTGAGGACTTTTGAAGACTGATAATAAATGAACAGCTGTTTAATGTCTCTTAGCTGTTTTACTGAATTGTCAGTAGGTTCTGTTAACCCCCTTCACTATGGGGATGCCACTTTTAATATTTTATTTGGCTAACACCAGACAATTTTTTTTATTTAGCAGAAAGGGAACCCTGTGTACAAGTGGTTAACCTAGTTGAATGAGCTGTTGTAAAAAGTCATCCACTGAATTCCTAACCAAAAGATGGGACATCAGGATTTGGTCTGTCATACAGAATCTATTCACTTAATAGATAGATATTTAATACTGTAAATGCCATTTTCAGTATGAACCAGCATGGGTCGCCATCGATTGTACAAGGGGACCTATTCAAAGGCCCCAGAAAACCCGAAGACTGAGGATGAGAGACAAGCTTTCTATAAACAACGTATAAATGTGCCACGCTTCAATGATCTTTATATTGCTAAAGATGAAAATAGTGGACCTGACCAGTCCTCACAAGATGCTTTTGATTCCTTCGTTGAACGGGTAAAGGTGAGTATAGTACAGTACTGTAGAAAATAGATTGAATTTTTCCTTGACCACTATAATTGGTGTGCGAGTGCGTACGTGCGTTTAATGGAGAATTCCAGTTCTTTGTGAAAGTTTCTTTAATGGGTAGACATTGTAATTCTGCAGTACTGAGTGATATGGTGAACTTAGATTCCTGCCACTCTTTTAGGTTATAATTATTATCGGGTAAGCCAGCCTGACACTGTTGTACAGTCCTGTCAAGTGACTGCCAACTTACACAGGGTGGACCAAAGTGTTTCTATATCCGGCCACTACCCGATAGTGGTGGGTGAGTGGAGGGGGAGGGGGTAGCCTTATGTGCATATTGTACACTGGTTTTGGGGAAAAGACTATGATTACAACCATCTTGGATGCCTCTTTCATAGGATGAAAGGGAGACAAGACAGTAATGAATGTTTTCTTGCATTCATTCGTGTTACCGTTATTTTTTTATTTACATTTATTTATTTTTTATTTTTTTATTTTTTTATTTATTTATTATTAAAACAAAAGAAGAAAACATGAGAAGGGAGGTTCCTCTGTTTTCTTCCTAATTTGGGCCTCATTTACATAAAAGTATTTGTTAGAAGCCATCCAAAGTGGCTTTAGTGGTACAATTTTTCTTAGTGTAGTTCACTTTTTAACCATCAAATTTTCTTTACAGTCTGGAGGAATTTTTGAAGAATCTGTACCAGACTTGAGCTACAGGAAACCTCTAGCAGTCAACAGTTTTCTTGTTAATTCTACCATAGGGAGTACAAGTCATACCTCTGCTAATGATACTTTTGACAGACTTGTTGGACCCAGGTATGTCTCTAGCATGTCATGGCTTCTCTGTAGGCTCAAGTTGTTCAGATTTGTTATTCACTTCTCGCTTCCAACTCTAAACCCAACTTTTCTCTCATCTACTGTACTTTACTTTGGTAGATGCAGTGTGTAATACAGTGTAACAGGTTTATTGTTTTGTTGGGAACAGAAGTCTTTTTCCTCATTCTCTTAATGAGAGACTGATGTCTGCTTTTCTTTGGAGCACTGATTTTTAGGGATGTGTTTGTTTCTGGGGTAAATACAGATTTTGGAGGCATATGGTACACTAAAACCTCCATAATTTGTACTGTGTCATAATTTGACTATTTTTGGAAATTCATCTCAATTCTTGATTTGAGCTTTTTCAAATAATAGCAAATGACCCAAGAAATGGGCCATGTGGTGCATAGCATCCCTTACCCAATGGCTGAAGGAGGTAAAGTGAGTGGGTATTCTGTAGTGAACATAAGTATACACCAATTCCCTCATTAACATCATTGTTAGGTTCCTGAAAGCCACGACTTTAAGTGAAACTATGTTAAGTGAAAACTTTTACCATAGACACAATGATATAAATAGGGATTATATTCCTTGGGTACATTTCTGGTCAAAACATTCTCACAACTTGGCACAAATGTTTTACTTTCTGCACTATCACCTTCTTCTTGTTTTAAAGTTTCAAATATACTTAGAGCTTTCGCTTGTATGGAGAGCAACGAACATAGAAAGTTTTGTTGATATTGATCTTTGATCCACATTTTCAGCATTCTTTCCATATTTTTCATAATGCCACTTATGTTATGAGTTAACTTTGTAGCAGATAATGGAGTAACACTTTTAGCACATGAGTTGATATTTTCTGCATTTCCACAAATTGTTCTTACCTACAGTTGTAGGATGCAAACAGACAGCTCTTGCTTTGTCCACAGCTCACTGTCCTTCTTCAAATCTCTCTACCACATCTAATTTAATTTCTAATGTAACCCTTTTCCTCCTCCTGTGAGCACAACCAATAGTGGTGCATAATGCACGTTTAGCACTCATTGTTCTAAGGCTCAAATAAATTATAATTGGATTTTATGTGAAAGTTGGAAGAGCATCAACCAACCACCGAACAATAACAAACAAATGTGGCGCCCACACTGGTCGCCTACACAGCCAGCTGTTACCACAACCAGACACTGAGCGCCGAACCAAATTATTAAAATTGTCGTGCATTTATCATTTAAAAAAAAAAAAAAAATTCAACGATGTTATAATGAAATGACGTTAATTGGGGGAATTAGTGTATAGACAAGCTTTTTGTGTTTTGTTCATTTTTGAAGCCTTAAAGTGTTTCATGATGTCTTCCAAGAAAGATCATTGCATTTCTACTTGAGCTGTTCAGAAAACTTTGTTGAAATATAAGAAAATACCAAAGTTTGTTTGTTTCTGATAAGTTGTAAGTGTTGGACAGGACCAAGCATGGCGGGTCACCATGCAAGAATTGAAATGAGTTCAAGATAAGCACAAGTATCTGACATTCTTTTTGTTTTATTTTGATGTAAATTTTACTCTCTTTTATTTCAGGACAACACAATCCTGTCAAGTTATGGTAGGTCAATCCTCATCATCTGGAAGCTCTCTTGATTATAGTGGTGTTTTGTTTAAGTCCATCCTAAGCAATGCTCCAGCCCTGGACTCATACTGCGTAGAACATACAGGATTGAAATCTGTACCCGAAGGTCAAGAAGACAATGAAGGAGAAACAGATAATATACACTTAAAAGTGACACCTTATAATAGTCCTAAACAACCATCCCAAAAAGAAACTCCAGTCATCTTTACAAAGCCACAAATGGCACAATCACCACAGCTTTTTTCATCTAATGAATTATTAGATATTACTGATATTGAAAATGCAACGGAGCAATCAGCTGGTGGGCAGCAGTCTCCTAAAATATATAAAACAACCACTGCAATGGGGAACACAAAAAGTCTTCAGATTGGGAAAGGAAAAAGTAAAGATGGAGCTGTTAATGCAGTTTCTTCTCCCATTGTTACTTCTAAAGATAAAATAGATGGCAATGTTTTATCCAAGAGAAATAAAAATGAAACCAGTGTAAAAAAATCTGTTAATCTTGTTGGTTGTATAAGGAAGATAGCAGGGATTCAACTTTCAGAAGCATCTGATCCGTCATCTTTTACTCCATTAATTCAAAAATTTTTTAATTCTGTAAATATTGTAGTATCTCCTTTAGGGCAAAGCAGATTGCCAAATAACTCTCCACGGATCCCTTCAAATCAAATTGACCCTATAACAAGACACCAGAAATTTTTGTTGGATCAGGAACAAACATCTAAAGTACCTCAAAAGTCTCTTGGGTCAGAAAATAATGGAAAATCTAGTGTTAGAAGTGTATGCACAAGTACTCCTGCAGATGCTAGTAGGCATAAGAAAATTACAAGTTTATGTACTTCTCCGTCATTTGAACTCTCACCAGTGCCTCGGAGTGATAGCATCTTCACTGTGGATAACTCTGTGTTTGAGAGTCCAATGTGTTTCAAGGAAAATATTGTTATTAACTCAAATGAATTGGGGTCCAGTCCTTCTCTTGGGAGTAAATATGAAACTTGCCTGACATCTAACAGATGTGAAGGAAGTGATCTATTGACTGAACTAGGTTCATTAGAAAAGCTGAAGAAAAATAACACTAGTGCAGTTAAAGATAATATTACCAGTAAAGCAAAAGCTGACCATCAGTCACATGATAATTGTGCCAGTAATTTCAAGGAACTAACTTGCAAACCAATCAAGGAAGCGTACACTCCTGTGTTTGATGTAAAGAAAAGTTCAGGAAAGAAGTCATTGCCAGTTAAAACTTTTCAAAAAGATCATCTTGTAGGGATCAGTGTGACTCCATTGCATGATGAAAATAGCAAAGACAATACAGAGATGACTCTTGATTTAGTTAATCACACAGAAAGACAAAGGAAATATGTTAAAAGATTAGCACAAAGAGATTTTTCTCCAGCTGAAAAGTCTGTAATCTTTATTGGTAGGAAGGACAGAAAAACAGTTAACCCAAACCTTATTTTGTCCAAAACTAAGAGGAAGTGTATAGTTGATGCTCAATTATCAAAAATTAAACAATCCTCACAAAACATTGAGCATACCCAGAGAACTTCAGAGTTGGGAAGTACCTGTACTGCTTCGGAGGAATTGGCTGAGGATGAACAGTCCTTAATACTAACAAGAAAATCAAGATTCTCACCCAGGAAAGGAATTCAGTTGTTTGAACAACAGTCACCTGTATTGCCTAGATGGAGAACTTCAAAGAGATTGGAGAGAAGGATACTGAAGAATTCTGTATGTAATGCGAGTCACTGTCAGGAATCAAGCAGTAGTACATCAAAAATATTTTGTGATAATGAACAGTCTGTAGTTGTTAAAAACAGAACAGGAAGAACCTACAACAAAAGAAGACAATCCTCAGTAAATGTACAGTCCCCTGTTATCACCAGAAAACGACACTCTCAGAGGTTGTTAGAGAGGAAGAGCAAAGTCCCCATCAATGTGACTCACAACAGAGATCAACCACAATTTCAGCGAGTTCAGACAAGTTTGCAAAGACGGTCAACAAGAGGCTTTGTTACCAATAGAAATGCAAAAAACCCCAAAAGGAATTTGAGCATTATGGATTTCAGTAAATTGTCAATTGAAATTGCAAATGAAGGACTCGGCCATACAGGGGATAGCACTATATCCATTGATACTAAACCTGAGAATTCTGTTTCTACCTACTTTAAAAAAAGAAAGCCGAGATCAGAGCAGTTGATACATTGTAAGGCAAGTTCAGTCGAGAATAATTGTAACTCTTCTTTGAACGCCTCTGAGATATATTCTGAAACTGAAGAAGAATCAGAATTTTGTGTGTCTGAATGTGTAAATGACAGTTTAATATCAGAGGAGAAAATTAGCTTTAATTTTGAAAACCTTAAACAAGACCCAAATAAAGAATCCAACTGCAGTGTCGATGATTTCTCAGCTCAAGAGGATGAATGGAAAGACCTCAGTAGCCAAAGAAGCATACAAGAATCCCAAGGACTTCATTGGAAAACATCTCATAGATCTGAAATTGATCTAGAAGATGCTAATACCACTGACAATGTGTTGACAAAATCATTGAAACCAAATGATCCTCCAACACACTCTGGATCTTCTTATGACCTTGAAGATGAATGTGGATCCCTTCCTTCCCTCAATGTTATCTCTACCAAACCAGGAAAGGGATGGAGAAGATCCTTTACCAACTTGGCCACTGCACAAGTACCGGTAAGTCTTATATTAGTATGCACATATATAAAAAGAAAACAAAGAACACCTACAAAACACATGTTAAATATAAATGAATGTACAGTACTGTATGTGCAGGTACACAAACTACATTCATGTGCTCCTATCACATGTTGTTGCAGATAGCATGCACATGAACTTAGAGTATACAGTACACACACACACTACATCTGTCACTTACATGTAGGCTGTAAATACACATTACATGGACACAGTCACCATATGCTCATACACTATACAGAATCTCCTTAGAAATCATAACCAATCACAAATCTGATGATCCCTAAAATTAACCATTATCTAGGACTTTACAATGAAAACTAACTCCAATGCTTGTTCTATGTTTTGGGCTTTTAAGAGTGAAGTATACAGTAGTACAGTTTTGTGCATTTGGGTAATAAAACCCCCATAATTCAAAATCACTCATAATTTGCATCATTTTGTTATGAAATATATACATATTACAAAGTTTGTAATACAGGTATTTGGTAAAATTTTGAAATATGAGACATTTTGAAACATTAAGATATAATGTACTGTATACAGTATAGCCGATACGTATTAAAATTTTCCTAATATTTGGTAAAGTTTCGAATTGTGAGAGACATTTTCGAATACCTGTATATATGATGTATACATGTCACCATGGGATGTGACTACCCGGTACCCGTTTCAGTGTAGACAGATTACTGTAGTGTACAGGTACCATACACATCACACATGTCGGTCAGTTGTGGAGTGTACAGCCACGTTCTACTGTGCAAGTTTTTTCCAATTGTTTTTCCATCATTGTGCAGTGTTTGAGCCATTATATCTGATAACCCTGGACCAAGTACCTAAATCTGGTACAGAGGTATTGTTCTTTGAAACGTTTAAACTTTTATTGGGGCAGATAATGGAAAAGTACCGTATTTTAATTTTTTTTTTCCCCTTTGGGAGAAGGTGTCTCTCATATTTCGTAAAAATCTCATAATTCATAAGCACTAGAGCCCCTATTACTTCAAATTATGTTTTTTTTTTTTACTGTACAGTGTTGTTATAACCTTCATTAGACTTGTTGAAATTAAAACTTATAGAAAAATAAAAATATTTTGGTAATATGACCTACTGTGTGAATTTTTCATAATTCTATAAATTATACCTGTGCTGTACTGTACTTATTCTATACCTGAGTGTAAATATTTTTTTGTATTGATTTGGGTAAAGGTATACCGGTATATGAATGATGGATTTCTTTGACTGTTTTTCAGAACTCACTCAATGCAGCTGGGCAGGTGAACGATGGTGAGTGATTTCTTTTCTTTAGCGATTGGAATTACTGTACCTAAATAGCTTACATGGTATAAGCAGGTAGACCCCACTTAACACAAGAGATACAGCCCTAGAAATTCCCATCCATTGGAAATTTGTGTTAACCAAACCCCAAAAAGCCATTGAAAATCATGTAAAAGGTGAGAGATGCATAGTGGAGGGAGATATAGAGCGTGTGAAGCAAGGTGCAGACCACAGCCTCGGTATACAGTATAGTCTTCATTTACGCGGTCAATTGAACCCGTGGAGGTCAGTGTAAAACGAGGACGCATAAACGAAATAACAGAACATATGGGATTAATTGAAATGGAGACTGGGCCGACCCCCAAACTACACTTTTTCCGACACAATATGTACGTTGTAGTAAAAATAGCATCTTAATTTTATGATGGTATGGACACACACAATTAATATATAAGAGGATTATCAATAATATTAGGTTTTTTAACACTTACGTTAGTAGAAAAGATGGCTGGGCACACGGGGATGGGGGATTGGTTCCGAGGCAGAGGGCAGAATATTGGCCCTCACCTGTATCTCTTGTATCAATTGTATCACTATCCACCACAGAGGCTTGCAGGGCCTCTTTGTCAAACCCCTCAAAGTCCATATCCTCGCTATCACTGACTTGGGCCGGCTGTGATGGGTGGCGGGTGAAGAACTTGGTAATATTTTGTTGACTGGGCGACCTTGTGTGCAACCTGCCCGCGCCGCTTCCCGCATAAATGATGGAATGAACCGTGTAAATAAAAATTGTCGGTCTGGCAAAGTGCCGCGTAAATGACCAAACTCGTAAATCGAGACTATACTGTATACCCAAAAAACTCCTATAGATGCCAATTTTACTCTCATAAACACTACTGTAATTCTATGTTTCAAAACTCTTTAATGAATTATAATTCCTTGAGTCTGAAGAACTGCGTCCTGGACTGCAGTTGTTCATGCTCATGGTGATTTGTAGAACAATGAAACTCATGAGCAGGTATGTAGATGCTGCTGGCCAGGGTTAACAGACAGTGTGTGGCAGTGCTTGCCTGTGCTGCCATCTATTAAGGATTTGGGAAACTGCATTTTATCAACTGATATCCTTTTTGTTTCATATTTATTTATTATCCTCTTCACTCTGGGATGCCACTTCTAGTATTTCATTTGACTAACACTAGACAATTTGTTTGAGCACAAAGAGCCCTCATATCCAAGGGGTCAGACCTTTAAAACCATTTAATGAAACATATTAAAAGAATTTAAAGCTTCTCCAAGAAATGAAATATTAACGACATAAAATGATCTTACACTAGAGGTCACAGCCTCAAGCTAAAGAAGCCAAAAAATATCAGAGTTGTGAACTGTTGCACAGTAATAACTGCATTAGCTCAAATGGTACATTAGTTGCCCTGGACCTGTAATGGTTGTTATGTAGTCACACAGTACTAGTTGCTTTTGCATTTATATACATTGTATTATAAGAGTGTTCACTATATAGCAATTCAAGAGTTCTGTTAGCTACCTTGTTAGTTTTATGGCCAGCTCTTCCCTGCACTGAGTAAAGTAGTAATTCAGGTACATATATCAGCAATTATAAGATAATTATGTACCAGATAAGGGATGTGACCTCAGGGCTACTAGGAAGTGATGTGTTTGTTTTGTCATGGGACACCAGGAAAGATCTATTTCTTAGGTTTACACGGGGCATTCTGCCTTGAAAAATGAGAGAAATATATAACATTTATTCTTGTTAAACTTAATGAAGTGAATTTCTTTCCTTCAGATGTTCGACGACAAACAGTGCATCGCATATCAACTGGACTGAGGAAGACTTCGGGCCTGCGTATGTCAGCCATTCCACCAGAGATAAGTTAGTGCTGGACGTTTTTATTCTTGCTAGAAAAATTATACATAACTTTTAAATGTATGTTGAGTGATTGATTGTGGTAATTACATCCTTGGTGGCAATTTAGATATACTGTATTATAGTTTAAAATTACTGTAGTTGGAAAGGAAAGGAATATAATGGCCATAATTTTTAATGGATTGATAAAGGAGTTGCTAATACTTGACAGAGACAAGGTGAACTATACAAGCTCTCCTCCTGCCATTTTTTTGATAAGTTTTCATTTGTCATGGACAACCCATATACTGTGATCTTTATCTATTTGATCAGTTTTCCAACTTCTATTCTGGAATTTCAGCGGTGATTCCACCCACTCCTGGAGACATAAAATCTCAAAGCTTTATCTTTAGGGCCTGTTATGTTGCCTACTAGCCACAGCATAAACATGGTATGAAAAATATATTGAACTTTGACTTGAAATGAAACAATTGGCTAGATTTCTGACTGAGGAAGGAATCATCTGTAAATCCTAACTTGTATAAGATTCATTAAATGAATTTCATCATCACTAGGGAAGCAAAAGTAGTGAAATGCAGACCGTTGGGTTACCCTTTTTTCTTGTTTTCACATTGTTCTTAGAAATGATAACTAGCAGATTTTAGAAGCATAAAGACATGGCATTAGAGAAGGTGTAATATATTATTGGAGCAATTTTTGATACAGAAATAATATAAAAGTAAGTATGGTGGTTAGAGTAGTTGTAAGTTCTTGATACTTATTCTGTTCATTCTTCAGATCATAAAATTGAAATGTTGACGGGTGCTCCTTTGGAAGAAATGTGTAGACTGTCAGAGTCACACAGAAAAATAACTTCTTTCAATGAGACTTACAGAAACAAGGCTCCTCAAGTACCCTCTGATCCTCGAGAACATGTGTTGTTGTTGTGTAGTCAAGAGAAGCCTGTGCCACTGACTGATTGTTTCTCAGAGAGGTAAGTTTCTGAATGATCTATGTCTGACGGTAACTTTTCCAACTTAAAAAAATGGTAACCTTTGTGTAGAGAATAAGAAATTCTGTAGGGAATAAGGAAATGTAGAACTGAAAGAAATGTTAGCAAAGAGTAGGTCAGTGATCAAGGTCTTCTCAAGTGGTACATAATGAGAGAATAGGAAGTGAATGATTGATAAAAAGGTACTATATATAATTCAGAGGTAGATGATAGGAAGAAGAGGAATGACCAAGAATATGATAGAAGGATGGGGGTGAAGTTCGGTCATGCTGGCTTTTGTGAAATAACTGGTAAACCAAAATTGAGATCCTGTTGTGGAATGGAAGTACCATATCAGAACATATGTTTTACAATAATAAGATGACTGAAAGGAAAGTGTGTGTGTGTGCATATGTGGGTGTTACCTTATGTTTCCAGTCACCTTGTATTTTGCAAGAAAGGCTTAAAAAGAGTTGAAAAAAGTATATTGGCACTACAGCTTCTGTATTTAATGAGTGTCTATATTCCTTATCAGATGTTCCAGAGAACTGTACTGTACTGAATGTGATAATTGACTTTTAAAATTTTTATGTAGTCTTAAGATTTATGTTCCATTAAGCTGTAAGTTAATTTGGTCAGTAACAAATTTCCAGTGTAATTTGTTCCTATTCATATAATATTTAAATTTGCTTCCACAGCCGTCTAGCTTGCTGCAAGAAGATTGGTGAGGGTGTGTATGGTGAAGTGTTTATGACTCGACCCAATCCCAACAACTTAGAAGGAGCCACAGTTCTTAAGATCATGCCCATTGAAGGAAGATTTGAAGTCAATGGAGAACCACAAAAGATGTTTGAGGAAATTTTGTCTGAGATAGTTATTTCACTGTAAGTAGAATAATGATGGTGAATTAATTCAAGCTTCTGTGTTTATCAAAATTCCTTTTGTTGTACTATTGATTGACATTTTCTTTCTCTACCTGTCTTTGAAGTGAATTTTGTTTCAACCAAAGAAAATGGAACAAATGTGCCATTATTTAAAGGAAAACTAAGCTCTACGGGAAACACCTCACCAGCTCGGATAATTTTTTTTTTTTTTTTGACAGGGATTAGCTACCCGGGCACAAGTCAGTTTCATTTTCTTGTGGTCTTTGTCCTATTATCAGTTTTATCTGAAATTATAGGTATTCCTCACACAACATGGTTTAGTTTTCACACTTCACCAATTAGGGAACACTTCACAAAACATCAATTTCTGTTTTTTATGATCAGTAGATTAACATGTTTTGGATGTGTTACTGAACTAAGTTTCTTCCCATGTAGTCGTGAGTGTAAAGTGAGCATTATGTGAGAAAGAATGCTTCTTATGACTATAAAAAGAGGTGAAAATGGAAGAAGTTGAACTGGATGAACTATGGGAGTATTATGAGATGACAGCTGTTTGCATGCTCACTACCAAAGATTGTCAAAAGTATGCAACCACACTGAAACACAGAACAAGTATCCAACTAGTTTCTACACATTTGCAACAGAAAAAACTTTGCCCCCAAATAGTTTTGATAAATAGAATACTGTATATAAAAATAAACACCACCATACTTCATACACAGCCATGCATGGGTGTCAGCAGTGCACAGAACAGCCAAACTTGCAAATTTCTTCTCTAGTCTTGGCCAACACTTTGAATATGAAAATGAGAAGTTTTTTGAGTGATATGGACCTTGGAATTTTTTAAATTTGTATCTGCTTTAATAGATTTTTTTATTTACATTTTGCATACATACAATATTGTACTAAGTATAAATACATTAATATTTGTTACACATTGTTGTTGCTTCTATCTCTTTCTCAAACATGCAATCCTGACCTTTTACATGTTTTTCAATGGGAATATTAATTTCACTGTACAATTCAGTACAGTTCATGTTTTTGCTGTAGACTGTCCAATGACTTTTATGTCACTTGTCTCATGGTTGCAGCCTTTGGTTCTTTTTAGCTATGGTTTTTATTTGTTGCATTTAAGTTCATTGTTGTTTTAAGACTTGTTGACCTTTCTATCACTTACACTGTAAATGTAATGAAGTCTTTAAATTCCTCAGAGAATTGAGCAACCTTCAGAGACCAGACAGAAAAAAGAATTGGACTGAAAACTTTGTCCATATGTTGAATAGCTGGTGTATTGAGGGAAGGTATCACCATGACCTTCTTCATCTGTGGGATGTGTTCCATGAAGAAAAAGGTAATTAAATGGTTTAATGTGCTATGTTTACCATAAAGTTTTGGTAATTTGGGATGCATTTGATTAACTCACTTATCAAAAGCTTTATTTTATGATAGTGTATACTGTATTGAAAAATGAAAGTGGGTCCCATAGGCATGACTGACCATTAGGGACAGTGTGGATGCAACACACTGTATACTAAGCCTTCGGTACACAAGGAGGCTGCGTGACCAGAACTGCACTCGACCACTTTCACTTTCCCAAGTTGTAAGCTTGGGTACCCATTTACAGCCAGGTGAGCTGGGAGTGTCTGGGAATTGAACCACTGACCCCTGGAACTGGAGGTATGAGCTATATCTATTTGACTGCTGTGTTTCTAGTGTATATTATATTACAGCACAGTACTAAGTAATTTAAACATGTGCCCACAAGTAATAAAAAACTGTCTTACTGGCCTATTCCCTCTCCCAGGCAGCTTTTCATGGTTCAAGCTGCCAGTTGAGGGTGTTTATTGTCATTCAGCATGGGTTGAGAATTTGGCCCAAATGGATAAACCAATCAGCTATCCCTCCCTGTCACTCCTATTGGTGCCAGAGGGGATAACAGGTATAGCACCTGCTCTCTTCAGAAATAAAAATCCTTCGGTAACTATGTCTGATCACTCAGTACAGATAGTGCCAAAACTATGGCTCCACCATTTTATTGAAACCAGTCTGTCTGTCATTGATGCAGCTTCTTCCTTAATTTCATTGAGAATGAACAGACCAGATTAGCTCAACTCCTCTTCCTCTAAATATTTACAAAAAGTCAAGTTTCCAGTCCCTTTATGATCCATCTGAAATTACGAGTATTAGCACTCGGTCCGGATTACTGAAAGTTAACATTGCGGAATACATAATAAAAATATAGGAAAATAACCTAATAAAAACAAACACTAATTGTACTGAATGAAATTTGGTTCACTTCCAAAAATATGTTTTGCTCTGAATATGTAATCATTCTCCTACAATCACCATACAGTATAACTCCTCAAACTCAGTGGGGACAAGTAGACTCATCTCTACCAGAGAGTCACTCAGCCAGTTGCGTGATTGTCCAATTTCTCTTCATTTACTCATGTAATATATGGAAAATTAAATAGAAAATTCTTCTTCGGTTACATTTACAGTACAGTATAGGCATTGAGTTGTAAGAGAAAGTGTGGAATTGGGAAGTGAATAAAAGTTAGAGGTGTGGGTATTGGCCTGTATAACTAAACTGCTTTATGTATCATATTAAGACATTTTACATCACTTTAAGAGTTAAGTGCAGTACTGTATTTACCTGATTTATTTTTCCGCAGGGTCTGAAAACGACCGTCCAGATATATTTCCTGACACTCAGTTATACATAGTGTTGGAATTTGGTCATGGAGGAAGTGACTTGGAAAGTTATATTTTCAACAATGCCAGCAATGCACTGGCAGTCTTTTTTCAGGCAAGTTGTTTTTTTATAATTAGTTTAATTCATCTTAACTTTTTGTTTGTGTGGGATAGAAAATCACATAATAGAAATAACAGGGCTTATGGAGAAAATAGGGTTAGGTGCAGATTACTACATTACTCGAAATCGAAAAAAAATTAGTAGTTAGCCTAACACAAATGATAGCACAGTCTAAATAAATGTTACATTCATATCTAATAATGAAATCATACAGTAAATGTAACACTTTACCTTGAAAAAATATGAATAAAACTTGATGGGGGAGAAGGTTGATGTTGAGGTTGATAACATCGAGCTTCTCTTCAAGTGTTATATCCTTTCTTTTACGATCATCACCGGGAATGCGATCTCCAGAACGCTTCTTGGAGATATTCTTCTTTACCATATTCACAGTTAATACCACAAAATTGGAGAAATAGTAAGCAAAAATCGCGTTACAGCAAACAAGCGTTCGCATTATACAAATATCGTTCCTCTATTCATAAATCGCGTTACAGCCAATTCGCATTATCAAAGCACGCGTTATAGCAGAACTCACTGTATTGGGTAATCCAAGGTGAACTTAGATTCAAAATTGCTACCATCTCTGATTTGATCAATTTGGCAGATATGGATATTGGAGAAATGTTTATATCAAAATGGGTGGATCACTGTAACCTGATTTCTAGTATGTGATATGGAGTATTATCTGCTCCACATCCACCACACCAGAGCACCACATTCACACTATGTTCTTGTGTCTTTTATTCTATTATGGATACTGCAGATGGGATAAGTTTGTGCACCAGCATACTACTGTTTACATGATTTCTTTTACTGCACAACTGGATATCTATTCTAGCTATATCCATCAAGACTATCTTGGTTATTAGCACTCTCTTGCCCTGTTGCTGCAGTTGAGGTGGCAGCAGCAAAAAAATATCAAACTCTTTCCTTTGACTTGATGAAGAAAATTGATTCATTCACACAGGAAAATTTGCCAGTACTGTATGGCAGCACTTGAGGGACTGTCATTTAGGCTTATTATAACTGATATTTGTCCACCAAAGTGTTTAGCACATAATTTGAATACAGAAATCCTGTATGTACAAGCGAAAGTGAACCCCCAAAATGCGGAGAATCCATGCACCAGCTGCAGAGAAAGGGTTAATAAAACTGCAGGGTCAAGAGCAGTGAGTTCTTTTTTAACATTGTTGGCTGTGTATGATTAAAGGGTTTGTGGCTGTACTCAATATGAGGGGGTCTAGAACTGTCAGGCTTTAGCAACACAACCTCCATCTTAGGCCAATAAGTGGCCTGAGTTGCAAGTTACTTTGAATGCCCCTGATAATCTTAAGTGACCAGTTCAATCTGATCTGTGCTTAAAGAGCTTGTTGTGAATTGTAAGAACTTTTTATGTGATTTCAAGCCATCTGTGCCTGTCTGACTTTTTGGAAGAGAAGGACTTCCCTAAGGAGTCTATTTGGTTATAGGAAATGACTCATATCAATAGTAGGCTGGAACAAAGAGTCTGTAAAGGATAAAGATCTTCTGGCTGCATCTTAACTCCCTCTTCTTCCCATGGGAGCTTGGCTGGAGACACTCAATCTGTGTTCACTTATAAACTGGGATTTCAGGATCAATACTGTACTTTGATAATAATAGCTAATAAATACTTAGAATGACACACCAATTTGCTTGAAGGGAACAATGCAAAACAAATTTTAGGTATATTTCATAAAAGCTCACTCACCACTGTAGCTAAATTCTCTGCAGATTAATATCACAAATGATTATGTGTTATTGTGCTGTTAAGATTTTTTATTTTACAGAAATCCATTGATGCTAACACTTACTACATGTAGAGGCGAACAGAATGTTTTTTGGAGTTGGGTGGGTAATTATCTAGTGCACACTCTTATTTAATTGTGACTAGATTGCTTACTCATTCAATTCTGATAAGCCAATTCACCTGTGTTTAACTGAATATCCTAGTGGTAATTTATCACTAAATGATTTGTACTTGAAAAGAATTGTTTATACAAAATTGTTCATTGCTGTACCTCCCCCTACCCCCTTTTTAACAATATTTGCAGTGTATTTTCGAGTGGCTTATACAGTACAGTAAAGTATCTGTCAAGTGAAAAGTTGGGGACCAAAACAATTCCATAAATGGATTATTATGTAAAGTGGATACTGTCATTAACATGTGTCTGAGGAAAGTTTGTAATAAACCAAAGTACTTATGTCAGTTTGGTTACAGTATTAGTTTCTGCAAATACCTGTACACTAACTTATTTCATTATTCTTTAACAATCGGTGTTATTAAGTGTACAAGTATGCTTTAAGCATGTCATCATTCTTCTACATGTTACTCCCCACCACACACGCACATGTATGCACACACACACACACACACACACAGATAGACAGACAGAGTCAGTCCGATCAGTCGCTGGCAACATCATTGACATATGTGAAGCTTGGCAAACTGTTCCTGAAATGTGCCACATTGAGGGATATCAACTCTTTCATCACCTTCATTCACATGGATGCGGGGAGGACGTTGCCCTCTTCTGTCAAGATGAACTATGTCCGTCATGCCTGGATGTTCAAGTCCCAGCTGATGTGGAGGATTATGGGTATGTGTTGTGCCATGGGCCATTGGGCCCATCCACGCCACACTGCTTCTATCTTATACTGTGTGGCATACCATCCATCTCGCTCACCCACCAGAGACACTCTTATCAATCACCTCAGACCACCTCAGAGTTAGGTACCCATGTGGCAAGCTAGTACTATGCGGGGATTATAACAAAATTGACACCACTGATATCCAGGACCAGCTGCTACTATCACAAGCGGTGAACTTCACTACACACGGTCAAAATACCCTTGACCTTATCTTAATTGACTTAGCGGACCAGTACCACCTCTTTCAATGTCTCCTATCGGGTGTAGCACACACCTATCAGTGCTCAGGTCTCCAGCTGCCTTTACTAGCCAAGTGCAGAGACCTTACATCAAGACCCACAGGCCAATTACTGACTCTGCAGTGTGTCTCTTGGGGCAGTGGATAGTTCACCATCCCTGGACTGAAGTACTTAGTGTGGATGACTTGGATACCAAATGGATAAATTATACCAACACCACCACGGAAGCTCACCACCACTTCTTCCCCGAGAAGTTCGTCAGATCACACCCAGCTGACTTGCCCTGGATCACACCTCGGATCAAAAGACTTATACAACAGAGAGACAGCGCCTTTTATTTCAATGACCACAACCACTACAGGTCCCTTCACAACCGAGTCATCCGCAAAATACGCACCGCCAAGAAGTCCCACTACCCAACCAAGTTGCAACACCTGAAGCAGACCAACAACAGTCAGTGGTATGGTAAGCTTAAAGAACTCTGTGGACTAAACAATAAGACACACCCCCTCCCCTTCCTTAGCCATCTCACTAATGGTGACGCAGCTGTGCAATCAAACAACCATTTTGCAACTATATGCCAGACACTCCCTCGGCTTGACACAACCAGTCTCCCTGCTTACGTACCAGCCCCCTTTCCCACTCATTTAATAGAAGAATTTGAAGTAGCAAAACGTCTGGACAAACTGAAGTTAAAGCACTCTACCACCCCCATTGACTTACCAATGAAACTCTACTAGTTGTTCTCCAGAACTGGCTAAACCTCTCTGCTCCATCATCAATACTTCTCTCAGCCAAGCAAGATGCCCAGCTGACTGGAAGACTTCATATGTGTCACCAGTGCCCAAGTCAACCAGCCCACAATCCTTAAATGAGCTACGACCCATCGCAATCACCCCAATACCCAGCTTAATCTGTGAAAGTTTCGTGTTTGACGGCTTATGCTGATATTGCAGGTGCCATAGATCCTCAGCAATTTGGTAATATGAAAACTTCCTCCACCACTCACTGTCTTGTCAGCTTTCTCGACTGCATATACAGCCATCTGGAAAAATGAAAAACGGTTGTCGCCTTCATTGACTTCACCAAGGAATTTGACCTAGTCGATCACAATTTAATCATCAACAAAACTATTGACCTTTTTGAAGAAGTCTTATACCATGGCTTACAGACTTCCTTAGTGACCGACTCCAAGCCGTACGCTTCCGAGGGGCTGTCTCCACTCGTGGTGTCCCCCAAGGCACCAAGATGGGACTGCTCTTTTTCCTTATGTTTATCAATGTTGCCCTAAGAGAAACCCCTGCTCGCTGGAAATATGGCGACGACTCCACCATTGGGATCAGTGTCAACAACTCGGCTCCCAACCACACCGCCCTCCAGGATTTATTGAACAGTCTCCAAAACTGGTCCACCAACAACAACCACGTCACCATCAACCATACCAAGACCTTGGTTATGCACATCAACCTCTCCTCCGACATTGTTCCACCCCCTTCCATTACTTTAGGTCCCAACACACTCCAGGTTGTAGACTCCACTAAGCTCCTCGGCGTCACTATAGATAAAAAACTGAATTGGAAAACACGCGTCAGTGAAGTTATCATATCCTCCAGTTTCCGTCTCCACCTCCTCCGCCGACTCAAGTCCCTTGGAGTTCCTCCCCCCGAGCTCCTCAGTGTTTACTCAACATTCATACTTCCCAGGCTTACCTATGCCTCCCCTACCTGGTCTTTCTCCTTTAATGCCGCACAACAATTATTCTCTCCCCTTTCTACTCCACATATCAAGAAGCACTCAACACACTAACCCTCTCTGCTCTCTCTGACCATCACCACGACCTCATCTGCAAATTTGGTGAGAAGCTTCCGCACCATCCTTGACACCGGCTCCTACTACCACCCGAGATCCCTCGTCCGCGAATTGCTGTTCGACACCACAACTGCATCCGAGTCAATCTTACCTTTGCAATGTCACTATGTTGAAATGCCCTGTAATATGACCTTCTCCCCACATATTTATTATTTATCATATTTGTATCACATGCCATGCTCTTTCAATAAACTGTTAATTATTATTATTTTTATTATTATTATTGTAATTATTATTATTATTATTACACACACACACACACACACAGCCATACAGCCATTTGCCTGACTGTTCAAGTTCTCATGTAATATGTAGAAAATTGAATTCAAGAAAATTATTCTGTATTCTTCTGTTTCACATTATGATAATCAAATCTTCCATAAAACAGATTATTTGTTAAGTAGAATTTCGGTTGATAGATAATTTACAGTTTCAGACAGTTGGTTTAATTATTTGATTTCTTATTTAATCTCTAAATGTAAAATTATTACTTCTCTTCTGTACTGTAATTGTTGTTTAATTTGTTTAATGCTTTTAGTTCTTCAGTGTTTAATCTAGTCTCTTAAATAGTACCTATTAGTGCACTGAAAATTAAACATATTGCCAGTTTAAAAAAAAAAGAAAAAAGTATGTGTGAGTAATGTTACTTTAGGTGTAAAATAATTGTTCCCCTTCATGTTTGATGGTTGTTATCTGTGATGGACCTAGAGAATGTATGATGCGAGAGACCGCAAGAGGCTAAGGAATGTTATATATTGATTTGTTATTACAGTATTTATCTCTAACCAAAAATATTTCCAGTGATACAATGCATGTTATTACAACCTCTGAGTACAGTATCTACCTCTCATGAATTTACTTGAGATTGTATTAAGATTCTAATTAAAAAAACATTGGGATTAATGAAATGGTGGTCTTTTACCAAGTGGTTACTTGTAGCAATACTGTCCTCAGTGGGAGAAATAACAGGGCTAATATTTAGTGGATCTGAAGCCATCTGATAAAACATGAAATCTGCTCATATTTGAGGAAAGTGGGTTTGAATAATACAAAAACCTTTTTTGTATTCTATAGATTGCCTACAGTTTAGCAGTTGCAGAAGAAGAATTGGAATTCGAGCATCGAGATCTTCATTGGGGCAATGTTTTAGTATCACAAACTCGGGAAGCTGTACTTGATTTTAAGCTGAAAGAAGAAAGTTTCACCCTTCGGACTCATGTAAGTTTAGATGATAAGATTTATACACTCCACTATCTTCCTTGGTTGGGACAAGGGATTTGGCAGATACGGATTAATTTTGAGATACTTTTACCTGCATTAAAATGTAATAGAAGTAAGCTGTAGCAGATGTAAATTACAGTTACATTTTTATCTGTGTAATGCTGGATGATGAGTGAGATGTTACAAGAGTACACCACATTTGGAGTCTTGATATAGATGGACACTTGGATTTTATTTGTTTATTTATGTTATTATTATTTGTGTTGGGGGGGGGGGTGTTCCTGGATCACTAGGCTAATGTTTCCTTGCATCCCCCTCAACTGACAAGCATCCTAGGTTTAAAGGGTAGGCAGTCCATGAATATACATGAGAGGCATTACAGTGGATAAGTTTAGAGTTGTTAGATTATGTACGGTACTAGTGGATAAAAGACTGAAGAAATATAAGGTGTCAGACCATATTTTGGTAGAAGTAAGAATAAAACCAAGGAGGTGAGATAAAGGGTAGTGAAAACTAAGAAATTGAGGAGAATGTGTAAAGTAGGAAGAGCAGGTATAGTATTTGAGAACTTTATCTTAGAGGGTCCATCTGAATTACAGTACAGGGTACGTGGGTACAAGAAAATAAGAATGAAAAACAAAATGGAGGGAATGATGGGATGAGAGGCTGGGAGTACTAATTACAAAGAAGAGAAGGGCATCAGCTGAAAGAAGAGAGACTTATAAAGGAGTTGGAGGGGAGTGTAAAATCATGAGAAGATATTAGATGGTGAGAAAAGTTATGAGAGAACAAGCAGCTGTTGTAGATAGAGGGAACTTAATAGAGTGAGAATGCTTAGATAATACCTATTGTTTTAGTAGTGTGGAAGTGAAGGAAACACGACTAAGAGATGGAGCTTTATTCCTGACGTTTCATCACGAGATGTCAGGAATAAAGCTCCATCTCTTAGTCGTGTTTTCTTCACTACCACACTACCATCTGTCCACTATGAACAATGTTTGCCGAGTGTTTTATTTGTTGATGGTTTCTGGGTGAAAATTGGAGGTGATGGTTATGACATGTAATTTTTCACAGGGATTGAAAGCCACTGTAATTGATTTTACATTGTCAAGAATGAAACTACCACATTGTGTCGTTTACAACAACTTGGCAGAGGATCCTTCTCTGTTCACTGCTCAAGGTGATTATCAGTTTGAGATCTACAGGCAAATGAAGAAGTCTAACATGTAAGTATTGTTTTTAGTTGTTAAATACCATAAGCTAAATTGAAACTATAGATACAGTAGATGTAAGTGAAAATTTAGGATATTGCTTACATTATGCAGTTCAGGGAATGAGAAAAATATGGCTATGAGATTCTGATTAGAAACTTCAGTAATAGAGCCTCTAATTCAAAGAACTTTAGTTATGGAGACAAGCCCACAAATATTTTCTTGCCTCTTATACAGTGCCTGATGAAAATAATTTAAGACCTTAAGTCAGGATTGAGCAACTCCGTATAGCCAGCTGGTGTAGATAGTTAAAACCTCATGTAAGTGGGATCTAAAATTCAAATTAATTGAAAAGGTAAGAGAAATTGTAAGAAATTTCGAAGGGCTAGCAGTCCATACTTTGAGGGCATCCATGATATCCTATGTACCTGTACGGTAGATGAAAGCAGAATTAAGGCAATAGGTTTATATAGGTCAGGTGTCATTAGGATATAGTGGGTCCCCAGATTACGAATGGGTTCTGTTCCTGAGGCCGCTCGTAAGTCGGATTTGTATGTAAGTCAGAACACATGCTATGTGCATACCATATTTACAGAACGATTTTTAAAATCCCACTATATCATAGCCTAAGTCTTTATATACATCTAAAATCACTTAATTTAAGACAAAAGAAGAAATAGAATGACAAAATACAGTAAATGAAAGTAAAGAATAAATTATGAGGTAAATAAAATACTGTAAAATTCAAGTTTATCCCTGATCATATTGGTGAATGTTTGTAAGTTGGGGACCCCCTGTATAGATGTAAGTGACTCATATATACTATTTTGTACTTAACAGGAATGATTGGGAGAAGTTCACGCCATACACAAATGTGTTGTGGCTTCACTACATTCTGGATAAGATGACTTCTGACTGTTACTATAAGAATGTGAAGAGCAAGGTACACAAAACCCACATGTCGCAGCTTAATAAGTTGAAGCAGCAGATGTTAGACTATGAGAGTGCTTCAGACTTTGTATTAAAGAGAGAGCATTAAGTTGTAGGTGGATAAAAAACAAATATTTTTTCCCATTAGTGGTAGTTACTTCACTTGATTAAAAAAAAATATATATTATCTTAGTATCTGTACAAGTAGTCTGCAATTTACAAGCTTAATGTGTTCCTTCAAATGTGTTTGTAAACCAGATCAATAAATCCCATTGAAACAATGATATAAATAATTAATTGGTCCACAGATGCAAGTACAAATCAATTTTTTTTAAAATCATATCATTCATAAATAATGTTATCAAAGCATAAAGGAATAAATTGTTATTAGAAATAATATTAATAACACAACACTGCACAAAATATGTATGGCATCACTCAGAGCAGATTAATTATGGGAAGTAGCTAGTAAGCAGTTTTGCCAATTGGTGATGATATGTTCCAAAAAGGCTGTTTTGTGTGTAAAACAAACATTGAAAAACCAAAATGTGGTCATAAAATTAATTAATTTTTTTGCTGGGTGTTTGGAAATTGAGGATTATCTTTACAGTATTGAGTAATGTTCTTTAGGTTATGTAAAACAATAGATTTTAATTATTGTGTACAGTATATATGAATGTATTGTAAAAGAGGATGAGATTATATTTTATTTTTACATTTTAAATTCTTTGATTTCCTTTTTCTAGTAGGATGCTAATTTGTACCAGCTTTTGTAAGCAAATTGAGTTTTTAACAAATAAATAAAAGGTTCTTGAAGTAACATGTTTTGATCCTATTGAGGTTATATAATAGGAAAAACACTGATTTGGAGCTCCATAGAGTGCTGGTTTGGTGTATAAATGAAATTGATGGACAAGGATCTGGAAGGTGGAACTTCAAATGCAAAAGCTAGGGCCTTCACAAATGCTATTGTAGGCCAGTGGAAGTTGCATTGTGATGGCACTATTGAATGCAACTTGTCAGAACTATGATTATTTAAGTATTTAAAGAATAAAAAGAGCAATGAGGTACTTTCAGAATAACACACCAACCCTAAATCACACCTTGGAAACCCATAGTTGATGAGAAATTAGCATTGAAAAATGTGAGTAAAATGTTTCAAGGGTCATTTTGGCCACTAATTACCCTGCAATAGAATCGTGGACCACATATTCATAAACAGCAAGCCCAGGAGTACTCATACAGTGATTTTCAGCAAAATCAAATTTTTGGCCCAAAACCACCAAAAATGTAAGTCTTTCACCTTACAAAATTTTTGACCAAAATATACTTTTTTCTCAGAACTGAAATTTAAGGGGTTTAACTAATTAAGTACTTTCAGAATAACACACAAACCCTAAATCACACCTTGGAAACCCATAGTTAATGAGTAATTAGCATTGAAAAATGTCAGTAAAATATTTCAAGGGTCATTTTGGCCACTAAATACTATGCAATAGAATCGTGGACCACAAATTCATAAACAGCAAGCACAGGAGTACTCATATAGTGATCTTCAGCAAAATCTAATTTTTGGCCCAAAACCACCAAAAATGTAAGTCTTACACCTCAAAATGTTTTTGACCAAAATATACTTCTTTCTCAGAATTAAAATTTAAGGGGTTTAACTAATTAAGTACTTTCAGAATAACACCCGAAACCTAAATCACACCTTGGAAACCCATAGTTGATGAGTAATTAGCATTGAAAAATGTCAGTAAAATGTTTCAAGGATCATTTTGCCCACTTATTATTCTGCAATAGAATCGTGGACCACATATTCATAACCAAGCTCAGGAGTACCCATACAGTGGTCCCTCGGTTAACGAACGGTTCGATTAACGAAATTTCGGTTAACGAATTACCTCCCATAAGGATCTTCAATTCGGTTAACGAACAAAATTTTGACTAACGAAATCCTTACGACAAACAAGTTTTATTGTGAGCATCAGCTGATGGGTTAGTCTGCCAATTGAGTAATCTGTTCGGTTTACATTCGTTTCCAGGGGAGTAAATATCAAGACAGTTGTGCTCTTTAATATTTTTGCATTTTTATACAGTTGGGTCTCACATTACGCGGTTAATGTAACCCGGAGGGTCCCGCGGAAAGTGAGGAACGCGTAAAGTGAACAACATAACATATGGGATTAATTGAAATGGAGTCCAGGCCGATCCCCAAACTCCACTTTTTGACGACACAACTATGTTGCAGTAAAAATTTTATCTTAACTTTATGATGGTATGAAAAAACAAGTAATATAGAAGAGGTTAGGTTAGGAAAGATAAAGGTTAACATAGGAAAAATGAAGGTTACCTTAGAGAAACTAAAAGTTAGGTGGAACACTTACGGTAGTAGAAGAGATGGGTCGGCATACGGGGATGGAGGCTGGTTCCGAGGCAGAGGGCAGATTACTGGCCCTCAGGTGAATCACCATTACTAGGTGAATCATCATCACTGTCACTTACAGTTGTCAGGGCTTCCCTGACAAATCCCTCAAAGTCAACTTCACTGTCACTATCACTGGCTTGGGCTGGCTGTGGTGGGTTGCGGGTGAAGAAATCTGTTATGCTTTGCTGACGGCTGGCGTTGATGTTGTCGTGATACACCTTGATGTACGGCTCCATAGCCTGCACCAGCCGGTTATGGAAGACTTCATAGCGGTCATCGTCATTGTCGCGGGAAAGGAAGGACTTCATCTTCTCTGCACACTCCATGGCACCCTTAATATCACTATGACTTAAATTGTGTTCTTCGGAGACTGCCGCACCTTCTTCCTCCTCTTCACTGACGTGTTCTTCTTCCAACATCTCGTCGGCAGTCACTTCAGGATTTCTGATCACCTCCAGGATGTCGTCGTTGGTGGTCTCGGAGAAGCCTGGAACTGTAACAGTCTGCGCAGCTTCTCTGGCAAGGTCCACTGCTACTGCAACATTCTGAACCTCACCAGTCACAGATTGACTCCTCCTCTCACCTGGTATTCCATGCAACACATGTCTCCATGCGTGACGAATTGTAGCAATAGACAGCTGATCCCATGACTCCACCAAGATGTCCACAGCTTTCTTGATGTTAAATACTCTCCAGAATTGTTTGAAGAGTATTTTTTGCTGTTCTAACCGTTGTTCCTCATCTTCGTCGCTCTTGCTATCGGTGGTGGTGTCACTCAGGTCACGCAACTCTTCCCTGGTGTTGGTGTAGTCGTTCAGGAGCTGGAATTTTTTTGTTGAGAATGCAGCTTTCACATTGCAAATCAACTCCTGGTCCATGGGCTGGATTAAAGACGTAGTGTTGGGAGGAAGGAAGACCACTTTTACGTTGGGGTGACGATCTAACAGTAGGGGCGAGTGTCCTGGTGCGTTGTCCAGCAGCAACAAAATATTAAATGGGACATTCTGTTGCTCACAGAATTTCTTTACATCGGGAACAAAACAGTCATCAAACCAGGAGAGGGACAGTGTAGAGAACATCCATGCCTTACGTGCTGTCAGCCAGTGGACATTTAGCTTGGTCATGTCCATGCTCTTGTAGGCGTGCGGCTTGCGGGCTGTGTGGATCACCGATAACTTGAGCTTACAGGTACCGGAGGCATTGGTGGTAAACAGGACGGTGATGCGTTCCTTCTGCATTTTCCGGCCCCGAATCCTGCTGGCATTCTTCACAACGTAGGACTTAGAAGGTAGTTTTTTCCAGAAAAGACCAGATTCGTCCATGTTAAACACCTGGTCGTCACTGTACTGTCCTTCCTCCATAATCTCACGTAAAAATGGAGGAAATTCCCGAGCCGCAGCACGATCAACACTCGCTTCTTCACCACCAATGTTTATATTGGTGATCTTGTTCCGGATCTTAAACCTCTGTAACCACCCAGAGGAAGCAGTAAAGGGTTTGGGCTCTGAAGTTCCCATCTTTCGTGCCACTGCAATGTACAGTTCACGTGAGTAGTCCTTCACAGAGCGCGTGTCGACCGCCATGTTCCGTCGCGCCTGACGCACCAAGTACCTCACAAGTAATTTTTCTGTCTTGAGAAGCACCTGGTTGTGAAAATACTTGATCATAGAAGCACCTGTAGACTTTGTGATCTTTATGTGCTCCTTTATCTTGGCTGAATCCTTCTTTATAGTCCGGATCGTAGATTCGTTCACGCCATGCTGGCGCGCCAAATCAACCTGCCTTGTTCCTTTCTCCAACTCTTGGATGATGGTATACTTCACCTCGTAGCTTAAGGAACGTCGTGTCTTCTTTGGTTTAGTGCCGCTGGGTCCAGGTAAGGAAAGGTTTTTCTCTAGGGGTGGTGGCCCGGCGGAAGCCATTTTACGGAACAATGGATGCGCGTTTACACGGAGTGGCCTGGAGGGATGAAACTGCCGCGGCTAGGTCAAGCGTCGTCTCTCCTCCCTCCCTCCCTCCCCCGGGTGGACACGTCATAATACTTTAAGCCAATTACAGCTAGCAGCAGAGGGGGGTAGGGATGCATGGCCAATCACAGTCCGATACGTCATATGACGTCACTGATAACGCAACAAAGACACACACTGCGCAACCTTACCGCGCCGCTTGCCCAAGCGGAGGGAGGAGGAGGGAGAGGCAGGCAGGCGGGTGGGTGGGTGGCGCGTGGGGCAAATCTAAAAATAGCGTCGCGCCGGACACTCTCCGCGTAATGGCGTTCACGACCGCGGAATGTGAGCATGTTAGGTTCTGGCAAGGCACCGCGGTAACGGTGAAACGCGGAATGCGGGACCGCGTAATGTGAGGATTAACTGTATTTAAATTAACAGTAATTTTAAAATTTATTTAACATGTTGATAGTATATGCACTACAGGGAACTAATTTTTTGTGCGCCTATCAACTGCTTGACTCACCCACCAGGCTTCAGTTTGGCTTTCTTTATAGTGGCGTGAACATCGGTTTTGTTGGTGTCTTGAATATTTTTGCATTTTTACATTAAAATTATTGGTCATTCTGAAATTTTGTTAACATATTGATAATATATAGTGCAGTGCAGTGTAGTGTTGATTTAAATAAAATAATCTTGAATTACACCTAGTAAACTTAAAATTTTATTGGTGAAATTACTGCATCAAGCATGGGCCCCTGAAAGGTGATTTCTCCTCCATCCCCACTTCCTTCTCTTCTCCTCCACCTTCACTTCTAATTCCCATCATCATCATCATCAACTAGGAACCTTCTACATACACACCTCAAAGTAAGTGTACTTTACTGCATTTTTTTTTTACTTTGTATGTACTGTACATTTCTGTGAGCTGGAGCTAATTCCCCAATATCCCATTGAAACAATGGATTCGGTTAACAAAATTTTCGGTTAACGAACGACTCTGTGGAATGAATTGTGTTCGTTAACTGAGGGACCACTGTATGTATGTATGTATTTATGTATGTATAAATATATATATATATATATATATATATATATATATATATATATATATATATATATATATATATATATATATATATATATATATATATATATATATATATATATATATATATATATATATAATGAGAGGCAAGGAAAAATCAATTGCATGGAATTCAGTATGAATGATAAGATGTGGGCTAATATAGACTTTTAATATATAAGTTATTTTACGTGGTCCAAAGCAATTTTCTGTGGTAATTATATGAAGATTACAGTTTACAACCCTTAATAAAAAATTCTGCCTCATTAATTACATGTCTCAATATACAATCATTACATCACCTGCATCTATGAGCCAAACCTCACTTTACAGTAGCAACATCTGATTTCATAGAGAATAAATGAAAATATGTACTAAGGAAATTTAATACCTAAACTACAATCAGTTAGAGCATTAAAATACTGTCACAAATAAACCTTCCAATGAAAGATTAGGAATTTAACACCATGCTATAAAAATTTGATATGTTTAATTGTAAGCCTTACAAAGTGTCAAGCACATGAGATGAAGCTGGTCTAGTCATAAGTAAATGGCTTTCACATTCATCCAACATCCTGATAATGGTAATACAGTACCTATCTATAACCACTACACCCTTCCCAGTATTTATCTACATATGATAAATGGAGGATTATTTCACATTAGATGAGGTTTTGATCTAACTAAATAGCTACAATTACTTCACACCATACTGTAATAATCTTCCTATACATTACATTCTGATATTTTCCCTATTACACTCCAGCTATCCATGCACAAATCTCATTCAAGGATTTCATTAAGACACAAGCATATCTTAACTTCACTAAATCTACCCACAATACTTCATCAACTTCCTGACCTTGGAACATGTGCCTACTATGTGATTTCATGAAGTGTATCGTGAAATTTCATAACATTTAATAATCTGAGCCATTAAAAAGTCTGTCAACAATGTGTCTACGTGTTACAAATTATACACATCTGTACACTGATTCCGTACACGGGTTCCTTTGGACAAGTTTTGATGAAAATGAAATTGCACATTCTACAGTATATGTAATCAGCTAATTTGCACACATTTATTTTGACAAATGTTGAATGGCTGAATTATCAATTATGCGAGTAAATCAAAAGGTATTTAATTCAATTTTTATAATGTGATATGAATAATTTTATTTTACTAGGGGTGAGTTTTATCTACTGTACATATTAAATCTAAAATTGTCAAAACCTTTAAGAATTTTTTTTCATATTTACTAAAATTCATTTGACTTCACTTAACATTTGTAACTCCCTTAATGAAACCCCTGCTTAATAATATATGTTTGTGATTCACTCATCCATTACACTATGCTATGTACTGTACAGAATAAGCAGTTTGTTGCATTTACAAAATATACAATAAAATGTCAATAATCCTTCAGACTGAAAGAAGTATCTTTACTGTGATCAATCCATGACGACAAGTGGATTTGATGGGCTGAAGGGAAACGCAGAATTAAGCTGACTTTCTTTATTTCTCTAACTTTTTGGGCTACACAGAACCCATCTTCGGAAAGAAGACAGCAAGTGGAAGAAGTCAGATACTTATGTAGCCAATAAGTCTCCTACATGAGGAGAGATGAGGTGCACCTGGGCTACATAAGTATCTGACTTCTTCCACTTGCTGTCTTCTTTCCGAAGATGGGTTCTGTGTAGCCCAAAACGTTAGAAAATAAAAAGTCAGCTTAATTCTGTGTTTCCCTTCAGCCCATCAAATCTTTATTGTGTTAACCAAAAATTTTGAATGTTGCAACTGTATGTTAATAAGACAGAAATATATGGTTAAACATTACACTGGTGATCTTATGACAGACACATCTGCTTTCTACCGCACGCAGCAGCACCACAACCTCTCCAGGCAAATCTCAAAGTACTGTACATAATATTTCTGAGAATATATCATGTGATTTTTTTAATGGTATTTCATACCCAAATTATCATAATGGCATTAGTTGTGTAATTGTAAATGCCATCTGAAACTTTAACTACTGCATTTTCACAATTTCAGTGTTTATGATATAATAACTGGTTAAATTCACTTGGTATTCATAATTATAAAGACTTGGACTTTATCTATTAATAATCATAATGTAAAAGAACAATGTCAATATCTTATGTAAAAAACTGCATTTAAAGACTGGTGAAGTTGCTCTTGTATAATCATACTTAAAAAAAAAAAACTCTTAAATTAGATAATAATGGTGTAAACAGAAAAGTGAAAGCATCTTCCAAAACACACTGCCACAATATATTCAGAATACAAATTGACAGACAAAATGACTATACAAGATGAGTCCAATAAATAGATGAGAAAAATGAATGGAAAGAAAAAGTCACCAGCATCCCTGTACACTGTAGAGATATGAGAAATTACTTAACATTACAAGAATAACAAAGTACAGGTATATATGTCAGTAAGGAAACTTGAGTACTGTACAGTACTGTATATCAAAGGCTCCAACAATGCTTCAATCAACTGTAATTATCTCAATTTCATTTACTGTAATCAACACCTACCGGGTATGATCTTACAATAAGTGGATCTTTATAATGTAAACTTTGCTGTACATTATTCTCTTTACTGCAATATGACTGACTCAACAAAAGTTGAGGATTATTGCCAAAAATCTGCAAATTACAAGGTTTCCTACAGAGATCTTACGGTGTGTTAATTCTTTAGTTTTATTACACAAGGGTTACCAGGATATACAGAATGGAGCAGCTCCTTGGTGGGGGTGTCAAACAAAATGGTTAACATTTCAGAAAAGGACAAGAATAAAAAAAAAATTTAGACAACCATATATTATCACTATCATGCTCCCCCAAAATAAAAAAAAGAATATATATATATATATATATATATATATATATATATATATATATATATATATATATATATATATATATATATATATATATATATATATATATATATATATATATATATATATATAAGTAAATCACTGTATATCTAGGTATAGATTGACAAAGTATTACACTGTTTTTAAAAAATAATTTTCTGTAAGTTAATCCTGGGTTAGCTCTAATACTACAAATGTTGAATAAATCTAAGTTTATTAAACACTAAAAAATAAAGAAAACTTCAGCACAGCATCATAATCATATCAACGTGACTCCCAAGATGTAACTCAGATTTAGGAGCCATCACTTCATACAGTACAACACATTGTCACACATCAACAAATAGTCCATCCTCAAAACCCGCCAAGGTTTCTACTCGAGGACACATAAAAACTGCTTCCTAGATACCCATCCCCTCTCAATCAGTACCATATCTCCCTCACATCATCCTTCCAACTCCTCCACTACCTCCCCTACTTTCTCATTCCATCCATATCTAAAGTACTAGTTTTTCACTTTCCACCCTCTCAATATGGGCATACCTTTCAAGCAAATTATGGTGAATGTTATCTCGCCTCCACTTGTTTTCCTGTACTGTAAATCCTCATTTTTGTTTCCATTGCTAAAGTTCTCTTTACTTAATGAATTGATTACATTTCTTTCCCTCAAGTACAGTACAGAACTCTGTGATTTAGTTCCCCACTCACTGATACTGCCAGATATATCTCTATGATAGGTATTGTACAGTAATCCACTTCTCCATTTTGTCTCCAGTAAAAAAAAACAAAAAAAAAAAACTGTCTCCCTTATCTGCTCATTATCGTCACTGTACTTTAGTTCACATCACTTAACCTTCTAAGCTCAAGTCCCTAACATTTGTAACTTTTCCTGTTTTATCTACCAGTGCAGTACAGTATTATCTACAAGCAACTGATTCACCTTCCAACTGCACCCATTATCACAATTAATGAAACTCAAACCCCTCTCTATCACTTTTACTTTCACCTTATTTACTACACCATCCATGAAAATACAACCACCTTAGTGACATGAACATCTTTCACCAGCATCTGTTCTTCTTTTTCCCAACTCACTCAAATGCACCCTTCTCTCTTTCTATGAAAAAAAAAAAAAACTCTTTAAACAGAATTCACTGTTTCCTGCTCATTCCATACATTTTTAATATTCTACTGACTATCATATGCTTCTTCAGATCAGCAAATGTCATAGTTTCTTTCCTCTTTTCCAAGTACTTTAAAATCTCTCTCTTTTAAGAAAACATTTGGACTACCTAAACGCTGTTACATATAAATATATAAATGTTGTAATAACTTTGTTCATTGCTAATTCATCCCTCTCGTGACATCCTTACTGGGAGAGGAGAAATACTAACTTAGAAGGAAATTTAATATACTGTACAGTACTTTGATTTTTTATATGAAGGAGAGAACTTGTACCTTCTTTTAATCTCAGGTAACAGGATCCTCTAATATCCCCCACCAAGGAAACTTTCCCATATGCTAAAATTTTTCTTTGAAAAATAATTGTCACCACTCAAGGAAACTTATTATATCCAGCAACTATTACAGCACCAGTAATGCTTCAGATCAAGACAATTTAGTGACTGGAACAATAGCCGAGTAGTAAATAAATCCATGATTACAGTATTAAGCTTATCAATATGTTTCACATGTGAGTAAACACACAACTTTTAACACTTAAATGATTATACCTCATTAAAAAGCATATAAAAAATTATTAAAATTACCATTTTCTGTAAATGTATTTCCACACCTGAAAATAGCATAGTCATTCTCCATGAGATCTCTTTCACTGTACTTAGTTTAACTAAGTGTATGCAGCCATGTTTAATGCTCTGAAATATACCACAAATTTTTAACACCAATTATATTTCACAGCGTCAGGCCTGGAAATACTGCAAATTACATGTTACTTACAGATAATCTGTTATAGCTGCATACTTACACAGTACTGTATACATATTATATAACATATAGTATGCATACATTACATACTGGTAGATGTATAACTAACAAATATAAATACTGAAATTCCCAGACAATCAAAATCCTCACTGTGTTCTGAATACCTGAGGTATTGGTGTATGTAGCAATTGCACCATACATCACAAGTATGTTACTGTGCCATACGTACTAGTATATTTATCGAGCGCATACTACTCTCAAATACCTGGATGAAAGGCGATATTATATTTCATAGTGTACAGGCTCCTAGTCAATAGAATATTCTTTTTACCTTTTACATATGTGTCACAATCAACATCATCTGTTATTTTGTTGCCGCACAACTCTTGTTCCACCGCCCAATATCACACATTCAGGACGTGCAACTCTTGCCTCTTGTACGGCACCATTTGTTACTTTGGTGTTGGTTACATCAAGAAGTCTCAAAGAAGGAACTAGTCGAATAATCTCTTGTAGGCCAACGTCAGTGATAGCACAGCCTGAGAGTATTAAAGTGTGGAGATGTTTAGTTGTTTGGCCGAATGCAAAGACTAATTTATCAGATAAGCATTCATCAGGGACTTGATAGGCCTCACATTGCAAATCATCATCAGGATCTCCTCTTAAATTGTCTGCATCTTCTTCCTTGTTCTGATTCTTCTTGAGGGAATTACCTTCCCTTTCTTCTTTTTCCTCAGCATAAGCTTGACTTAGCTTATCCTGCCCCTCTCCTTGCTGTTGTTCTGCTGCTTCCTCAGATCTGTAAGACGACTGTTGTTTCTTTTTGTCTTCTTCTTGCACAGCACCATTATCATCCTCAGAATCATCATCCCCATCCTCCTCATCCTCTTCCTCATCATTTTCTTCTGCTTCAACAGGTCTTCCATCTTTACCAATGAAGTAGTGCCTGTCTTCATCTTCTTCCTCTGCTCGTTGACGTTGGACAACCGGTGCATTCCTCACCCACTGAAGGCCCATTCCATCAAGTTCCTCATCATTTACCTGTCGCCACTGAGGTCCATTTGGTCCAACATTGATAACTACTACCTGCTGCCTTTCTTCTTGCCAACGAGGATCTGGCATAATGAGGTTATAGCCTCCAGGGGGTTCCTCTGGCAAACGTTTAACAGGACCCATTGGACCTAGATAAAGTGCCCTAAGTTTTCCATTCTTCACAATTGATATCACCTCATTGTCTTCTAAACTAGTACCTCTCACATCTAACTCTTCCAAATTTTGGAAACCAAATCGAAAACTAAGAGCAATATATGCCATAGCCCTTCCTACTTTGGGTAAATTTCTCAACACTAATTTCTTCAGAGAATCAACTTTACTAAGCACCATGACATCATAGTCATCTACCCATGCACACTTGATTATTTTCAAGCACTCTAATCTGGGAAGAATTTTGTGGGTTCTCCTGAAGTATGATCCATCTCGTGAGGGCGATGGCAAGTTCACAAACTCACAGTCAATAAGACAAAACTTAGTAAGAGATTGAACAGGTAAAAAATCTGTCACCTTGAGTTTGTTGGCATCAACATAAGCTTCACTTAGTGTTAACTCCTCAAGATTTGGGCATCTCTCACCAATTAATTTCAAAAGAGCAGCACTTATAAGAGGAGTCTTCCATTTGGGAGTGCCTGCATATTTTTTTTTGTGTCCTCGTAAAATTAGCTGACGAGTAGTAGAGCGTAGGAAGACGTGGCAACGCTTCAGCTGCTGCAGGGACAGACATCCTTCACTGAAGTCAACAGCTGTCCACAGTGACTTGTCACTAGCCACTTTATTGAAGCGTTCACATGTTCTGAAAATACACACACAAAATAAAACAGTGTGCTACTTACTCAGGTTAATAATACACAAATAAAACCTACATTTTCTTCACTCTTTTGTGCCTCATATGTCATTTTATATTCTCATAAATATATCTGTGTTTATGTGTCTTAATCTTAACTTGACACCTTAAAATAATTAAGAAACTAGTATGAGTAGATGTCATTACTTTCACTTCCATTAACACACGTGTTTTACAGTGTATTTTGCTGTAATTAGTGAAGTTAAGGATGGTATATGTAATTGTATTTTGCAGTCTTTTAACTTCAGCTACTACAGTATTTGTTTTTAATTTATCTCATATTGTCTCACTTCCACTTCTTAATTAAAAGGAAATAAATAAAAAAAAAAAGGTAGTGGAATTCTGAATTTGTGTATGCATTAAAGTATACTCGTCATCATCATACAGCCACTTTCCATGCTTGTGTGGGCTAGCTATGATCAACTACCTGATGGCAGCTGTTGGGTAAAACCAGAAAGGGATGCCCCCCCACCCCCATCCTGCTCACCACCCCAAATACAGAATGCCAGCCCAGAAAAAGCAGCACAGATCAGGGGATGGACACAGTTCTGGTGACCTGGTTATCATCAGGCATGTTGAAGCAAAGTTTTATGGCTGGATGCCCTTCCTAATGTCAACCCACAAGGTGGAACAGCTGGCAAGGCTGGATTAACACTCCACTCCCTGAGATAACAGGGTATCCACTGGCCAGACAAAACAAAATTCCCTAGCATTTTTAGGTGTAAATTTGAAAAATTCCAGGTACTGTACATTAATTTGGTATTTATTATGCCAGAATAATAAAAATAGAGGTTTTCAATAATATGTACAATATACACTAGTGGAAAATTTAAAGATAATATAAATGATATTAATCAAGAAACTTAAGGCCCTTTCGTGACCCACCCCAAGCCTAGTGATGAACATTGGCAAAGACCTTGACACCACCCCCTCCATAGCTTTCTCTTCAGATTTGAGCAATTCACATGGGTCAACTTGGACGTTCCCAAAAAGCCAAAAATTAGACAAAAACCGAAAAATTATACATCTGATCCTTCTATATGACTCATGATTAATACGTGAAATAATCCACTTAAATAGAGTCACTTTATTATAAGAACAATTAATCTCTAACAATACCCACTGCAGAATCAGTAGATATAACCTGAAATATTTGGTTATTTGATTGCTAAAATGAAATACACCTAGACCCCGACTTACGACTACGTGGACTTACGACCGTCGGGACTTACGACCGCCTCAGATATAGATAAAAAAAAAAAAAAAAAAAAAAATTTAAATGACACACGCATTTTCTATACCGAAACGTTTCCAGTTAATGTAGTCTCCATGTATAATTAGAAAATTATGGGGGCCCCATGTGCATTCAGCTGACTACATTAAAGGTTAAGTGCTCAGTCACACTGTATCCATTCCTTATTATTTATTACTTTCACTGTACTGTATCCATTCATCATTATTCATTACTTTTACTGTACTGTATTTCATTGTAGATTTTTTATCTATGTCGGACTTACGACCATGTCGGACTTAAGACCTGGATTTGGGTCCCTAACCCCGTCGTAAGTCGGGGTCTAGGTGTATTATACAAACAATTCAGTTATTGGAGTGGACTATTTACTGGAATTTGTTCCTAAAAGTTTAATTATTTACCTATTATATAGTACATTACAGTATTAATTTATGGTAAGATTACAGTGGTCCCTCGGTTAACGAGCGCCTCGGTTAATGAGCGCCTCGATTAACGAGATTTCGGTTAACGATTTACCTTCCATAAGATTCTTAACTTCGGTTAACGAGCAATCCCTCGATTAACGAGTTTTTTACGAGCCGACTTCAACATGTTTTCGCTTGCATTTGGCGGTCCACCAGCTGTAGTATTAGTCTGCCAATACAGTAATCGGTTTTAGGGCTTAAATTCCTTACTATTTTAGTAAATATCAAGAAGTTTATACTATTCAATAATTTTAAAAGTTTAATATTAACTTTTTTAGTCATTTTAACAATTATTGAACATAACTGAAGGTAAAGAAACTAGTTTCTGGCGTACCATCCAGCCTGTTAACACACCAGACATGCGTCAGGTTTATATGTAAAATACCCTGGCTTTTCCAGATCTTCCAGCCCCCAAATAAAAATCCCTGGCTTTTCCAGGTTTTCCAGACCCTGGATAATTAAAAACTACCCACACATAGAAAATTAAATATATCCTCTGTACATGATGAAAACAAAATACAGTACAGTACTGTAGAGTATCTCAAGTCTTCACATAATTATCTTGGAAAATTTCCCTAAAACTTGGGTACTGGGCATAATGTAATGTACTGGGTTGTTGCAATGTTGACTTGAAGCAACAAAACTCCCACATGCTTATGACTTTTTTTACTTTAATCGATATCAGAGTGTAGACCTCGCCCACTGGAGGGGCCACGTCGTAGATGGCACACTCACTGTCATTGGCCAAGATGGGGGAGGAGGCTGTAGGTTGGGCACTGTGATTGGCCGCCCGCTCTTCTCACTCACTCACTGACAGGATGAGAGCGCCTTACGACGCAAAAGCCAAGCCCATAATTTCTTGTCTGCCACAAAATGATGTTCTACCCTATTTTCAAAGGGCTTTCAACCTTATTTACAGTGTGGTAAGGCGATCTTATCAACTACCATCGGATAGAGCTAGGCCGAAACTAGTGCTCTCCAACAAAAAATGGGTTTTACCCGGATGGTTTGAATGCACCTTACGATGTGGGACGCCTCGTTTATAAAGTGAAAAAAAAAAAAAAAAAAACCTTACCCAAAATACTTTAGTTGTTTCCTCTATTTTATTCTTCTAAAATAGAATAGAATTTTTTTCTGTGAAAAGAACCATTCCTATTGTCTAAACATGCTGTTTGTGGTAAGTTCGTGTTTGACCGTCTTCCTCTGCCCATTTTTTATTTTTCTTTATTTTTCTTGAGGTAAGAAAGCTTTTATAATTGACAGAGAAATTTTGTCAAGTAGCTGCCAATCTCAGACCAATCTCATCAAGTATTAGCTGTATGGTAATTGTTACGACCCTAGGGTAGATCGTTACATAAACACAAATCACATAAGTCTTTCAAATATATCAGTACGGTATTTATTATTATATTCTTAATCCCAAGTTCTCTCAACAAAGGTCAAGTTAACAGGTCAAAACCTAAACAAGTCAATAAAAATATTAATATTTATTAACTTATTCCCACCACCACATATGTACATTTGGAGGAACTGAAACTTTCCTACTTTTGTTTTTCTGATTTTTTGATGAAGATAAGGCGGACCAGCCTCCTAAGTGGGCCACCATTACCGGTTGCTTACATGAGCACTAAGATAAACATCTCACAGTCATAAATGCTTCTGTTCTGTACACATGAAAAACCTACAGAAACTTCTGAGCATTTTTGCTACTTTTACTTTTATCCTCTTCACCACTGATCGGTTCGTTAATAGCTTGGGTGATCGGTCACGTCTCTGTTATACACTGTTGGCAAGTACTGGGCATGCACTGGCTCCTGAATGTACTTGAACCTGCTCCAGTGTTGGTCAAGTCTGGTCTTGAAACAGCTCACACTCACTCGGTGCCATCACAACACTTTCTGGCAGATTGCTCCAAGATTTTACAACTCTCACTCCAAAAAAGTTTGCCCTCACAATTTTATGGACAAGACTGTTAAATTGTTTCTTAAATTAATACACAATGGACAAACAAATAAATTAATCTTTATAGCAATCTTCGTATTATTCATTTGGCAATTTTGTCAGGGACTGCACTTTATATACACCTGAAGAGTGTCTCCTCATACCTGCACATGCTCACCAGTGACCACCTACCACTGTTGATTTATCATAAAAACAGCCATACGAACTAACCAAACCTGACCCAACCTAACATTGCTATCCTTTGATGAAAGAGCATTATTTCAGATTAGGTTAGGTGGGTTGGTGTGGGTGCTATCTTTTTACAGTATTAACAATTTATATGAAAAGTGTACTGGGAAGGTTGCTAAGCTATAGGATCGCTTCTTCACTGGTGAGCATCAATAATTTAACCCTAAGAATGTAGATAACGATATCTGCAACAAATTTGTTCATAAGAAATACCAATGAAAAGCAAAAGTTGGAAAGTTGCAATTCTCCAAACTGTTATTGATACTGATTATGAAAGGTAAGACAGTAATGGTGGAGATGGCCAACACCTGAAAGAACTTATAGTATGGTTGTATGGGTAACACCCTTCTCACTTATGTCCAGTGTAGCATTCCCAGAGGTCCCCCATACTCAGAGGACCCCTTGTATATAATGCACATGCGCAAAAGTTTACATTATTTTTTCAACACAGCACCATAAAAAATAATGGAATTGAACAAAAATTTGTGGAGAGACTAATATCATGATTCTGAACACGAAAATGGAAGCAAGAATGCACAGAACTGAACATACCACTACCCTAACTTCCACTTTCCTGTTCAGGATCAAGATATTAGTCTCTCCATAAATTTTGGTTCAATTCCCGGTTAATATTGACAAATGACCAGCATATGAGTTATTTGTTTTACTGTCTATTTTCTTACTATATTTTTATCATTGGGTTCTGATATGATAATCATTTCTTGTGCAAATGCTTTGTTTGGTAGATAATTAGGCACCTAAGTGCATACTACCTTGTCTTCTCGGTGGTAGTGTGGCGGTGAAGTCTCATCCCAAGATGTAAACAACAAATCATATTGACGTATTTCAAAACACTCCTCCGCCCGGGCTTGATCAACGGCGATGCTCAGTGCATGCTTAAGAACCGTTCAGTATGGACGGCTGCTCTCACGTCCACAAAAACAAAGTTAATACAGCTCCTCCCCGACTTACGACCTACTCGACTTACGTCCACCCGCACTTACAACCTGCCTCAGCCCTCAGTCGTACCAAAATTTGGTCAAATTACGTATTTTCGAGTCCCAAAGTTAATATACAGACAAAATTTTCATTTGTAAATCACTTTAAAATGGCTGGCAAGCTTAAAAGTGAGTGTTTTGTGGTGCTGAGAAGAAAAAGAGACACCCATTTTCGATTTTCTATGTGTTATTTAAGCATTTCCGACTAACGACCATTTCGACTTATGACCAGGATGTCCGTCCCTAACCCCGTCATAAGTCGGGGAGCAGCTGTATACTGTACTGTATGGGACTAACCATCCGACGAATTCTTTTCATTATTGTTTATTTCCTTACATTATTTTTATCAGTAAGTTCCGATATGATAATCATTTCTTGTGCAATTGCTTCGTTTTGTAGATAATTAGATACCTAGGAAGTCACTAGTTTGAACTAGAACGGGGTTTATGTGCTAAGTCAGTTGTTGATTGCAAACAATCATTCATCACTTCCTCAATGCCGTGGCTTGTCATCTCAATAACAAATCACTCTGCTGCCCAGGCTCAATAAGCGCCGATACATCTCACGTCCAGAAAATGCCTCAAATTACACCAAATCACAGTAAGTTCTTTCTGTTTAATATACTGGAGGGGTTCAGGGGAGGCAGTTAGGTAGGTTTGTTTGGTTAGGTCTGTTTTTCATATCCACTAAGGTTAGGTTATGTTTATTTTCATAATAACCATTTTTTAACACATTTGCACAAACTACAACAGTGTCCATTATAAAAAAAAAAACAGTGAAATTGCAGCGTTTTTTAAATTGTTTTCTATGACTTTCGGCTGCAGATTAGTCATCAATAATTACCCAATTCCATAATTTTTTATGGTGCTGTGTTGAAAAAATAATGTAAACTTTAGCCCATGTGCATTATGTACAAGGGGCCTTCTGAGAACGCTACACAAGGATTGAACCTTTGACATATTCGTGAGAGATACGCTCCACCTTTACCAGTAAGATACACGTTTTCTTATATGCAGTTTTTCCAAGGTGGTGCATAAGGTAAATTTATAGTAATGCACCAGTCTTTCTTTTGATATTAAAAATATGTTTTTCCTACGGTATTTGATGAGTTTCGAACAAATTTGATATTTATTTTAGCCGGAAACCACTAGTTTTTGAGATCCCCCCCTCCCTCCACCCACCCAACAAGCTTCACGGAAATGTTTTTTTTTTTTGAGTACAGTAGAAGTCCAAAAATCCGGACCGCTTGGGGATTGGGTCGGTCCGGATTTTCGGGATTCTCAGGCAGCACTTTTAAAATTCAAATTTCAGGAGAAATAAAGAAGAGATGAACAGGTACATTTTGATAGTTTATTCATTAGCAAATATAGTATGCTTCATTTATCTAAACGAGCAGTTTTAAAGATAAAGCTGTGAATTCTAAAATTTTATTCTTTGCCCTTTTTATATCATAAATTGTAGACTTTCCAATGTCATATGTTTCCATTAGAACAGTATTACTCACACCACGATCTAGTTTCTTAATTATTTCAAGTTTGTCACTCAATATCAACGTGTTCTTCTTTCTCTTCACACAACGAAGTTTATCTACTTTAGGAACCATTATTATGGGCTTGTACAGTACTCTGTAAATGGAAAGAGGACTCAAAATTTCATACGTTGTCACAGTTTGATTGCTTGTTTTAAAGTGGCGACCGCGTGGTCGCTGTGCAGCTGTGGCGCTCACGCATGCACAAATACACACAAAAGCCAGCTAAATTAAAAAAAATATATATATTAAGTTTGAGTTTTCGAAAAGTCCGGATTCTCGGGTGGTCCAGATTTCTGACATCCGGATTTTTGGACTTTTACTGTAAATCACAATTAAAATACCAACCAACCAACCAACTCCTTTGTTCATGACCCCACATCTTACCCTAATCTGAAGAAGAATCAGGTTGGGCAAATAACGTTCGGTAATACACTGTTTTCTAAAAAAAAATTGCCTCACTATTTTTCTGATGAAACTCGGCAATTAACGCAAAATAATCTTTATCACAATGACGGCATAGCTCTTCCACCTGATCAGTCATATCTGGTACTGGAAATTCAAATCTCCTATTCCGTCGCACCCACGTATTGTCCACTGGCTAAGACAAAAAAACTCTTGCCCAATAATAAGTCTTCCATCGCTATAGCCAATAACTAACCCTCCCCCCCCGCACATGAAAGAAGACCCTTAAGAAGTGAAGATGGAGGTATGGACCACTGGGTGAGGGGCGACACTTGTGACTGACCAAATCTAATAATACTGAAAAATTAATATCTCGGTTATCCTCAATTTAAGGCAGAAATATCATAGAAGAAGAATGTCTTAGAATTGTCAAACATTACGAAATACATATTAATAACAGCTCATAATAAGATGCACTGTTGTAAACTATGGTATTATTTCAGTGTTGGCCAATAGGGGAAACAGTTAGGTTACATTAGGTTAGGTTAGTTAGGTTAGTTTGGATTTTTAAAAACAGGAATGACCGAAACTAAAATTTTACCTTAAGTATTACCAATGATATTACACAATCGTTGTCCTTTTCATGAGGTAAGAAAGCATTTATCTTTTATGGTTATATCCCACAGTTAAGAGTTACGGGGCATTAGTGGTCTTTAGAACTACCAGTTTCTCAATGACAAAGAGTACATCACCAGGAGGTCTGAGGTGTTGAGTTAAAATGATCACACAGAGAACATTGATTGGTAGAGGAGTGTTGTGGTGACTTACTGTGACAAACTGTGGAGGTTCCATGACTTTAGGTAAGAGAAGATAAGGAGAAGGACATCATCTGACAGGTCAAGTATAGATGCTGGGGCATAAAAAGCCATTTCGGCCTTCTATGAGTGGGTAAACAGGAGGAGCCAGACTGAGGAGAACAATCAGACAGCATCAGCCTCCCGCTCGTCCCAGTCCTCCTCCACCATAACAACCTTCGGCAACACCTTATATATATCCCATCTATATCTGGTATTTTATGTGGCAGTAAAATAAAAAATTTGATTAGAATAAAAAATCAGATATATTTAAAATAAAAAATAAATATTTGAATTAATTATACACTTACTGCCCGAGTCAAGACAGAATAAACGAACAATCAATGTGGTGTAAACTTGACAGCATTCATTCAGAGTACATTGACACAAAACATATCATATATTATAAAAATAATATTTTATTGTTAGTGTAACTCACAAATAATTAAAAATCTACGTAAATATCGTAAGAATTATATCCTGTTAGTTTTCAAGGTGACAATGACTAAACATGAATTTTCCTACTGGCGGAGAGCGGGAATTTCGAAACCTTGAAGGGTGTTACAGATATATGCGAGCAGATAAATATTTATTCATTGAAATCAACATGTAATTTTACACAAATTAAGCATAAAACCAATGAACCTAGAGAGTGTTGGTATACAAAACACTGAAAACAGACTTGACTTGAACAACACTGGCGCAGGTACAGATACATTTTGGAGTCAGTACATGCCCGGTATTTGCCACCACTTACAGTTTTTAGTTTAACAAATTTATTGAAAAAGCTTAGAGTACAGTTTGCCTATTCTGAGTAATTCAGTCAGGTCTTGACACTGAGGGCGGTATCACTTCTCACTGCCACGCAGGGCAGAGGTTCATACACAAAGGATAGTTCTTATTCATTAACAGTATATATAGGTCAGTCATGTGGGTGATGTCTCTGCCCACTGCCATGCAGGACAGTGGTTCATATACATTGGACGTCATATTCTAATTGAAGACTAATCAGTGTGGGCTAGCAAATTTTGGATAAGCAGCAAGAATATCCTCAAGCACCCCTGATTCAATGTAGTAATTACAAAGTTCATGATACAATAAGCCAGGTGGCCTGAAGTCTTAGACAGTGTTGCATTCAATATATAGTGTTCAAATGTATGCTTTAAAGGTTTGTCACAAAGTTTACATGCTGAGTGTTCCGGTATAGGTACAGCGTTACAGGTACTAACTTGCCAGATGTGTCTGTATCCTAGCCTAAAATCAGGCAACAACTTACAGAGACGTGACCGACCACCCAGGCAGATAACGAGCCGATCAGTGGTAAAGAGGAAAGAGTATACAGTAAACTGGGTAAAGAATATACGAGTCACTTAATAAAGCGAATGACAAAGAAAATGAGTCTTAATTCGAGAGCTTAGAGAAAATGAAGAATTAATGAGTAGCTTATTAATTCTGAAAATAAAATTACGTAGGTGATTAAGACTTTTAATCATTTTCAGAAAAGTATATGAAAAGAAATATGAGAATATTTGAATAAAGAATCCAATGAATATATAAACAAACTACTGAAATGCAAGGAGGAGGAACGCTCTTATTTCTGGAAAATATAATTTGCCAGACTTGACGAGCACTGGTGTGACCGACTTCACTTTATCTTCTTCCCTACTGATCGGTCGGCCTGTTAGCGTGAGAAGCAGTGAGTGGGTTGCACGCGCTAATACACAGATAAATGGTTAATGTATTGAGTATTTGCTGATTCTTCTCGACTGTTGGCATTCTTGATGATTAGGTGAAGGAAGGGGGGGTGGTGGTGGGTTGTGGGAGGGATGGAAGGAAGGAACGGAGGCGGGAGGGAGAGAAGGAAGGAAGGCGGAGGAAGAGAAGGAAGGAAGTAAGATAGGGAGGGAGGGAGGGGTACGGTAGGAGAGGAGAAAGGCACAATACGAGGTGGAGGGAAGAAAGAAAGGAGAGAAGGGAAGGGAGGCAGAAAGCGAGAGAGAGAGAGAGAGAGATGGTGGCAGGAGACGAGAGTGGGGGGGGGTGGAGAGGTGGAAAAAGGAGAGGAAAGGAGTGGGCGAGGGGAGGTTGTTAAGGTGACGTCCCGGGTCTAATGATCATCTTGGAAGGGAAGGAGTGGGTCAGTTCCCCTCCACTCTGGTCAGCCGGCCAGGATGACACCCACCCACTTCTCGGTGACACTCCAATTAGTCCAGTTCCTCGAGTGTTCTGTCCAGGGGTTCTGCTGAGAGAGAGAGAGAGAGAGAGAGAGAGAGAGAGAGAGAGAGAGAGAGATTTGGAGAAGAGGGAGTAGGAGGTAAAGAAGGGGATTTAGAGAGAGAGGGGAGAGAGGAGGAGGAAGAAAAAAAGAAGAAATGAGAGTGAAGAAGAAAGAGGAGGTTTGGGAAGCTAGGATGAATTAGATAGATAGAAAGATAGTGGGAGAGGTCGAAGGAAAAGTTTTTTTTAGTTTAACACATTTATTGACAAAGCTTGGAGTACAGCTTGCTTATTCTGAGTAATTGAGTCAGGTCTTGACACTGAGGGTGGTATCGCTTCTCACTGACACGCAGGACAGAGGAGGAGTAAAGAGACAATACACATAAGAGAACAAGAAAAGAAGAGCAAGAGTGGAGAAGGGAGGAGAGAAAATAAAATGGGAAGGATGATAATATATAATAAATAATGAGATAAAGTAGAAGAGAGAAAGATTATTTCTCTCTTTCTTTCTCATTCTCTCTGTCTACCCTCTTTCTGTCTCTCTACCATCGTTCTTTTTTCTTTGTCTCCTCTTTCTTTCTCTCGCCATATATGTCTACCCTCTTTCTCTCTCTACCATCGTTCTTCCTTTCTTTATCTCCTCTTTCTTTCTCTCATTATCTATGTCTACCCTCATTCTCTCTCTACCATCGTTCTTCCTCTCTTTATCTCCTCTTTCTTTCTCTCACTATCTATGTGTACCCTCTTTCTCTCTGTTTGCCATCTTTATTTCTTTCTTTCTTTCTCTCAATATCTATGTGTACCCTCTTTCTTTCTCTACCACCGTTCTTCCTTTCTTTATCTCCTCTTTCTTTCTCTCGCTATATATGTCTACCCTCTTTCTCTCTTTACCATCGTTCTTCCTTTCTTTATTCTATCTCTCTGTATAAACTCTTTCTGTCTATCTTTCTTTATCTCTCCCCTCTCCTACTCTCACTCTTTTGTCCTTCAACCTGTCTGATTATTCCTCTCTCTCTCTCTCTCTCACCGCTCCCTCCCCTTCACCATTCACCGCCGAGGCAACAGGTAATGAGGCGACAGAGAAGGTCACTCAAGTACACGATGCATTAATAAAAATCCACATTACACGTTTTCTATGATGTATATTTTGTCAATGGCCTTTTTGCACTGTTCTATAATGTATAGGTTACCAATGAAACCTCTCAGTAATCATACCTATCTCACGAAGCGTTTAACTATAGCGTCTGAAATTACCGTAATACAGAACATATGGAGGAGGACGACATTTTATTTTTTTATGATTAGTATTGAAGTGTTGTTGCCAGATTGTGGAAGATTCATGTGTAAAATGCCTTTCCACAGGGACTGATATGGAATTGAAATTGTTCTGAGTCTCTTAGTAGATTTTATTTATCTATTTATTTATTAATTAATTTATTTATTTTGTTTAGTTTTTAGACCAAGAAAATAAGTAATCAATAAACGAAATTATACGAGAAATTCGCGAAATATATGATGACTCGTAAATTGATACCGTTTTCTGTGATGCGAAATAACAATGATAGAGTCAGGGCAGGGGTGACTTAAATATAGTCATTTACAAGACGGGAATAAATGTTTAGGATTGGATTGGCTATGACAGGGAACTGACACAAGACACTTGAGTTAAGCAGGTGGAGGCGAAGGGGGTGGGGGGCGGTGGGGTGGGGAAGGTTGAGGATTAAGGGGTAGGGAGGTAGGAGGGGCAAGGAATGGATCAAAAAGGGGAAGGCGAGACAAGAGGGAACAAGGGAGGGCAAGAAGGGACAAAGGAGGGGAAGAAGAGACAAGGATGGGGAAAAGGAACAAAGAGAGAAAGAAAAGACAAAGAAGGGGAATAAGGAATGATAAGGGGGAGCAAAGAAGGGAAGAAAGGACAAGAGAGCAAAGGGGAGAAAGAGGAACGAAGGGAAAACAAAGGGAGGGAGGGAGGCACTAGTAGCAGTATTAGTATCAGTTGTTGTGGGTGTGGTTACTGACCTGCAGGGGACGAAATTAGTATCAATAAGCAACTGCTGTCACAAGAGGTATCTGGCTTCTCTTCTGAGGATGTAAACTGAGCTTGTGTTTACTGTATGTGTAAATCAAGAATAGATAATTACAAGTCGTAGGTTAGATTAGATTAGGTTAGGTTAGAGATATGTTGGTTTAACTTGAAGGTGAAATAAACTGGGGTGATTAATCTTCCTGTAATCTATGCTTTTCTGTAGCCTTTATAATTCCTAGGCCCATGTTTACTCGTATATTGTCATCATCTTTAAATTTCTGAATGGGAGTGGATTCCATAAGCCTGAGGGTCTTATTGGAGGCAGAGCGGCAAGGACTACACTTGACCGCGCCTTTCACTTACCCAACTAAAGGCAAGTATCCATTCACAGTTGGGTCGACTAAGGAAGACCTCGGGAACCTACTTGAACTGTCTTCACCCAAGGAAACGAGGGTCATAAACTGCATGGCGTGGATTTTATATAATTTCATTGGGATTTTTATTCAAGAGGCGTTATTGTAGAGTCTGCCCAGTGTTTGTTTAGTCGTCTCTTGTCTACTGGCGGCAACACTCGCACGCTACAAAAACGCAATAGAGACGTCGCGACAATATCCATCAACTGCTTAATCGTTAAAATCAGTTCAAATTGATCACCACATTTCATATCTCCATGAAACCAAATTATTAACCTGTCATATATCGAATGGAAGACGTGATTATAAAATAGACTCACTTATCCCTGAATTATAAGTGTACATCGTTTCATTTTGATTAGTCGATTTTTTTTAAGTTATCGCTCGGTCACAGAAGACGGAGATAAATGGAATCAATTGAAGTCTTCATGACAATAATCCGCAGTGTCAGTTTTAATTTGAAGGCTACAGATGGTGAAGTGAACACACGTACAGACGGACAAGTGGACAAATATACAGATAGACGATATAGTCAACAAGACAATATAT